AAGGTAAGTAAGGGTACCCCAGATAAGGCTCGAGAGAGTCTGCGGGAGTTGAAAGAAGTTACTAGGGGCGGGTTTTGCCCAGGGACCAGAGGGCCCGATTGTTTGGACAAGAGGGGGACAAGGGAAGCCAAGGGCCCTGCTCCTTCTTGCCTAGCAGTGGTCTTTTGCCCATCCGGTTTTTTTTTTTTTTTTTAAAGGCGGAGAGAAAGTCCCCAAGGGGCCAGACCCCGGGGGGGGGGGGGGGGGGGGTGGTATTACCTGAGACGTTACCGTTGACTCTCCCTTTGTGCGTGCGACACGGAAGCAGGCAGGCAGAAAAGGATGATAGAAATGGTGATTGATGGCGAGATAGGAGCAGGCGGAGGGCGCAGGATTCGTCTGTCTGCCTGCCTGCCTGCATCTATGTCTTTCTCCTCGCCGTCTCCCTTTTTCCCTTTTTCCCCTTTCGCTGCGAATATATACGTCTATACAAGTCGATGTTCGATATCGAAGTTCCGATGGAGTTGCGTATTGTAAGTGTGTAAGTACTGTATGTATCGTATGTCAGGTACGGCTTTCTGTATTATAAACCGGTATCCGTAATACCAACCATGCAAATACGCCAAAGAAACCAACCAAGGAACTTTCCACCCTTTTTTTTGTTTTGTTTTTTTTTTTTTTGTATATTTGCTTCTTCGTTTCTCTTCAATCTTCATCTGCTTCGTCCCTTTTTTTTCTTTTCTCCGACCAAGACCAGAAAAGAGGCTTCAAGGCTTGCCTTCTCTGGCTTGCGAAGGGGCCATCGCCAGCCAGAGAAGCTAGCTCGTCAGGATCGTTAATGAAACGGCGCTCACGAAGAAGCAAAATACCACATCCCCCCCCAAGTCTCAGCCCTTTGACCTTTCTTGCCTGTCTTCTGACACTCGCCGGTGCTCCACCGGTGGACTCTCTCCAGGCATACAGATAGATCGCAGGGCACCTTGATGACTTGATGACAGACAGACGATGCGATGCGATGCAATGCAGGCAGGCTGAGATGCGGCTCAGGGCCTCTCACCCGGCCAGTCGTGGGCCGTCGTTGTCGTGGTCTTCGGTCTTTTTGCTTGCTTTGCTTGCGCTGCATAATACATATACGAATGATGGCGTTTCAGGGATGCTTCCGTCCATTACCGTGTCCCCCTTCTCTCTGTGTGTGTGCTCTCTCTTCTCCTTCGTACGATGGTAAGCTAGCTCGTTAGTCGCTCCTCCTGCTCAACCGACTGCTCCATGGAACGGAAGATGATCGGTGGCTTGGGATAGTCGAGCAGCAGCAGGAAGATGAAAGAGTAGGAGATGAAATAATAACTACAGTACTTGCAAAAAAAACACATATGGAAACAAGAAAAAAAAAAGGTCATAACGCAGTTCCAACTTCTTGACCTTCCAGAATCATGATGGACCCAGATGTTCTTACAGAAGGGATACGCTGGGTGTATGGATGTGTTAATGCCGAGTTTGTCCTGTCCTGCTCAGCCAGCCAGCCAGCCAGCCAGGCCCCCCTTCCTGACGCTTACGAAGGAGCCGCTTTCGCCACATCTGCATGCTCGGATGTCCCGTTTTGTGCTTGCTCGACTGCTTCATCGTCCTCGTCTTCTGCTGCTCCCCCGCTTTTTCCAGGTTTGCTGCTTGCTCTTTGATCGTCCGGCATGTCTGCGAGGATGGGCCGAGAACTCCTCAGGCTGATGTCACTTGGCTTCAGTTGATGTCCCCCCCTGGGGCCCTCTTCGGCTGGATAGGGAGATCGGAGGAGCCTCCCCCTTTCGATCAATGACGTCCTCTCCATGGCAAAAAGTGGCTCCCCCTTGGGTGGCTAATATCTTTGCCCTTAGGGTACATGTTGGAGGACGCGGGGGGGCTGTCCTTGTTTATATCTACATCTACTCCGTACAGTTTCTGCACGCAACGTCGAAAAAACAGCCCGTACCAAGTCCTATTCCCAGTCTCAGCAGGCTCGTTGATGGGGTATACGATGGGAATTTCAAGATGGTGTTTGACTGCGGCATCCGATTTCATGCAACTGCTCGATCGCTGCTGTTGCGAGATCTGCCAATCACCGTCTCTCTATGGCCTTTTTTGGGGTCGTGCCCGATACGAAGGCCGATGGCGCGGTTCGATCGCATCGAACCACAGGCGTAATCTGTACCTAATGCTGGTCCCTCTCTATCTCTCTCTCTAGCGCTAGCTCTCTCTCTCTCTCTCTCTCTGTTTTCCTTTGGCCTCAAACACCTGCTAGATCGCCACACGGTCGTCCCATTTTCCACGGTCCTTGCGTGTTCTGATGTCCTGATGACCAGAAGCCATCGTCCGAAGCAGGTTTCTACCTTGCTGAATGATACGCCGTAATCGTGGTTCCCAGCAGTTACACTGGGCTCAACCAGTTCTACTTACATCAGATCAACAAACAAACAATCTTCCATGTGTATCATCGCCACCTGCTCAGTATACGTAAACTATGTACGGGCTCCCTGCATGTTGTGGTGCGGTCAACTCTTTGATTTCCCGTCGACCGGCTGGGTGTGCAGTGTTCCTTGATTCCAGGAGCCTGTCGCCCATGGTCCAAGGGGCCTGTGAAACCGCTTCGCCGTCGCCAGAATCGATATAAAGCCCGCCGTTCTATGGTTGCGGCTCGATAGCGTCGACCTTTGCGGTATCAAACGCACCCAGACTGGCGGCCTTGACTGGTCAGCAGAGCAGCATAAACTACTCTATCAAAAAGGCCAAACCACCCTCCCAAGGGAACATTTTATTATGGTTAAATACTGCGTCTCGATTGGCTCTCTCCCCAGCCACGAAGCTTATCTCTTGCTGCTGCCTTGGAATTCGAGCAGTTAGATCGAGCAAACGATGCAACGATGCGACGTGATGGGCTTTCGTTCCAGGCGTTGCTAACCAGTCAATCGAGCGAACATGGGCCCCTTCGCGACCATGGCACGCACGCGCCTAGCTACATACATATAGCTGGGTTATCAAGTAGTAAGTACGACGGCAGAGATCAGATATGCATCTTCGACTGAAACGTCTATCGCCTCAGATCGGTTTATACTTCCCTGCGTCGTTGATGCGCCTGCTGGCTTAATCGCGTTTCAGTCCAGTCCAGAGTAACACTTCCAAATGTTTATACTCAATACATACGTATCATCCAAATACATCCATACATACATACTTACGCTCATACAGACGGACGGGTTTGAGAGGGCCATCTCGAGATCATCGCCCGGCGTCTTGTCCGGCCATGGTTTTCTCCAGATCAGATGCATCAGATTGCAAGGCCTCCGCTTCTTGCTTCACTCTCGACTCTCGACGCCCTATCCAGAGTTTTCCCGTGATATTAACACTTTTCTGGTATTATTGGCATCGCTGAGTTTAATCCTCCCTGAACCTCGGGTTGGCGATCAACAATACGATGACGCTCTTTCAACATACATTACTTACACACGCGACAGCGAGGTTCACCCTGGAAACTGGATCGATGATCTCTCAGGACACCGAATCACGACACCACGAAAAGACCTGCTCACCCCAGCCGATAGCTCTCTCCGTCACCCATAGTTTCTATAGTTCGGCCTCAGACCGTCCTTGGTTCGATGGGCCAGAATTAACCAAAGCAGGTAGGGTCGTTCGTCCGCTAACTATCATTATTCGATCCATCGGCCTGGCTCTCATGAACGCCGAACCCGATACAAAGGAATCCAGTCACATCCGCGCCCATCCATGCACAGGTACTGAGTTTAGGAAAGATAAACGTCACAGTGATTTTTTTTTAAACCAGGCGAATAAAAGCCAGTATTCCAATCTCCAATCACCGCCGCGTTGGCAAGGGGGCACGCGAAACAAAGCTCGCCGCTCGTGTGAGCAGTGTGAAAATTAAAAAATGACTTCCCTTGCTTAACTTCTTTGCTAAGGAAAAGCCGGGAAGAAGAGTAATACCGATAACGGGGCGAGGCGGCTGGGGACAAACAGTTGAAATGGCAACTGAATAAATAAAAAACCAGCCTTGGAAAGCCCTGGGTGGATTTCTCTCGACCCAGCGAGCGGTTCCCGTTCCCTCTTTCTACCCTTTTGTCAGGAATGAAACCCAACTATGGATGGATGGACAGATGGACGGGCGGCAAATAAAGGCGGCGGAAAGATGTCATTTTCGACTTGTCCGTTTGTTTAACTTGGGACCTCTTGAAGCAAGAGGCGGATAAGCTCGTCGCTCTTCGGGCCTGGATCTGTATTCTGAAAGCAGTCACGGCGCCTGCAGCGAATGCATCAGAAATATTTATATCCCATCTTTCTTCCGCGCTCTTGTCTGTCTGTCTTGCTTTCTGTATTTATGTCTCTGGTGTGTCTGTATGGTAACATGTATAGTCAATTTAGCCTTCCCGCATTGAGGGTGTTACTTCGGAGATCCGATAATACTCTCCTTCTTCTTCTTTAATTCTGGACGGAGAAATGCTGCATCTAGCAAGATGTGTCTCATCCACAGCGGTATTTCAAACATCTTCAGGGACAAGGCCCTATTAATAACCATCTGCAACTGCGGCGACCCCGTCCGCATCCATGGCTGCAACCAACCCTCCGACAACCCCGAATGAAACAGGCAGGCGTCAATCACTCACTAACTGCTTCTTCGTCCTCGTTGCTCATACGATCACTGACCATTTTGGTTAAATTGATGGGCGGTCCGGGGAGAAAAAGAGTGAGAGAAATGCCACGTTTTTTCTTCCCGTTGCAGGTCCCGGAAGCGGTCTTTTTTTGGGGGGGTGTCTTCAAGCAGTGTGTCTCTCTTTGTCGCCCGTCCTCACGATAAGTACTTCGTTATGGAGTAAGTCTCTCTGTCTTGTCTGTCACTGTCTATCGTCTCTTTTTGCTTTTCGAGAAAAGACATTTTGTACGCAGTAAGTAACTGCGCAGTACGGGAAAACCGTTATTTTCAACGGGTATCGCGGTTCTGTAACCGTCGTACCTTACACCAATACGCCGCGGAAAAATAAACTTCCCTGTATATACTTTTGTTAAGCGCCCACACTAGCGCTACTCCGACCAATCATAAGGCTTGCAATCCCGGTGTTGTCATCTTCAAATGCAGGGGAACGCCGTCACCCCCGGAGCTGGGGGATTGGCAGTACGCGGCGGCGCAGTGAGCACCAATACATGGCGGGAAGCTGCCTTGCCGCCCCAACAAGGCACTTCCAGTCAGCCGATATAGCCACCACTTCAATAGCTGGTTACAGATGTTCCGCTGCGCCAAAAAGCCGTTCGCTAATTAGGCTAATTTTAAGTTTCTCTGTCGCTTTCAGCGTTGACGTGCGTTTGCGCCAGAGTACCGGAAACCAACAAAAAAAAAATGACGAAAGTTTCACCCCAGGGCGAAAACACGAAATAAAAGAGTAAAGGAAAAAAAATCGGAGAGAAGCTAAAAAACCTTGCGCTATGCATGAATTCACGCAAAAACAGGAGACTAATGTGACGAGTTCCAGCGTAGGAACAGCCCTACCCATGCTGTCTTGTCTTTAGCATCGGAGCAACCAACCAACCTGCACAAAGAAAGCGGATTTCCAATAGGCACACCCGAGCTAGACCCACTTGGGGAACCTTAAATCCAATTAAACGCGAAATCTCTGCCCAATCTAGATAAGTGGGGCGGAAGCTCCACGTGCCAAAGCGCGTTATGATTGGACAATGTCGCGAACCTGGACTTAAGCGCGGTGTCACGCCTTACCGGAAACAGCGTGCTAGTACTGCCGTATTAAATATTTATATGGTGTACTGTCACTTATTACCGTATCTTACCGTGAGCCTGCCGTCTCTTCCTTTGTTTTTTTCAACTCCTTCCGCTGCTCCATAATCGAACGAGCGAGAAAGAGCTTCATCTTCTTCGTCTTCGGCCATTATTAATATTCGGGTAAGCTCAAGCCAGCTCCATCGTCGAAGCTCTGCAAAGAAGAAAGAGAAGATAAAAAAAAAAAAAAAAAAAAAACCAGGAAAACAAAAGCCGCGCAAGAAAGGGCGTTAGCCAGCCAGGAACCAAGGCTACTCTCGGTTGAAAAGCCACTCATAAGGAACTCTGGTTGGGGACAGCCAAAAGAAAAAGGAAGAGATATTTTTCTTCCCTGTCTTCCTTGTTCTCCGATGCAATAGCATAGCTGCAAGCTGTCTTATGATAAGTTCAGCAAGAAGTGATTTATATGATTTATTTGTCACGATCTTCGTCCTTCCAACAGCTAAATCCAGGGCTTCCAACAACCAACTATCAAATGCAACTATTGCCTCTGAATAAGCATGCGAGCTCCGAGGCCCCGGAAGCAGCCCTGCGACCAACCGTCCCGTCAATCAATGGGCCGTCAATCAAACAACGCTTCTGGTGCCCGTTTCCTGCCCCCTTTCACTAGCTACCTCGCAAGCTAAAAAATGCTTCCTCAAGAATACTGAGTAAGCTCCGAAGTAATAGGAGTAGTGATTTGCCTGTGCTCTCTCAGAAAAGTTAACTTAACGACAGCCCTTCTTCGTATCCCTGAAGCTCCTGCATTGAATCCTCCGCTGTGTGTGCTCTCTTGTCTCTGACGTGGCATCGCTGGCTGCCCTTAATTAAGGGGCTGATGTCAGCCCGCAACCCGCGACGCAAAAACTAGCTCCCACGCTTACTCAAACTATTCCCTTCGCTCCATCCAGGTCGACTGTGGGACATGCAGGACCAAGAGCTGAAAAAGTCGACCATCGGTCCTTGCCCTAGCCTTTCCCCAATAATTCGCACCAAAAAGTCCCCGGTACGCCACACGATCAGCATATAATTTCTCGTGATATAGGGCTGAACCAGACAGGTCGGATGGCGATACATGTATTTTCTCCGTCCCCAAAGGGACGAGCGGAAGGAAGTGAGCTCTCATCTTACTTATACGGAGTGACGAGCTCGTCACTCTACATATCGTGTGCTCCCCATATGCGCCATGGGGGATGTCGAGTTTGCTGCCTTGCATCTTTTTCATGTTGGGAATATAGGCGCCTTCCCGTCATATCATAAACTGACTGGTACAATGCGGTGAAGAAAGTGGGAAAAAGGGGGTGAAGGCAAACATACATATTGTATGAAAAGCAAGTCGCCCTTGAACCATGCTCGCAGGTATGTAATTATAACCAGATTGCCTTGGTTGCAGGTAAATACTGCAATCAGACAAACTGTTTTAACTTACCACTTGATTCCCCATATGTCTTCCGCAACTACTTTTTTTTTTTTTCATACGGTATCTTGTCTCTCCCATGTTTCCCTCTCGTCGTCAGGACGGTGAAACATCGCATAAATTAAATAAAATGGGCAAGTTGCACTATCAATGAGAGAAGATATACTTTGCTAGGACTATATCTCGATGGTACGACCTCGCTTCCATGGCTATGCTCATATTTCCTTTTCGCCTGTAGGATAATGTCCTGCTGCCCTCCGTGAGAAGTTTGATCTGGGCATACCGACTGCCATATATCTTCCTGTAAAGGGAAGAAAAACAGATAACATCCTCTTCACCGACAAAAAAAAAAAAGGAATAAGGGATGGCGGAGATATAGATCGTTGTTCATCGCTCTATGTCTTCACCCGATTTCTTCGTCTAATTTCGCAATGCCTTCGCTTCTGCAGTGAAATGTTACTCCGTTCCATGCTGAAGGGAACTGCAGACGGGAGTGACGATGTATCTATCTCTTGGGATACTCCGTACGGTCAGGGCAATTAACCACCGGCTGGTTACCATAGGCGCCGGGCACATGTTTTATTGTACGCCGTTGACATCCCAGGGGGAAGAAACAAATAGTACCGGTTGCTGTGACATCTGCCACCTGATCATCCTTCTTTCTCCCTGCCATGGCTTCTGTCCACGACGTTCCTTGCCTCTTGTCAGATGTTTGCTAAGGTACAATATGCAAGCAACGTGCGAACTTCACGCCACCTCCCACTGGTAGCCGAAGAGGCGTCTTGAGAACCCCCTTTCCTTGTGCCCTTAGAACTGCTATCCCGGTCCTAGACTACATTTGTGGTTGTCTGTGTCCCTCCACACAGGTAGTATGCGCAGGCCGGCTTCAAACCTTTCTCGTATATTCCTGTTAACATGACACAGAGCCGGACACCTGGTGCGACCCTGACAGAAACCTGGACCACCACTCTGCCTATTATTTTGATTCAGCAGGAAGTTTGCCGGACACAACAAACTATGACTAGGAGTTTCAATACGTGATCAATTTGTGCTCTTGCCGGCTGATGGCGGGCCGATATATGAAACTGACCCGGCGCGTATGGCGGAGTCTGTATAGTTCTATACCGACTGAGCAATACAAGATACAAACAACTCCGTTTTACATAGAAATGATAGCATTCTTGTTACTCAATTTCGAAAGATTGGTTTCATTTCATTGGTTTCATTTCATTGTTTCTGGAGACGAAGCGAAGTGACGGCATAGGGGATGTTTCGTAGACGTCCGGTAGCCAATACTATGGCAAACCCGCATATACGGCTGTCCAATAACCCCGGCAAACCTCTAACCCTCTAGATCGGGTGTGATTCATCGAGCGATGTGTCCCGTCAAACCCCAGTATCATCAATATCAACGCCGACATCCAAATAATCATTCCATCTCGATGGTTGAATGTTTCTTGTAGTTTTTGATGTGCCTCGGAGTTTATGCTCTGGACAGAAAGTTTAACCGAGTCGTTATATCACGTGACACGATTACCTCGAGAAAAATTGCTTTCGGGGAAAGAAGCGCCAAAGATATAATTTTTTTTTTTTTGTTTGAAGCAGCAAAGCTTTCATGAACAGAAGTCGAAGGGACGTTCTAAGAAGCAGAGCTGCGATGGATTGCTGCGATAGAAAAGCCTGAAGAGCTGTGTTTTTAATTCCGGCTCCCCTTGCGCTGCGCCCTCCATTATTGCCCGCAGAGCTCACGGATTTCCGACACAGGAAGCAGCTTCAGACACCATGGATATCCACAGATGTCGATTCGTGCCATATAATCCGCAAGCGATCAACGCGCTGGCCTTTTCGCACCCTCCCTCAAATGAGATCCAAGGCAGAGGTTTTCCCACATTAAGACTTGCGATCGGACGAGCGAATGGTGATATCGAGATTTGGAACCCTCTACGTGGTGCCTGGTTTCAAGAATCTATTCTTCGTGGAGGAAAGGACCGCAGCATCGAAGGATTAGCATGGACACTTGACCCAAGCGAAACTATTGAAGGCAAGGAGGTGGCGGGAAAATTGCGACTCTTCAGCATCGGATATTCCAGCGTTGTGACGGAGTGGGATTTGGAATCAGGCCGCCCAGCAAGGCATTCAAGCGGAAATTATGGAGAAATCTGGTGTCTAGCAGTCCAGCCTCAATGGAGGCCACGGCGCAAGAAGTATGGGGATTCTGGCCCTGCTAGAGAAGAGGGATATCTGGGACAACATTTGGCGGTTGGATGTGCAGATGGTACTATCGTGATCCTGTCTACAGAGGATGGAGATCTGAAATACCTGAAAACCATAAGGTCGTCGACTAAGCGTACGAGAGTTCTCAGCATCACTTTTCAGAATCGCCATACCGTTGTTGCTGGGTATGCCGACAGCACAATTCGAGTATTCGATATACGCAATGGCAGCTTGCTACGGACGATCTCTCTCGGCACGGGACACGCAAAACACACCAAGGAGCTGCTTGTCTGGACTGTCAAGTGTCTACCTGATGGCTCCATAATATCTGGGGACTCGGCCGGTGAAGTTCGGATTTACGACGCGAAGAACTACTCTCTGGTTCAAAGATTGCAAGGACATCAGGCGGATGTGTTGGATATCGCTGTTAGTGCAGACGGAGAATCCATTGTTAGTGGTGGTGCAGACCAGCGGACGGTCCTCTATAAATTGAAGCGCCGTGAAAAGCAAATGACAACAAGAAGATGGGCGGAAGTGATGCATCGACGCTATCATACACATGACGTCAAGGCTCTCGCTGCTTTCGAGACTAAGGATATTAGCATAGTTGTGTCGGGAGGTATGTATATCCCAATTATCTAGTAATCTACTAGATCTAGTACTGACATGCTATCTACAGGCCTTGACACGACGCCTGTCGTTCTTCCGCTGAGGGAGCTTGGAAGGGAACATCACCGAAAATTACCAAACCTACCACAGATACCTCAAGTCTCATCATCTGGCGCATCTCGACTCCTAATGAGTTGGTGGGATCGTGAGGTCAACATTTGGCGTGTTGCTGGTTCATTTGGGTCTGATATGGAACAACACAAGCTTGTAGGAAAGATCTTATTCCAGGGCGACGAGCACCTCACATGCGCGGCTCTATCACGGGATGGAACTATACTCGCTGCTGCCACTATATCGGAAGTTAGGTTATTTACTTTAACACCAGATCAAGTGGATGGTTTTCCTAGTCTACGGGTTCACAAGATAGAGCTTCCTTCTCGATTAGCCTCTGATGGTGCTAAGAACATCGCCATATCGCCTGATTGCAAGTGGCTATGTGTACTGCGTCCAAACAACGATATATACATGGCTAAGCTTACAAGAGAATTCGAAACGAATTGGATCCTCGAAGTTCTACCCAGTTCACAAAAATTGACCCGCCTACCAAGACAAACCCGCGTTGATAAGCCTCTTCACGGTACGCTAGGTTCTTATGATAGAACCGTACGCTGTATCACATTCTCAGGTGACAGCCGAATTTTTGCCTGTGGTGACCTCGCTGGGTATGTGGACGTTTGGTTCCTTGATCGCAGGAATGATGCCCCTGCCACGATCAAAGAAACCGAGGATGAAAATGCGGATTCTTCGGACGAGGATTCGGATTCTGACGACGAGGACAGCTTGCCATCTGGAGTGTGGTGGAAACACACGCCTTCTAAAGCTATTCTTCCTCGCCTAAACTCCAGCGTTCTGCTGATGACCTTCCGCCCTACTCTTGAAGCATCCGACACATCGAAGAGTAAACAGGCATCTACCATACCAGTTCCCCATGAATCCGACCTCAGTGCGTCGGATGACAGGTTAATGATATTAACTTCCGAGCATCATTTAACTGAATTTAACGCGCTTAGAGGGAACCTTTCCGACTGGGCAAGAAGAAACCCGAAGGCATGTATGCCCTCTGAATTTACCATCATCAAAGATAGAGCCATGGGCGCCATTTGGGACGTTGCAGGTGGTCGAGATCGCCTCTGGCTGTACGGCCCAGCTTGGCTCTGGATGTTTGATTTATTGCAAGACTATCCTGCCTCAGAGCCACAGCATGCCAGTACCTCAGGGCATATACCTCCACACAAGAGGAAACGTCAAGGCTATGAAGAACATAGCGTCGAAGGGGAGAGGAAGAAAAAGAAGACAAATACTGGCGCTGGAGATAGAGTGGCACTTGCCGATACCGAAGTCGGTTTCGGACCGGCAATTAAGAAAGGCGTGGGAGCAAATGGGACGAATGCCGAATTGGTACCCATTGAGAGCCAAATGAATGACAACTCGCTGCCTGATGATGAGGACGATGATGATGGTGACATCGACGAGCTTGCTCTCGCTAACGAAGCGACACTCGCTTCACTGCGCAGACAGCAGTTCCCTGGAGTTAACGGACAGGCTCTTAATGGTAAGAATGTCCTTTCCGGGGGAGAACATTGCCCTTCCTATACTGATGCTGAGACTGATTTAGGGAACCATCTACCAAATGGAGCGGAGCATGGGAATCAGGTAGCGAAGCTATCCACACCAGAGCCAGAATCAGACCACAATGCAGAATCACACCCTCGCCAATGGTGGTCTATCTTCAAGTATCGAGACATCCTAGGAATTGTGCCTTTGAGCCACAATTCTCAATCCACAGTGGAGAGTGCAGATCTATCGGAAGCAGAAGACGCGAAATCGGTGCCTCTGGAAGTCGTGGTGATAGAGAGGCCGATATGGGACGTTGACCTGCCGGGCAGATATATACGAGACTACGAATAATAAATAGATATTGTGTAGTTACTTGAATAGAAACTTGAACATTTCATCGACAAACGCCTTTAGTATGTATCAAATCGTCAACAACAAACTTAGCGCCAAGATGAGGCACAACCGCTGCAGGAGGCGCATTAACTAGAACCTCGCCCATGCACCGCTTGCATGAATCTCTGTTTCAGACGCGGTGCAGCATGGTCGTTAGTTATTGGGCAATGATGCAAGTATTGCTTCTGCCTGGATGACTACACCGTCTACGTCAGGCGGCAGCATTAACTACGGCGCAGCGGACAGAGGCATCAACATCGCCATATAAACGGTCTTCCCCTCTATTTTCTAGATTTCATCTTGTAACATTCCGTTGTTTACCTACCACCTTCGCCATTTAATCGTGTCTTCGACTGGTTAACTAGTTATCCATCGAATTGTGGCAATGTCCTCTTCTGGGGCGCCGTACTGTATCATCTGCGGTGCATTAATCCATAACCGCACCCGCCGCAATGAATGGCCTGGTCAATACAGAGCCGGTAAGCATGTTTGTTTTCATCATTATATTAATAGTAATGGGACGAATCCTGCTCACGCTATTCGACCAGTTCGAGCTGCTTCATTGAATGAAGAGCCATTCCTGACAGGCGTGGCGAGGTTTGTCCATGGAGAAAGACTGCTACGTGCGCCATCAAACCCCTACGAACGATATGAAAACGACAGGTACATCAATGAGACCAAGTCGGACGAATTTCCGTCGCAGGGGAGAACCTCTGAAGATCATCCATTACCTGGCTTCGTATTCCACGATGCCTGCTGGGAGATCCTAAAGGCGCTCGTTCATCCCCAAGAGATCTCTATACCCCGGCTATATGACCTCTGTCTATCATTTCCTTCACAGGAGTTCGGTCTTCTTACCTGGGGCCACGGGTACGAGAGCAGTAGCTCTGATGCAGAAATAATAACACACCACCGGTCAACGTACCAGCAATCCTTCTTTCTTCGAGATCCCTTTGATATCCCGGAGTTACAGGAGGCACTTGACGAAGCAAAAAAAGAGAGATCCAACGAAAACACTGCTGAACGCAGTATTATCGCCGAGAGGGCTGACTGTGACCAGTTTTACTCGCTACCTTTTGAAATAAGGGAAGATATCCAATGTATGCTCAGCCTGCGTGATGTATTCAGTTTACGGATAGCTTCAAGGTCATTTGGTAGCATGCCACTATCCCAGCATTTCTGGCGATCTCGATTCCTACCATCCTTTGAAAGGGGGTTCATCTTTGAAGCTCTACGTCCTCAGTTAGATAAAACAACATCCGACGCGACTATTCATTACAATTGGAAGGCTCTGTATGAGAAAACAAACCCGAACTTAGAGCATTTCGAAGCTATACGGAACCGAAGGAGAATATGGGAATGCAACAAGTCCCTTGCAGCACTGCTTATTTCACAGCCTCCGTTGGAAGATGGCAGTGCATATTCCATGGAAGAACATAACCATGTCCTCTGGCGGACGGCAGCAGCCAAACCACGAGAACCTCCCCGAACGCAGCCTAGTAGGGGGCGATTTCCTGGCTCTGCTCCACTCCCTCCTCCCAGCATTGTCAAGGAACATGCAATTCGTGTCCCTACGCAGGTATCGCATGTTGGCGTGTCCCTTGTTTGTTTCGGAGGGAATACATATGTTTCCGGCATACGTATCAGCACACCGGACGAAAAGGAAGTTCGGCTGGGCTACATCCGTCCTGATAACGAAGTCATTCTCAACATTAGTCAGAAAGGCGCAGAGTCGAACTCTCATCCTCTCACAGGGTTTGCCATCTGTGCTGATCCCGGCGGTATTCGAGGAATCAGAACAGCCACGGCAGATGGCACTCTATCAAACTGGGCAGGCGATCACCATGACGTGCCCAGCACCCTACGCCTATGTCTAAACGAACGGGTAACACACATCAAAGCGAAATTTGACGTAAGTTATATCTTCCATATAACTGAAATAAATGGAACTAACTTAACTTCTCCATCACAGGCATTCAGACTGATATCCCTCTCTGTCCCGGAAGAGGAGCAAATACATAGCCAGAACCCGCCTTGCTTGTCTCCACGCAAAGCAACGCTCTGGTACCCGCATATACCGTCCGAACATCAATCTCTGCATGAGCTGGATTTTGTATACCAGGATGAGCCTCAACCTTTCCTGCTGAATTATCAACAGCCCCATATACTCCTTATGTTCGGTGGTGAGAAAGGAAATTATCTGCCCTACCTTACTAAGATATCAGTTAGTACGTTGGCGGGTATATTGACCTGGATTGATTTCCATTATGAATGTGAAGGAGCACCTATCATCTGTCTGCCTGTGTACCAGGGTAGAGTAAAGCATGGCAACCAGTCGAAGATACAGTTTAACATTGACGGGCCGGGTGGTGAGAGAGTCACCGGGTTCAGAGTGAAAGATAAGCAGTGGCGGACTCCAAAGAACGAGCCGATCAGTTTTAGTATTGCGACGCTGGAGGTAAAGTATTCGCCTCTGTTTGTATGCCTCAGATGTCTAATCTGGGTCGTTGGTCATGTTTAGGTTACTACGAACCGTGGAAGGTCTTTTACGTTTGATGCCAATGTGCTTCCGAAGATCAGACTGCCTTTGGGACATGGTCAGCAAAAGAAGAAGAAACTTGATATTGAGCCGGGCTCGACTATAACTGGCATATATATCACCCACGTAAGTTGTTTTTCTGATGCAGTGTTCCCTTGACATGATAGTGGTATCTGACCTTTTTATATAGGAGCCTACGAATGGATTGACGGGACTTGGTATTGTTTCTGAGAAGGTATTAATGTAGGTAATAAAGTAAGAGGGAGAGCTATGAAGATGAAGCATTTTCATGTATTGAGCTAGCTATTAAAACAAAGTAAAATAGCGCGGCCAAAAAACAGAGCTAAATAAACTCATATCATAAAGCAGACTCGTCCCAGAAAGAAGGGCGGAATGGAGTAATTGACATGACGAGGTAAGACATGGCAGATAATAAGTGTAATAAATAGAAAAGAAGAAGAAGAAGAAACGACGGAATTTGGTATGCTGGCAATAGGCGTATTAAGAAGCTTGAAAGCTGGGAAAGAGAAAGCCAAATCAAAAGGATGGACTGTGAGTACGCAGGCAAAGCACTTTTCTATTAGAGTAAGGATTGTTTGTGCAGTGGATTATATGTGTATGTATATATGAGGATAAGATAGGCGGGGCGGGTATATGAAGAGGGAGTATATTATTCCGATAGGTGCAATGGCGGGTATAGATTAAGGGAGAGATTTAGTTGATGAACAAAGGAGACGTAGAGTTGTGCTCGGTAGACGAGACTGTATAGAGGTTGGTTCGCTGGCTTGATTAGTTGGGTGGTTAGGTAAATAAATATGCAAGGTGTCAGTTGTCCTTGATTAATATGTTTCCTTTCCCATTTTGTCGCACGTAACGAGAACCAACATGTCCAATAGAGGATAATCCAAGGTAGCAAGCAAACAGGCTTAATACGCGCAAAGTAGGAAGGGGACGGATGCCAGGATATTCACGTCATGCAGAAGAAGATCGGAGTATGAAGAGGTCTGGAGAAGTATAGGAAGAGAAAAAAAAAGGCCCAGAAAGGATGTCTACCGGAGCACCTGAACGCCTTGGTATATATCGTGATGCCGACAAGGAAATGGAAGAGCCAGAAGAGAAGAAACGGATAGAGAGAGGAAAAGGAAAAAAAAAGGAAGAGAGAGGTTGTGTTGGTATCAAGGTGGAAAATGGGTCGGTCAGAAGGGTTTGGGTAGAAAGAAAGAGTCGGCCGTTAAGTCAAGAAAGAGGGTTCGTAGAGGTGGATTGACGTCGTACAACTTGACATCAGGGTTCGTTCGATCATGACGGCGTGAAAAGGGAGTATGAATAGCGGAATGCAGAGCTGTCATCGATGCCTCCTAGACGGATCTGGATTTGGCTGACCCGTCCGTTCAACTCCACTCTGTCCCGTAGTCGTTGCAGCTGCAGAGACAGGAACCTTGACTTCGTCACCGGGAGCCGGCGCCGAGACACCGTTGGGATTCAATCGACTGAGTTCAGTTGCGATGCTCTGGGCGACGTATCCACGAAGCTCACGCTCTTCACGTTCGTCCTCTTTTACCAATCGTCTTCGTTCTTCCTTGGAAAGGTTCTCACGACGCATTCGTCTGATCTCGTGGATGACCCAGAGTAATACCTCGTCGGGAGCACGAGAACGGTCGAGACCATGTTTCGCAGGGTTTCGTACGTAGCGACGGGTGACATCCGTGGCTCCATCGATGGAGAAGGCGATACAGTAGGCCATTCTTCGGTTCCAGCCTGGGAGCATGTTAGTCGCACGGACGGAAAAGAAGAAAGCGAAAGTGAAATAGAATGAGAGGGGGAGAATGGATGCTTACCTTCTGTGTAGAGACGGGGGTTGTCCCAAGCCTCCTCGCAGGCGTCGACGTGAATCCATCTTTTCTGATGCTCAGAGTAAACTTCAGTCCATACATGGTCTTCTGAGTTCCAGACCCAACGTACGCGGCCACCGACGGCTCTGCACAGCATGCTAAAGCAATTGGCCCACTCGCCTACTCTGCCGCGTCTGGACTGCAGCAGAGTCCATACGTCAGAGTATCGAGGGAATCGCTCAGGGCTGGCGCAGGAGGGCTCCGAGCAGATATAGAGTTCGACTCTGGTGGCTCCCCGGGCAGTTTCGTCTGGAGTTGGAGGTGTCATGCCCTGAAGAAGGGTTGGTCTGAGGCATCTCGAGCAAGGGGGATTATTGATGAACTGGAAGAATGAGCGTTTGAACCATCTACCACGGCCAGTTAGTATCATATTAGAGAGAGAGAGGGAGAGGGAAGAAACAAAAGGGTCCATACCTGAGGAGAGCCTTGATGACGCAGTCCTGGTAGCCCCAGGTTGGTTTCACGTTTTCACCCATGCTTGCCGCCTCTGCCTGCAGAATCTGACACTCTTCCTCTGCCTCTGCGTAGAGACGGTCGAGAGGAACGTGGGAGAGCGCCTCGTCCAGCAGGCCTGGGTTCTCATATTTCATAGGTGTTACGGAAAGGACGTGGAGGAGGTTGCGAAACTTGAGGGAGGCGGAATCCTGCGGCGGCGTCGGAAAGATAGGAAAACTACGAATAGACGAGTACGATGGCGGCTGCGAAGGCAATGGCCGGCCATGGGCGTGCTGGCTGTGATGGTGAGGATGATGTGGTGATGCTGGCGTTGGCGTTGTTGGCGTTGACGATGAAGGCATGGGCGAGGAGGTGCGTGATCTGGATCGTCCCTGGAGAGTGTTCAACCTTCTTGTCCGCAGCAACTGTTCGAACTGGCGAGCGAGCTCAGAGGCGTCAACGGCAGGGCCTGAGCCTGCCGGCCGTCGAGATCTGTCTGTCATTTTGGCGATGGGGCGATGGTCTGGCTGTTCACCCGTAGGCTGGAGATGGGAGAGATGAGAAAATGAGGGCTGGCAGTCAATCGGGATGACTGTCAGCGCCCACCGCAGGCCAGTCGGACCGTCTTCAGTCGGGCGAAGGCTTTCAGTCTTTTGTCTTATTTGACGCTGCAGTCGGTCTCGTCGAAGGCCGTCGAAACGAGTGTGGTGATTGATGCTGGCGAGAGGTGAGGGAGAGAGGGAGATGGGAGGAGAATCGAGGGCTGTTCGTTCGTTTTCTGGAGTCGCTGTGCCGTCCCGTCCAGGAAGAAGGCAGACGAAAGATATGTTTAGATGATGCGCAGCAAGCACAGCCCTTGGCCCTTGATTGCGGTTCCACGCTAACCCTAATCGTCGACCCTTTCGTTCTAGGAGTCCTTCGTCGGCGAACAGCTTTCCTGCTTAACGCTGCACTCTTTCTATCGAGTTCCTGTTGCCAGCTGGCAGTTATAATAACGAGAGAGATACCGGCGAAGTTGAAGTTGAAGTTGAAGTTTGAAGTTTGAAGTTCGAAGTCGAAAGTCGAAGGTCGAAAAAGGGAAAAGCGGCGTGAGGTGGCAGAAACCAACCTTCGCCAGTAAAGTAATGGGCGTATGCGGATTACCAAGTTACAGGCCTCGTAATGCTGTTTAGAGTGGGTACCTGACGGTACACGCGGTACCGCCAATACGCAGACGGTGACGAGGCCCCTGGGTGCGCTAGTCCGCTTTGGGACGTCAGCGTCGTCAGCCTCTTTTGCTTATGTAAGACCTGAAGAGGAAGAAAACTCTTTGCTCCAAAGTCTTCTTGTATCTGCAGTCTCTGTCTCCTCCCTTTTATACACGGACGTATCTTCTGCCTTCGTCCGTCTTCCTCTTCCTTCTGCCTCGTCCTTCGTCTTCGTCTTCGTCCTCGTCTTCATCCTCGTCTTCATCCTCGTCTTCATCCTCGTCTTCATCCTCGTCCGCGTCCTCGTCATCGTCGCCGTCGTCGTCGTGGGCCTCCTCGTTCGCTTCTGCGGCCTTTGTCTAGATCGTCAACCCAACAACGACGATCGCCAAGACCTCGGATGAAGCTTACGCGGCGTGAACAAATGACCCATGTCTTGGCGCCGCCTAGCCTCCTTGGGCCATTGCAGACGCCTGCTGACTCAGCACTGCGTCGTGTTAAAAGAAGCGAAGGCGCTGCAGGCATAAAGTAAGCAAAGCATGGAAAAAGGCAAAAAAGCCGGGCTTTTTTTTCTTCTCTTAGCCGCGTGTTTTATCCTCCTCCTGCCCTGCGACGACGCCTGCGACGACACAAGCCTGCTCCGTACGGAGTCCCGCCTCCTGCTGTGCGATTAACGACATCATGCCCACCGTAGCCCACCCTTAGCCCACCGCTATTATTGCTGCCTAACTCTCTTATAATATAGGATGCTGACCGACTCGCAGCAAACCTCCAGTAGACAACCGGCGTTGCGGAGACTTGACTAGCTATGTAAGTAGGGCGAGCTATGGGCTCTCTCCACGCGCGTCACCGACTTGTCAGGATCGGCGTCCCTCTCGGAGCTAGCTACGGCGGATAGACGATTGCTGGGCAAGGTTAACTACAGTACTGGCAAGCGATCGATCAGATCAGCGGTCTCTCCCTTGCAAAGTACTAGTTTTATACTCTCGTAGATCGATCGTGGGAAGAGGGAAACTTGAAAAATGTGGATAAAGAGTATAATATTGGGTGTCGGGAAGAGGTCTATCAAACTTCTTCGACTGCTACAGCACGGCAAACGCAGATACATAGCTCACTGAGCTGTCATGGACCGAGAAGCAGTCAGAGCTCCGTTCGTACCTTATGAAGTAAAACTTGCCCTTCTTCACTCCATCCTGCGTCATTGCTGCTCCCATGGTTGTTTCTGCCTGATGCTGTAATCCCTCGATCCCCGCCATCACCACGCCAATCGGATGACGCCCGCATACAGTGTTTCCTGTCCGCCGTAATGCTTCCTGAAATACGTCCGTATTGCCACTGGCTATTGCAGACATGCATGCCATGTCACACGCGGAGACGCTCTCGTGGATTGCCCACATATATTTTTCCTTGTTGTAAGACTTATCGTTCTCTCTCAGCATCCGCCCTGACGATGCTGCACGCACTTCTTCCGCCGCCTTTTCTGCTGTTAGCATGTCCGACGGAACCGGCAGAGAGGGGTACGTAAGTGGCAGCTTGTAGGTTGTTGGGCCAGGCGCCTGCACGTAGTACGTATATGCGAACCTCGTGCCCCAGTGACAAAAGTCAGACGAGATCACAAACGCGTTCTCTTCGTCAGCAAGGTAAGGGCGAAGGATCGAGCCAAACACTCGTTCGTTTGCCGCAGAGGTGCTGCCTACCATCATCGGCACTAGCGGGGGGTAGGCTGACGTCGGCATTGAGGGATATAAGCGCTGCAGAAGGCGGTGGATGTACGGTAGATGGAGCTCCATGCTGTGTTCCTGTTCGTCGACAGATCGAGACATTCTAGAAAAGGGCTTGTCCGCTAAGGAAGCCTCCTGCTCGATTTTAGCAAGCACATCGGTGTCGAGAGGCAGCGGCATAGGCGAAAGCGGTGTCAGGTATTCGGTCAACTGGGGCACCGCGATGGTTGTAAGATGGAGGTGGTGGGATGGGCCGATCAGGAAGATCCGCTTTCTGGCTCCAGCTATTAGTCCTTTTTTTCCTCTTACTCCATATGTATTTCGTCTTATCTCAGTGAAGCTTACGCCTTGGATAGGTCGAGACATTTGTACGCAAAGGCCGCGCAAGGGCCGGAGTAGGCGTATCCTGCATGTCTACGAGACAGTCAACTGGTTGGCACTATGCATCTAAAGCCTGTATCTTGTTGTTGTCAATGTACTCACGGAGCTATAATCACTCTTGCTCCCGGCACTGGTAGCTTGCCCAGCCCCTCGAGCTTGCCAGGCACAAGGTCCAGCCACTGATCGAGCTGTGCTTCCAGGGTTGGCCCGTGGTCGGAGTACCAGGAACCGGCGTGAGTATGGCGGCGGATAGACATCGTGTCTTGCACAGCTACTCTGTATTTCGTCTCTGTGTCTCTGCTCTGTTTGCGTTGACGATCTTCAGAAGTGAGAAAGAGACGTCCAAGCAAGGTGAAACTCTGTTTTTGGATAGTTGCGGGGGAGGGGCTCTTTACTCTTTCGGCATCCCGGCTTGGCATCGACTAACTAATCGGCATCCCGAAATTCTATTATCTAATCAGAAAGCAATTTAAACAAAACTGATATCGATAGCAGTAGATTGTTAATATAACATCGAGAACACCCGTTATGGGTTTACTTCTGAATAGCGATGTCATAGATATGGTCTTCACTGTGACACTTTGTATTACTATGCGTGAATCATTTACCCTGTCTTGACACTCGCGCGAGACCGCGTAGAAGGCCATTAAACCCGTTCCAGACTAGCGGTATCAGCCTGACACACGTAATCATCAGCCAACCAATAAACATCGATTATCCTGGTCTTGGCATCCCTGAGGCTGTAAAATACGCCTCTTTCACTGCCATGCGAAACGCGACCAAAACCAACCTCGTTCTTCCTTCAGGCGCATCCAAGTTTCCAACCTCCACCTCATCTCAAAACTCACTCTTTAGGTAGTAAACTATTCCGGCATCTTCATCTCATCTGGCCTCATACAGCACCTGCTAGGAGACCGCAATAATATAGTGAACACATTCGACAATGAAGCGCAAAGCCTCCCTCTCAACGATTCTCTCTCCCCGATCCTCAACATCCTTCTACGACCGCACCGTCTCCCCCATCCCATGCTCAATCGGTGATGCTATGGTTATAGACGACACACCTCAGCACCTTCACAGCCGGACGAGGAAGCGATTCAGAAACGACCGTCCAGACGAACAGGCTGTCTACGGTATGCCATGTCGTCACTGCACATCATCACCTCGCTCACCTGTCATCTCCGTTAACTGTTAACCTCTCAGACAACACATTACGATGGCTTTTCTCCGCCCAGAGACAAGCAGAGAACCACGGACTCTACCCGGAACCCATCACTAGTATCGATGACAGCCTCGAAAGTCTTGAAGAGGACTCTTCCTTCCAAGAAGACTCTACAACTTCGCTACCAAAACCGGACCCGTCGCAAAAGACGCTGCATCATTTCTTCCGTCATGCGTCTGCGCCTGCTCGCGTGTCCCTGGCAGAAGCCAACGGTAACAAGGCCGCAACAAGTAACAACACAGATACAAACCCCTCGCTCTCAACATCTACTCATATCATGTCGTCGCAAGTGCCCAGCTCTTCCTCCACCTCGGTCGGTGACACCTCGTTACCCTCAGCTACCTCTGGTGCTGGCCCTGGTAATGGAACCGATACGGTTGAATGCGAAGACATCGATATGGACAGAGATACTCATACATTCACAGCTAGTGCTACGGCCTTGACTCCGGCATTCCAGCAGAGGGCGTGGATGGATGGCAAAGACCTCACTCAGCCTTCAAGTTGCTACTATCTTCTCAGCTAGTAGACTACTTCCGGAATCATCGGCGTCTTTTTGTTGTTTATTTTTTTCCCACTTTTTACCTTTTTGGAAAAGCTGGTGTTTGGCATATTATCACCAGGGCTGCTCTTAATTGTTTGCTGCTTGTCTTCTTCTTTCATCATAGCTAAGCTGGGGTTCCTGATGGACGGCTGGAGTTTCGTGTGAGGGTCATAACTGCTGTGCTGGTCTATGAACTGTATAATACTCATCAATTTTCCTTTCAGTCAACCATGCTGCCGGGATAAAAATATTAAGACATCTTCTGCTACCCACAAAACAAAGAGCATCTGCAATCCCTACAGCTTAACTGTCCTTTTATCTCTGACGTCGTAAAAGCCTTGGACAGAGGCAACTGCTTAGTCATCCCCACCCCCAGGAAAATCGGCCTTTGCAACCGCCAAACCGATGAAGGCAAAAGCTGCGCCCGCCTCAGGAGTTTCAGGATCGTCCTTCGCTGCATAGGTAAATATCACAGGTTCTACTGCGAGCAAGTCTCCTGGGGACTTCTTCTTCTCCTCCCCTTTCCCCATCTGCCGGACCGAGCGTCGATAAACCCCGATCTCGCATCCGCTTTTAAGCTGTGTTTTTATACCTAACGACCCACACGGAGGCTTAAGTTAGCTAAAGGGGGAGAAAGACGAGACATTCAACAGCCAGCAGACAGACGGAACCGCATCTCTCCTTTGCTTACCTTCTTCCTATCCTCGTTTAACGGGCAGACGATTCGCCTGGTCTCGTCGGTCTCGGCCATTGCTCTACCGTAGCCGAGCACCCAGTATCATGACCTACTTCGCACCGCAAACCAGCTGAGAACAACATCCCTACACAGCCCCCCGACAATGGTTGGTTCAAGCTTTGAGAAGTCCGTCAAGGGCGCGACCAAGTCGAAGGTATGCAGTATCTTGTCTGTTTCTCGATAGAGGCGTCTGGTTCTAACGTTTTTTTTTGTGGGAAAACAGAATGCTGCCCCGAAATCAAAATACATCGAACACATCCTCACAGCCACCTACAGCGATGCAGGGACGGCCGAGATCTTTCGCACACTCCAGATCCGACTGCGCGAGTCGGCGTGGACAGTCGTTTTCAAAGCGCTTATAGTGATACACATGATGGTACGCGAGGGCGCACCGGGAGCTGCACTCGCCTATCTCTCTCAATACCCTCGAAAATTCGCGATAACAAGCATCTCGGACGGTGTGTACAATATTCCCTCGCCGAAGTATATAAATAATGGCCGTATAAATAGACAAGAGGACTTGTTCTTTGCTGATCTCGTATGGCTATAATAGCACAATTCCAGGGAGCGAACATATGGAGATACTCGGAGTATCTAATTGCGCGGTCTCTGGCCTTCTCAGAGACAAAGACGGATTATGTTCGCAACGGACAAGGCAGACTGAAGACATTAACTGTCTCAAAGGGTCTATTGCGAGAAACAGAGATTGTTCAAAAGCAAATCAAGGCTCTTTTGAAATGTGATGTGCGCATATATCATCTTGCGTTTGTTTATCGGGGACTGCCTTTACTAATCTATTTCTTTGACTTAGCTCCTGAGTGATGAGCCTGATAACGAAATCACTTTAACTGGTTTCCGGCTGGTGACGCTTGATCTGTTGACGCTTTACTCTGTTATGAATGAGGGTGTCATCAATGTCTTGGGTTAGTGGCTCTCTGCCCCTTTTGGCGTGTATACACAACTTCTAACATATCTTGGCTAGAGCACTACTTCGAGATGTCTCGGACAGACAGCGAACGAGCGTTGCATTTGTACAAAGTTTTTAGCGCCCTGACGGATGATGTTGTTGCATTTTTACGAGTTGCCAGACAGTACGAACATGCTACTCGACTTGAGATACCCAATTTAAAGCATGCATCTACGGATTTGGCGAAGTTGCTAGAAGATGACTTGCATGACCCCGATTTTGCGATCCGCCGGAAGGAATACCGTGAACAGAAGTTTGGAAAATCCAAAGGTGAAAGTAGCTCAGCATCAAAAGCTGCAAAAGCACAACCCTCGTCCAAGGCGAACGATAGTGTGGCATCTAAAGACGTACCAAACTCTGGTACTAAAGCTCCAGCTGCGGATCTAATCGACTTCTTTGGGTCTATTGAGGAAAATCAGCCACCAGCAAATCAACAGCTACCACCACAACAACCACAGCAGCAGAATATGCCAATGCAATTCCAGCAAACAGGTTTCCAGCAGCAGCCGGTACCAGCGGAGTTCCTACAGAATCAAACGGGATTTGCTCCTAACCCAATGGGACAAAATATAAACCCGTTCGGCCAGTACGATACACAAATGCAGCAACAGCCACAGCAACAGCCTCCAGCGGCCCAGCCATTACAAGCTTCTCACACAGGCGCGGGGTTCGGAGGTTACACCCCACAGCCTTTCCAGAGTCCAAGTCCACTTTCTGCTATTCCACAGAACGGGGCTGTTCCCTTCCAGCGACCCATGACAGCGGGTGCCACACCACGAGCCAACAACCCTTTCCGACAGTCTATGCTTCCCACCGCAGACAACTTGTCATCCCCCCAATTACAGTCTCCTTCAACATTGGCCATGAAGCGGCAATCTACCAACCCGTTTGCGAAACAACCTCCTGCTATCCCTCCACAATACCAAATTCCCAACCCCAACCAATACCCCATGCCGTCATCGTCTCCACCCCCTTCACAACAACAGCCTCAGCCCCTTCAGCCTCAGCGAACAGGAACAAACCCGTTTGCGCGGCCTCAGCCACAGCAGAGCCAGGAAGCACTGCCGGCCCAACGTCTACAGCCAAACCCAACTGGCAGTACAAACCCTTTCCGCCAAAGCGCTTTCATAAACCAAGCCACGGGTCAAGGATGGCAGAACGTTCCGCAGGGGACAATGGGCGGACTAGAGAAGCTAGAAACCATCCCTGTCTTCCCTCGGCCAGGTCAAATGGCATAGCAGAGATTCTGAACGTTTGTAACATTTCCCCTTTTCTCAGCCTTTTGTTTTTACCTTCTACTCTTCCATTCTATTATCTTCACGCAAACTCCATGCTCTGGCTTTTTTATTTTTTTTTTTTACCTTTTCTTTATTTATTTTGGGATCCCCCCCCTCTTCCCCGAGCGTGCATCTACATGGGAGCTACAGTTTAAAAAAAAAAAAAAACTGAGGGCGGAAAACAAAGTCATGTCCTGGAGACCGGCAAACAACCTCAGACGTTGTTTTTTTTCTCTACTTTCCCTATGGCCATTGATATCATATCTTACTTCTATTCTACTTGACAGCTTTCACGTTCTCGCCTGCAGGTCTATAGATGTTTATCTGCTTCCATGAGCTCTCAATATCAGAATAGCATTATTAACTTCCAGCATTTTTTCCCCCTTTAGCCTAATCGCTATCCATATGGCCTCCACCATCTAAGATACGACTTAGCGGAGAGTTTTCCTCAGTAAAAACACGGATAAATCAAGAGACGTGCTGGTTAATGGTCAGATTTCTTGTGTCTTGTGATGTCAATATTTTTAGGCCCGCCAAGTAACTAAGTTAGCTTGTAGCGGTTTAGCAAAGGTTGAACCTCAGCATAAAGTGTTAATTGTTTAATTTAACGTCAAACCAGTGCTATTCAATGCAACAACTTCAATTTATCGAAAGAGGGTGAAAAAAGAGGCACACCATCATCGTCGCAATTAATTATTATTTTAGAGAAAGAATGCGGCAATTTATCCAGATTCCATGTCAAAAGGCCAGAAGATTAAACCACCTCGCGCTCAGTCTTGACTCGCTGGTTACCCATCCATGGCAGACGTCCAAGCGGGAACTTAATGAAGCTGTTGTTTGGGTCTGCCATTCCAGAGAGGGCACAGTACCAGGCGAGTAGAGCAGCCAGGATACCAAAGAAGCCGCCGGCCTTGATGAGAGGTATATAGATCTTTCCGGGGGCGGATTCGATAAGGTGGCCAACTCCAAGGAACAAGAACGCGAGATCGAGAGTGAAGAAAAGGAGGACGAAGGCGATGTTGGTCTTGAAGGTGCAGACAAGGCAGAGAGTGGTGAAAATCCACCAGGACTAGATCGAATATCGCATTAGCAACGGAGTTGACGTGACCGTGGGGGACAAAGGAGCAATATACCATGAGCCAGAAGCCAGTTACGTTGTTTACACCAGTTATACCGTTTGCTTCCTTGACATTTTCAATGATCTTGAAGCCGCCAGGAGTGAAGATAATGCCATACGAGATCCAGAATCCACCGTATGAGGAGAGAGCAGTGGCTCCAAAGGTGTTTCCAACGGCCATTTCCCTATTTTACGGTCAGCACTAAAGCAAAACCAGAGAGTGGAACAAGAAGATGGTCACAACTTACCACATGCCAGCAAGAAGCTGTACCAATCCACCGTACCCAAAAGCTGAAGCAACGACCAGATGAGGCGCGGTGACACCGCGAGCTTGCATGTTGATCAGACTGAGTACCATAGTAGTGAGGGCGAAAGCAGACAGTCCCAAGGGCCCAGGGTTTGCGAAGGACTTGCTGGGTGCTGCTGCTGGCGCTGGCGCTGGCGAAGGCTGGAATTTCCCAAACGCAGCTACGCTGGTGTTTCCGTTGGCTAGAGGACCGTATCCATAACGAGCTGCTGCCTCTGCGACTTCTCGCTCTTCGACAGACATGCCTTTGAGAGAGCTCTCATGGGTCGCGGTTCTACCCGCCGTGTCCTTCTCGATATCGGAACTCATAGTGTCAGGCAGCTAAGTCACGATTCCTATATGGATGGTCAGCATCCAGGATATACGTCTTCTATTCAAATTTGCTGGTTCCATCTTGACCAGAACATACCTTTTTGCCGGGTAAAGCAGAAAGCAGGTAACAAGACGTGCGACCAGAGCTGCGAAGGAAGGAAGGAAACAAGAGGAGAGGAAGGATGAACGCAAACAGCGGGGAAACAACGGTAATTAATAACTATTTAAAGGGACATGCACCGCATTTACAGCTGGTTCTTTGGCGGGTGAACCAGGGCTTCCGTATGGATGTGTACCCCCGACTCCCAAACACACCGCGAGCTTCAGCGAGCGGGCTAGATACTACTACTGCCTTTCACGCATGATATTTTACTCTCTAGCGAACATGCCCATGTCGATCTTCACCAGCTCCACCCGAAGAAAAGATTCCTTGCATGGGGGTTTGAATCTAAGAATGAAGAGAGGCATCCTCCCTGTATCGTAAATAGTACATCGACCCGTCCAATTCCCACGCAGAGAGCGAGAGGGTCGACATGTACTCTGTACGAAGTGCATACACAATACCGGCACTTCCTAGTAACCGTTCTCCGTGCTTTAGGGTCTGTTCTCGCTCGCGGATCATCATTCTGGGTGTGATTTGGAGCTTGACAAAGTGTCTGCTCACAGCCCATAGGTGCACAGAGGTCGTACGGGGTGACATACAAGGGCTTGTTTCTAACCCGGTCGGCAAACTCACAAGTTTGATACATGGGAGGACAAGGAGGCAGCGGGACGGCCGGGGGGGTTGCCTCCTCCCTTGGGTCGTACCTCTGCCCATTTTTTTCGACTCTCAGCCCGTTGTCTGAGCGATATCGATCTCTTCTGGTTTCCACCGGGTTCGGCGCAGTGATGGTGAAACTTCCCTCAGCAGCCTCAACGCCATCATATCTTCTTTGTGAAAAGGACTGTCAGGATTCTGCTCATTTGCTCATGGCTTGCTATGTGTAATTCATGGAACACTTGCTTCGTACAGAGACCGATCTCCAGCTTGTCTGGGGAATCTGGCTTTGGGGGATCAAGCAAGCGGACGTGGATCCCCGACCCAACCATTCATTATTAAACTAGACGGGCTAAATTCATCCGAGGCAAGCAAGATGGAGGCTGGAACGGACATCCACATGCACAAAAGTAGCTATCGGGGTGTCGCCCGTATCAACTGCTGTCCACTACGGAGCACTCTGTACAGCGAAGCGGAAAAGGGGTAAAAACTAAGATAAAAAAAAAAAAAAAACTCGACATGATCCTTAACTGTCGACTCTAGTTTTCGGAAAGGCCAAAAATATGTTGACTAAATAAGCTCGCTTTCCCCTGTTTGAGCGATGGAGAACTGGCAAGCCAGGTCCGGATGTTTGACTGAAAAAAATATCAGAGGGAGCAGAGCTTGAGGATGCAGTGCAACACATATTCGCATGAGGATGATGTGACCTCGTATTTTATATCGAATGGAAACTTTCGCGTGCATGCACTGGCGTCGCTGGATGAAATATATTTTAAATGATGCGACGGGGGTGGAAGGCTTCGAAGGATTTGGCTCTCGATCCGACTTGCTGGAGCCCATCTGTGAAGAAAAGTGAAAAAAGGAAGCCTGCATCGGTTAAGTGACTCGGACAAGCATCTCCCCCGTTGCTCTTCACTCTAAATCTATTTAGGTTTACTATCAGCTAAGCCTGTGGCTTGAAGATACAATTTCCTACATATAAATCGGTTTCACCATTCCATGGCTTCTTGGTGGTGGATTGGGTGGCGGATATCACTCGCCTCCACAGGGACAGACAGACGAGGATCAAGAGCTGCTTCGATTTAGCGGTGGCCTTGTTTTGTTTGGCGAGCTCTCGACCGTATAAAATGGAGTTGTCAGATGGGAAATTTGGGAACAAACTGATGAATCGCAAGCATCAAGCTAATCCAGGGGAACAGAAGTCTAGGCTGGGCCTGAAGGAAATGCTAACCACGGCTCTGCATCCGAAAAGCAAAACCAAGCTCTGAGCTGTCCTCGCTTGAGAGAGTCAAGAAATTCCGCTGCGTCAAATCATCATCTTATGTGGTAGATGGCGCTGTTCAAACCGGTCCTCGCTCCTACAACTGTCGATGTTGACCCAGGGAAACCAGCTAGGCCTTCCGTCTCCAGGGAAACTTCTCTTGATCATCGCATTCCTGAGCGGTCGTTCCCTTCAAACAGCAGGTGAGAAGTTGAATATCTTTACACCGCCGTATGGGATGCCCAGTGCATTTACTTGGAGAGCCAGGCTGCCGACAGAGGTTCCATGGTTATAGGTGCATCGTTCCACTCTTCGGACGGAAGAAACAGTGGATTTCGCAACAGTGATGAGCCCCAGCTTCACCATTCAGCGGAACAAGGGCTTTTTCGTGGGCTTTTGCTAAATGTTGATCCAACTGTTATCATTGTAACTTCACGCTGAATGTCTTGCTAAGGCATTTACTTTGACCCAACTAGTTACATGCTCAGAAACGAAGACCAAGATTGATGGTATGTAGCTAAACGCAAATTTTATGTCGACTCCCAAAGTGTTACGAGTGTATGGGATGAAACCAGCAGTTGAGCTGAATCACTGACATGGCTTTCAGAGTCATGGTCGTGCGTATTGATAAGTTTTGCTCCTTGACAGAGACAATACTGGGTAAAAACCAATCAATTGTGAGTCGAAGCTCGTTTCTTCGGCAGCTATATACAGTAATTTGTCTATGCCCGTTGGACCACGTCACCTATACCAGTCACGATATAGCACACAGAATGATAATGCAGAGGCCGCGGCACTTTGAATCTACGAGATCCTGATGTCATAAGCATACATCGCATTATTTTGCACCTGTCTCGCATGTCGGCGTCATGTTGGAGGGTTTCAGGGCATCAATCGCAGACGTTTGCGGGGCCCCAGCTGGTTTTCAAGCCTCGCTTTATCTTGGATATGAGTTCTCCAATTGTCCCCGAGTTTATCTTTCCAAGTTCTCTCTATATCCTGGGCAACTTGATCACTAATGTCCTTCCATGGACCCCCTTCATCTAGATCTGTAATAGGAACAATGTCTAGACAATGCCCTGCCCAGGATTTATCGCGAATATCTGGTGAAAGCTCATCATGCCAAACCGTCCTGGAGAGAATAACCTCCCCAAAGCCAAATACTTCGATGAATGGACCATGGATGTACTCTTTATCCAGGGCAACTGCGGCAGGGCGAACGAACTCACGAGTGGTCAGGTTTCGAAGTACCCATTCCTGGTCTGTGGGATAAAACGTAAGTGGAGTCAGAAATGTACGTACTTGAAAGGCGCCTGGATGCCGTAATAGTTCGAAATTGTCTTTTACAGGAATGTTGGGGAGGAGGTCCCAGATAGCGGCGGGACTGAGATGCCAGGGGTCATCATATCTGGCGCCAGCTAGTTCAAAGAGGTTGACGGGAGACCAGGCATAACAATCTTCCATATCGCTGGGTAATTCCTCGAGGTCCAGTCCCTCGTCTAGTTCATCAAGGTCTTCAGGCCGCAGTAGTGTTGGAGGGTAAGAATTGTCTACGCCAAGCGGGTGTCTGTGACTGGTGCAGATGACAGGCGTTCCAGCCCAAGTGCCCAAGGTCGCCATGAGTCGCCGTACGAGTACAGGCATCATTACTACCCAGAGACGACGGCAGGTAATTCCTAGGTTGAATAACTCCTGCGCAGACAATGAGTCAAAAATAACATAGTGTATCTCAACGGGCAGTCCTGCTAGGTTGGCCTGAGTAGCTCTGGTTTGCAGAGATGTATGCGAACTAGATGGCACGAATGCGGCGACTGACTCTCTCCGCCGTTGTTGTGGAGTGTTCGTTCTTCCTTGGACAATGGGTTGCAAACTTTGGGCGGCGGCTTCCACCAGCGAGGATGGGAAAATGGGCCTGGCAAATTGAGCAACGAGGTCATATGTACTAACATCAAATAGTAAACCATCTAAAGTGTGGCCCTTATCTCCAAAAGCAGAGGTATACCAAAAAAACTGTTGGCGAAGCTGAGGCGCTGCAAAGCAGAATCTTGGTTCTCGTTTATATGGCATTGTCAACCTGAAGTGCCAACCTAAGTAAACCTAGGATTGAATCGAGGAGTTCATGGCATCTTATGCTTGCATGGAGAATAGTTATTATCAAATCCGGTCCTGTTTAATGAGTTCGGTTGATAACAAGGTAGCCACCGGGCGTTATTACGCTTTATTAAATGACGTTAATATTATGAGGCTGATTCTCCACGACGTTGCCGAGACGGTTGTTACTAATACCGCTCTTAGCGTGACGTCGGTAGGATTGTTATGATCCTCGGCGGTCTAATAACGCGGCTGTTCTTTGCAGCTGGCTGTTGAATGATTTCACTTGATTCAACAAGCCGCCCTGGGAGTCGGAAGATGAAGAGCAGACGTCTTGAGAAACAGTCCGTAGAAGAAACTCGAGGCCAGCGAAGGGATTGATAGAGCCACCAACATCTTCATTACCAACCTTCTTCTGGCTTCTATCAACTGCGAGTTGGAGGTCGTGAAGGGCGTTGTTGATCGCCCCATGTTCCTGGTAGATATCTGATTAGAGAGTCGCTCCTCACATGCGAGTAGGTTGAACAGCTTACCGTTTTGGCGCTCTCATCTGCAGAAAACCTCCTTCTGACTTCGTCTGCTTGAAGGGCAATCTCATCTCTCTCTTTTCGAATGTCCATCAGCTGGTTTCGTAGCGCTAAGACCTCCTTCTTTTCCTTTCTTAGGCGCATCGCAAGCACGTAATTGCTGTCCAGCAGTTCGCTCATTTCAAATAGCCTACCCTCCAGCTCTATACCAAATGCCTCTACCACCTTGCGCTTCCGCGTCCATTCTACCTGGCGAGTGCGATTTGACTCCAGCTCTATAGCAGAATCCAGCGTTGATAGCGTCTTTTCTAGCGTTTCACGGCATATCTGACTGAGAACGTCGGCAGCATTCACGCCGCTGCGGGATGGGATCTGTGGAGGACGCAAGGATGGATTTACAGATGCTGGCTCTCGGCCATCCGCTGGAGTAGATCGAGCAGACTCTTCTACATCGGACCATTCCTGCAGGGCCGAAATATTAGGGAGTCTATGGACTCGAACGGGGACGGTTGACCGTTCCTCGCCCTTGTCTTTCTTCTGACTGGCTTTTCCTTTTTGTGTGGGAGCATCGGTCCCCTGGCCTTTTTTCTTTCGTTTTCTGGAATTCTTTGGTGCTGTGACTCGATTCTCTGGGCTATCTTGGTCTCTAACTGAGGGTCCCTCCCTTTGGGTGGTATCTGGTTCGACATCTTGAGCTTCTTGGGCTTCAGGCGATGGCAATTGGTTTTCTGATACTGGGTCGCCCCCGTCATCCTCGGCTGCTGGGCTGGCAACTACTGGATTATCACTGGCTTCCTTGTCTTCGGTTTGCTCTGGTGCTTCATCCACCTGCTCGTCAATAATTGGGGGATAGTGTACTCGGGGTGACTCTGTAGGCTCATCGCCTGGTACACTGGGGTCATTTGGCTCTGGTGAATCGCCGCGATCTAATCCTGCATCCGGAGTCGAGTCCTTGGGCGGAGATTGTAGTTTCTCGCTTCCGTCCTTGACTTCAGTTTCGTGGCTCTCAGGGACCTCTGGCGGTGGCAGTAAGCTCTTGCGTTTCTTCTTTGGGTGTTGAATAACTGATTTCCTCTTCCGTCGCCTCTGTTTTGGCCCGGCTGGCTGCTTCTGAGTTACATTGGGTGATCGGGCATCGCTATCCTGACTTCCAGCTCTAAGGGAGGGTGGTGCAGAAACCGAGGATTCGATCGAAGGCCTAATGTTCTCTAAAGGCGATGTATTCCGTAAGGAGGATCCAGCAGGAGACGCTGTCGGTCTGATTGACGAGGACCTCCCGCTTGCTCGTTTGTCTGTAACTTTAGGCTCGGGTTGCGGTGGCTGTCGTACACTGGCACGGTGGGCAGTGGATAAGCTCTCTTCACCCGAGCTTTCAAATGATTTGTCTATATATATCCCATCAGCGGTTGTGTACAGACCGGTAACAGAGCCACTGTGAGCCTTACTTATCCGTCTCCGTTTTGAGCTTCTCTCCTCTGGCCCGTCATCGTCAGGAGGAATATCATATATCGACACATCATCGCGTAGTTTCCGCGCAGAGCTACGGGCTGCTGAGCGCCTGCTAGATGCCCGGGATGGTATTGAAAGCTGTTTGTTCGAGGTTGTAGAGTGACGAGACTGAGGTGTTATGGGGGGTTTGTCGGGAAGGGCTGGAGGTGACTGAGGCGGAGGAGGCGGGGACGGCGGAGCTGGAGATCCAAAGGTGAAGCCAAAATTGACGTCTTTGACTTTGTGATTGCTATGATACAAGTAGAGAGCAATCAGCAATCGCATTTATATTCGCAAGGACAAGTTGATACGCGTGTCTGGAGTAGACATACCCTGCGCCGCGCAGTCGCATCTGCTTCCGCTCCTCGCGGCCTAATTAAGAGTCAGTAAAGCGCGAACGGGTATCCCGCAGAAATCCATGACTTACTCGGTGCTGTCGCCATCCTCCTACATCTCTAGCCGTCGAGGTTGTAGGTCTATCAAAAAAAGACCGACGCGGCTCTAGTGTTGAAGATGTAAATAGGATTGCGATCCTTGGCGTTTAGGCAAATTGAACGTCGATCAAAAGAAATTAAAAAAGCGCCATGCAAAGCATTCAAAGCGCACAATATTTGAACATCGAGAACAAAACAGACGAACACTACGAACTATTCATACCAGAAGCCGTGGCTGCCAGCAGAATCAATGGGCTGGTTTTGGGGCAACTCTTCGTCTTCCGACGCTGACCCGACAAAGAAGCTGGATCCCAGCTTGCGAGAGTACCTCGAACAGGAGTCTCCGGCCAAATATACGCCCACAGCAGCTGGCATAAAACCGCAGCAGCAGAAGCAGTCGCAAGAGAAGGCGTCTACAGAGTCCGCTAGCTCGCAAGATCGAACAGCTGAAGCTGCAAGTCCCGTTCCCTCTGCTTCGCTTTTCCCGGACGGACGATATGCACACATATGGAAAGACTACAAGACCCTGGAGGAGATCGAAGGACCCAGCATCTCACCGGCGGAAAGGGTAGTTGAACAGTTTAAACAACGAAAGGACGTGCTGAATAGAGCTGCATTGGAGAATTGCTCGGAAGAGCATGAGGATCTATCGTTGTGTTTCAAGAGGGGGACGTTTGCAGACAAGATCAAGGCGCGGTTGACCATGTGTGGAGAGCAGAATGCGCGCTTCTCGAGGTGTTATACAATGCAGTCTGTGAGTATCGACTGTTTGGTTCTGAGAGACTGTCTTGCAGGTGCTGACACCCCTTTATAGAAATTCCTCCAAGCTCTAGGGTACGGCTCCTCGTTTGTATGGGACATGGAGAAGGAAGAGCGGATCCAGATGCATGCGGACAAACTATACCATCGTATGTTGGACTACGAAAGAAAGGTGGCTGAAGCAAAAGAAGCCGGCCGTGAACCTCCACATCCAAAGTCTCTATTCAAGTCAGAAGCAGAGATAGCGGCATCCGAACAGTCTGGCCGGCCGGATGACGAGTGTCTCATACCGGGTGGAGAGGGCTTGCCGGCTGGGGCAAAGCCATATAAGCCGTTGAAGGAGATGACACCACACGAGCGGGAGCTGGAGGTGCAGTCTTTGAAACAACAGATGGCTCAACGAGATGTTTACATGAAGGAGGTGGCACCGGTACTGAAGGCCGAAGAGGAGGCGAAGAATAAACGAAGAGAAAAGTTCTCCAGCTGGTTTGGAGAGACCATCGGGAGCTGGCTAGCATGATTTATCTACCTCCTGGAATACCTGTTTGTCTGCATTCGAAAGGCACAATCCGCTGGCGTCCTGGCGTTGCAAGCTTTTTCTTTGTCCGCCTTGATATATCAAATCATCTATGGCCTTCAGCTTATAAGGAGCACGCCGTTTACACTGCCACCAGGCTGGCGGGGCCTTTGCCGCATCCAGACGAGGGTCTACATGACCTATATGCTTGCTGGTATAGTCTGCTATGCTGACCACCATTATAACTTGTGAGCGAGCAGACTCTGCAAGCCTCCGCTAGGACCCAAGGCGTTATATCACAGAGAAAGTACAATAGCTCTCCAGAGTTGTCGGGGGAGGGTACGAAGGGCCGGAATATGGATTGATGGATGTAATTAGTAGTAATTGACATGATATAGCCCACGGTTTTGAAATAACAGAAACCCAGTATCAAAACGACTAAGCCAGCGGATTAAAGGTACACCTTTTGATACCCAGGTATTTTCTCCAAACTTACTCCGGCTATTCTCTTTAGCGTTCCCATAAAACTGAAGGAAAGCCGAAGCTGTCGGATGAACCTTTCCACGTCAAGCACTCCATCACTCTTTTCGGAGGATTTGCTTCCTTTCGGCTGAGATCCGGGGGTTAAAATAGCAAGCAATATCGCTTTCATAAGGTTGATATATAGAATCAACAGGCCGATAAAGCCTGGAAATAGGGGGTTTAGAGCAGTTTCTACGGATGCCTGAGCCTTCTATTAGGGGTATCGAGCTCGTTCCTGGGAGTTTGCAGGAGGCTTTGCTGCTGGAAGGAGATGATATTTGATCCTCGAGGTGCCAGCTGGACATCAACTATATAGTAGTAGTAGTAGCAGACGGAGTGAAGAAGGCCTTACCAGGGCGTCCGTGACCTACAGTCAAGTCAACGATATGTATATATTGACAGCTAGATGGTTCGGTAGCTGTATTGGCCGGTTGTGATGTGAATCTGCTTGCGGTAGCTCGGGACTCCTGTACCTCCAGCAGCACCGCAACAGGCTGGCCGCCGCCTCGTACCAGCAGAGAGGCAGAGATGGACACCGAGAGTCAGAGAGCCAGTCGAGATCCGTATGTGAGATCCAATCATGGCGGTTGCATAGCATGTTGTCGCAGCTAGTCATGCAGGCCAGCCGTCGCTAGCTGGAGGAAACACGACTCCGCGTAACTCGCCCGTCCACTCAGCTCCTGGTCCTCCTGTCTTCCTGGCTGGCTGGCAAGCATTTCAAACAAACAAACAGGCCGTGGCAGGGAGCTGTTTGCATGAAGAAATAGTCGATGCGCCCTCGAGGGTGGTGGGCTTGTTTGTTGCAGGGCGTCATCGCATCCAAATCAACTAGTTAGATGTTGTTAGCGGAGCTGCTGCTTCTCGACTTCTCGCTGACAACCACCTGCGTTGCTTCTCTGCTTTCCATCCTCACCACCACCACTACCACTATCACCACCGTCGCTCCTCGCAGCCATCGCCCGCCGCTGCACCCCCTTGATTGCTGAGCCAGCAGCCTCTTCGGCTTGGATACTCGCCGTGCTCGCCGGCTCGGCCCTGACGAGCTAACGACCTGCCTGTGTCGCCGTCGCTTCAATGGTGTTTTGACCTGCGAAGTTAAACACAACACCCCCGGATATTCGACCAGAGCTCTCCGTCTCACGCAGCCCACGAGCTGGTTTTGGATAGCCCTCTCAGCTGGCGTAGCGGGCGGATCCTGAAGCTGCGGCGCCAGTCGACAGACGCTCTACCACGCTCCTGGCAGCAGGGGAACTTCCGGCTCTTTTTGGTCGGCCCTCTGTTGGCTATCATTAAACCGCTACGATGAAGGCCACCCCTCTGCTCATTGCCTGGCACGACGACAATGCCCCTATCTACTCGGTGCACTTCGATCCTCATGGCAAGGGTCGACTGGCCACGGCTGGAAAGTACGTTTGCTCTCCAAAAAATGAACCAAGATCTCACTGTTGATAAAGCTGCGTGGTACTGGTAACTAACCGGCTGATGAAAATAGTGATAACAACGTTCGCGTACGGCTAAGCTCTTCCTCCCTATATTCCCCCCCCCCCCCCTTTTTTTTTTTGCTTCATCTTTTCTTCGGGAGCTCCAATTCCTCGTGATTCTGACATTTTGGATAGCTGTGGAAGGTCGAGTCGACCGGAGAAGAGCGCAAGGTTACCTACCTTAGTACTCTAATCAAGCACACGCAGGCCGTCAATGTTGTCCGCTTCTGCCCCAAAGGTACTACTATGTTCTGTCTATTCCACCTCATCTTTTAGACATACATGTATATGAATCTCAATAGAAAATTGACATTGGTATAGGAGAGATGCTGGCATCTGCCGGAGACGATGGCAACGTTCTTCTCTGGGTTCCCTCTGAGACACAAACACAGCCGGCGTTCGGACAGGAAGCATTGGACGATAAGGAAACCTGGCGAGTGAAGCACATGTGTAGATCGTCAGGAGCAGAGATATACGATCTAGCATGGTCTCCAGATGGTGTCTTTATCATTACCGGCAGCATGGACAACATTGCTCGGATCTACAATGCTCAGACAGGTACTGACTAACTATACCTATCCGTGACTTATTGTAGAACAATTCTAATAGCTCCTTACAGGCCAGATGGTTCGACAGATTGCTGAACACTCTCACTATGTACAAGGCGTTGCCTGGGACCCATTGAACGAGTACGTGGCCACACAGTCTTCAGATCGATCGGTGCATATCTACGCTCTCAAGACAAAGGATGGCCAATTCACTTTGACAACGCATGGAAAGTTTTTGAAGATGGACCTTCCAGCGAAACGGGTAGCTTCAAGCAGCCCGGTGCCCGACTTTGGTGGGAACAGGGTTCAATCGACCTCGGGAAACCCTATGACTGTGTCCTCCCCTGGTGCTTCAACGCCAGGCACTCCCCTGACGGCTCCTCTACCCATGGATCCGCCACCTGTGTCTCTCAGCCGCCGTTCCTCATTTGGCTCTTCACCCTCAATCCGCAGGTCAGCATCTCCAGCACCTTCTATGCCGTTACCCGCCGTGAAGCCCCTCGAAGCTGCATCTCCGGGACTTTTTGGTGGAATCGGCGTGAAGAACGCTAGCATTTATGCCAACGAGACCTTCAACTCTTTTTTCAGACGCTTGACATTTGCTCCAGACGGCAGCTTGCTCTTCACGCCAGCCGGACAGTACAAGGTTTCCCTTGCCGGACAGAACGATAAGGTCGTGGAAGATATAATTAACACAGTCTATGTCTACACCCGCGCTGGTTTCAATAAACCGCCGATAGCTCATCTCCCAGGCCATAAGAAACCGTCTGTTGCTGTTAAATGTTCCCCAGTATACTATACATTGAGGCAAGGCACCAAGCCCACTCGCCAGATATTTTTGGATTCCTCATCCGGTGAAGAGGCATTCCCATCTCTCCCGGACTCTGTTATTTCTCAGCCAGCTATGGAGCCTCCATCCAGTGCTCCACCTTCAGCCACCAGCGAGACGGCACGTTCGTTTCCTCAACTGGGAACGAACGAAAATGACACCGGCTCACAGAACGCCCCTATTCCCCCAGTATTTTCGTTGCCATATCGCATGGTCTACGCTGTTGCAACCCAAGATGCAGTTCTGGTATACGATACGCAGCAGCAGACACCGCTTTGTGTAGTAAATAACCTGCACTTTGCTACCTTTACCGATCTTTCCTGGTAGGTCCTTTTTTATCTATACTTCCTTCACTACGTAGTTTGATACTAACTAAAATATCAGGTCGCACGACGGGCTTACCCTTATAATGAGTTCCTCTGATGGATTCTGCTCATCGCTCTCCTTTTCTCCCGGAGAACTAGGCCAGGTGTACACTATGGAGAAGCCACATCCGATCTCATCTAATGTGGGAGTGTCCTCGAATGCCCCCACTGTTCAGTCACCAATTTTGACTTCTCCCCGCAAAAATTCCGCCGGCAAGGCTTCTTTAGCGGCAATTGGTACCCCGGCGCCAACCCCAACCGCAGTCCCTGCCCGTGCAGCTAGCTCTGGTCCAGCCACACCTTCTTCGGCCACTTCCAAGGCAGGTAATGTTGTGAACAACCCAACTCCTATTCTTGGCACTGTACCCTCAGTCACCGCCACGAGCTCTAGCCAGCCCTTTAGTACGCCACCGGAAACCCCCATGTCGTCCCATAGCGCTACCAATTCCATTAGTGGAAGTGTCTTGGGGAAGCGAGATATAAGCACGGTTAGCGAATCAGAGAAAGAAGACTCTCACGACAAGGACGAAGACGACCAAACAGGAAACAACGCCGCCCAACGAGAGCCAAAGAGAAAACGAATTGCACCAACGCTGGTTTCTTCTGCAAGCTCAGGGATGCCAAACTCAGAAGACTCCAATAAACCGTCCAGCTAAAGATATGTGAGCGGGAACGCCTTCAAAAGAGTTGTGCTTTTCAATCCAAGACGGGGCAAAATTGACTATAAAGAATTGAATCCACACCTCACTTGGCCTCCGATACCCCAATCACCTCTTGGCTCCTTATATTGGCCCTTCCCAGCCAACCATTACGTTCTATTATTCTGTCTTATCTTTGATTCCCCTTTTCCCTGCTTCTTCTTCACCTTGTACATATGAGGGGGTGCTATCGGGTCGCTCCATCTCACCCCGGCCCATTTTCTTTTTCTCTTTGTTCCTTTTATCTGCCTATACTCTCTCTACGTCACGGCTCTCACTTTTCCATCATTATCCAGAGTGCTTGAAACTGGCATTCCAAGTCTCATCTATCTTACTTCTATATCATAATCCCTATTACCTATGATATATCTTGTTTGGAGAAATCTTCTCTTATCCTTCCACCTCCCTTTTTTCATTACCATGTTTGACTACAGTGATGCTTTATCCTTTTCCTCTTTTTGACCACCCCCAGTTTCATTCTCATGCTTCGCACTTCGTCTGCTATTTTGAACCAGTCCGTCTTGTAGCGGAAGCAGATGGATGGCTGCCCTCTTCTCCGGGGAGTTGGATTTGTTACCATTGGATTATTTTATGTAGGAAAGCTGCAGCCTTGGGGTTGTCACTACAGGTTACCTCTAGTTAATGCTATTACGTATCTTTTGATATGAATGTATGCCTTTACAATCTTTATTTACTGGACAGCGGACGAGGGCGATTGGTATTCATTGAAGAACGGTGTAAATGTAGTTAACTATGACTTCTTCCGCGTGGGATCATCAACGCACCTGCTTCTACATCAAAAGAAATATTACCGGAAAGGAGCAAGAGTTAAGAAACGAATCTTCTTTTTTCATAATATATAAAACCGAGCCAGGTATAATAAACAGTAAAGAGATGGTATTAGGTATAAACAGGAGACAATACGAAAGCACGAAGAGCATAACAGAAAAAGTCATGATAAAGTAGAATAGAGCAAACGAAGTCTCATTGAACACATCAAAGAGCAAAAGAACAAGCCATGGGGGCCTTAATGGATGCAAATATTACAGTCCCTTCGCTTCTGACACCGGCTATCATCACATCAATTAAACAGATGAAAGCCGAGCAAAGCGTCAAGAAAAAAAAAAAAAAAAAAAATGGTCATGTCGCTACAAAAAATACATCAAGCTCTCCCAGTCTTGTGCATGTAGATACGTCCAATAATTACAGGGAAAAAGAGGCGAAAAGTAAGATCCTAGGAAGCGTGGAAAGCCAGAAATGGTGTGCTGCTAAGGCACCTAGGCCTGGGAAAGCGAGCCTTGCGGAATCGTTAATGATTGGCTGGTCGGGCATTCTTTTTTGGTTTCATGGGAGGCTGGCGAGTCATGCGGGTGTCGGTTGGTCCAAGACAGCATGACATGGCATGGTATGGCATGGGTTCTTGTCCTTGCCATGGAGTATGGATTGGCTGAGTTAGGATAAAAACGGCGGCTGGTATTGCTTCAGAAATCGCAGCATCGGTATTAGTTATCCGTCCCGTTTCAGGCCGCGTGTTTGTTAACGTAGGCACACGCAATAAATCCCCAACCCTTGTAAATTGTTTGTAGCACGAGGAAGAAGAGTGTGCGAGGCTGAAAAGGCCAGCAATTAGTGGAAGAAAATAAGAAGCGTCTGGCTCTTGAATTCCCTCTCTCGCGTACGACAGCTAAGAGTAGACCTCTAGCGGGTGTAAATAGTAGGTAGGGTATCTTGATTCACTCTCAATAACTTTGGGCAGAAACCATAGCAGGCTGGAGGGAAGGGAGTTAGTATTTATATCATAGATACAATTTGCCGTTGTGAGAAACGGATTAACAGTCCACGGCAATGAAGTGTGGGAACTTACTGGACTGTTGAGAACGTTGTTTCGTTTATTTCTGCCTTTCTTTATGTGGTTCTTCAGAGCACTTGAATCGAGAGGCTTGAGCAGCTCGAAACTGCAGAGGAGTTCGTCAGAGACGGACATAATGGCTCCCCAATTGTCGAATGCGCCGCAATACTATGAAAACAGTTAGACGACTTTAGTGTAACATTAACAGGGGAAAGAGCAGCTTACATTAGGAGCAGAAAATACAGTGACAAGGATGCGATCGTTAAAGAACTCATACCCGTCCTCGACAACCATGTGTGCGCGACAAACAAGGTCGAAGTCGTGTCTCTGCAGGAATTCCATAATGACCTTTTTACCAAAGCAATAACTTACGCCTCGTTCGTTAGGCTCCCAGTCCTCTTCCATTTCCGCTGGATCGCTCCATAGTAGATCATTCAATAGTCCATAATCAGGAACGTCAGTTGGTCGAGCAATACCGCGGATATCGTCCATGTGAGACAGGCTGGGAGAGAGGCCACCATGAACGCAGAATATCTTGCCGGCAACAATAGCGGCGATGGGAAGGCAGTTAAATGTATCGACGAATGTTTTCCAAATCTTAATATTGCATCGTCGTTTGCACTCATCGTAGAAACCGTAAACGCGTGTAACGTTGGCGCACTCATGATTTCCGCGAAGTAGGAAGAAATTCTCGGGGTATTTAAGCTTGTAGCAGAGTAAGAGAAGGATAGTCTCTAGAGATTGTTTCCCTCTGTCGACATAGTCACCAAGGAAAAGATAGTTAGAATTTGGAGGGAATCCACACATTTCGAAAAGTCTGATTAGGTCAGTGTATTGGCCATGAACATCGCCGACGATCTTCACTGGCGCTGAGAGCTCGAGTAAAGCTGGCTGCGTCAAAAGAAGTTCGCGAGCAGCGGTGCAGACGGCAATGATTTCAGCGTTTTTGAGGCACACTGCTTTCGTGACTTTGGTGGAATAGCCAGCATCAAGGAGTCGCGTTATCATATCGTCAACATCGATAGACTTGAGCGCTCCGATAGTCATGCCGGGGGATCCGTTAGTCCCATTCTGGTCTATTACCGACCTGGCGCCGGACTCGTTCAAGACGGGGTTGAGAGAATTCTCTCTCTTAATCAGGATGGACTCGCCGGCCTTTTGAGCAACGGTCGTTGGAGCAACATGTTGCGGACCAGCATCGGACACGTGGTCAACTTCTCCGGATTTTTGTGCGGCCTTGACATCCTTGTGGCCACGACCGATTGATGATGAGTGTGGAGGGGAAGGTGGTGGGTTTGGCGCTTCATCCTGCAAATCGTCCTGTGAGCTGACTGGTGGAATTGGCAAGGAAGAGCCAGAGAGGTTGCGGGCATGTCGCGAAATAGAAGAGCGAGCAAAGGCAGCGTCTAACCCTTCGGGAGGAGCACTGTCTGAGCGCGCAAGGGTTCCATTAGAGGCCCTTGGGCTGTCCGTCTTATCACTCCTGCCACTTCCTGGTATCTTGGAACGAATCGAGCCACGGATGGAACGGCTGGAGTCCTTTGTGTCGGATTTTGAGATTGAAGGATACGCTTGTAAGCCTTCGACCTGCAATCCTCCCCCATTTGACCGGGACACATTCTTCGATTGCTGTTGTCCCATGCTGAAGAGGACTTGTATCTTGGTCTTGTTTGAATCCTGCCTTGATTTTCCTTTCGTTTCTCTCCTCTATCTATTCTTTGCTGTTTCAGGTTGCTCGAAGAAATGACCGTTAAGGTGGCTCGAAGAGGGTGGAGATGAAGCAGAGGAAACTAGCCTCTACAAACGAGGTAGTGTGCGACAGTATCCTGCAAGACTTGATGGTGGACGTAAGGCGGTCGTCCAGGTTATTGTGAGGAGGAGGAAGAGGAGCACGACGACGGTGAAATGGCTCCAGGTTCGTAGATTTAACCGCTCGTCTGAGCAAGGAGGAAAACAGTGGGAACGCAAGAGAAAGTAACGCCTTTTGACGGGGGTGGCAGGGTCAGGATCTGGGCACTATAGGATTTTCCAGCGGTATCTACGGGTAGTGGCGAGTTAGTTTCAGGTCCACAAAGAAGCAACCAGCGTCTCCGGCAGGCGATCCGCAAACGAGCGAGCGCTGGTAGACCGCAGGATGGTCGTAGATTGATTCCTGCCGGGCTGTGTATATGTTACGCACCTATCTGGCGGCGAGAGAGCAGGGAGGAGGGGTGGTGGTGGTGGTGGAAGGCTCAGCGAGATAAAGGGACTCAAGTTGAGCAGGGGCAAAGCTGCAGACCGACTTGCGGGTAGAGAAGGGCCCTAAGGAGTGTCGGCAGACATTAGACGTAGCAAAACACGGAATCTGCGGCAGGTTTCGTCGTCGTCGTCGTCTTCTTGTGCGTAAGAAGCTGGACGGGTGGCTTGCTGGCGGGCGTTCTTGGTCACGGCTTGGACGGAGGTTGAGTTGAGGGCGAGAAAGTTCGGCGATGGTTTTTCCCTTTCAAGATAAAGTCGAGATGCGGGAGCAAAAAAGGCAAAAAAAAAAAAAAAGGATGGAAATGGAAAAGGCGGACAGGCCGGCGCCGGAACTTCGTTTTGCCGAAGCGCGCGTGGCGACCTCAGGTTATTTTGACCTTGAAGATATCAAGCTGGGACGACGATACAGACAGAGATGGTGAGAGAGCGCGACGACGAGACGGGAGGAGGGAAACAGGGAGAGTGACGGCGGTGGTGACGATGAGGAGTCAGTTGGAACGGGCGTCAGCCTTATGGCGAGGTATCACAGCGCCAGGGCTTGCAGCAGCGGCAGGGAGTACAGAAGTGCACAGCAAAGACACACATATATAAGCCAGCTATCGACTCTGATGGAGCACTGAATATGGAGTACGGATGCTATCCTTCGGCCTGGAAGTTCGATAAGCAGATATATATACCTACTCCGTCTATCAGTCGCCTCGTGTATCAGAAGCTGCTTGAGCTCCATGTTGTTGCTGATTCTGACGATCCAAAAGCAATATACGTGCCCCCAACCAGTTCGTCCAATGTGATGCTCGCTTACCGTCCCGAAGTGCGAATCACAGTGGACGCTAATTCTCGGTTTCATCAAATGGCCTGTTGTCGCTGAGGCCTGGCCAGGACTAGTCCAGCAACGGCTGCAGATCCATCGCGAGGGTCACTGTTCCTCCACGATAACTGGATATCTGGGACGTGTTCCCGCGAAGTTTATTGTTCCGACTGAAGAGACGAAAAAGGCGACAAAGAGACTCGAGATCATATTTTATGGAGTACTGTCTGCATTTTCCCAATATATTCGGTCTAAATATATTCGATTACTACACCCGTCTGCGCAGTCCTTTGCAAGTAATACATTTGCTACATATATGCAGGTCGATATCGTGGCAGCCTCCTTTGGTGTGACCTGAGCGTTCAGGGAGGGAAAAAAAAAACACCTCTCCATGGACTCGGCGTGCAGAGAAGCTCACACACTCCAGGCTGCCGTTTTGGGCTGTGCGTAGCTATATCGGATGCACCCTATGTTCCAGCCAGCAGTCCTGCGGAACGTGGTTCCTGCTGATCGGGTCCTCCATGTTATTTTATTCCTTTTTTTCCCCTCTGTCTCTGTGACAATAATTTTCCCTACTCTTCCCGTCCTTGTTTCTCCCCCGCCGCACGTCAAGGCGCACAAAGCACCCCAGTCCAGCTTTCTTGGCTTTTTTATGCACCCGTATGATTCAGCCCACTTCGCCGCTGTCGGAGGGGAATAAAAAAAGGGGGCGTCTCTCGAGTTGCCTCATTTGTTTTATCGTCAATGCTGGGACACTGGCCATCACTCTCAGCCACCGTGTGCACCTGTCGTAGATTTATCAAGCTCGATCTTTGTGATGTGCTGGCCCGGAATCACAACCAGCCCAATGAACCGCCGGGTCATGTCAGTATTAAAATCGAGTGGTTCGTTGCAAGGCGTCTTCGGGCCTTCCGTCTCCTCTGCAGAGGCTTGTTCAGCAGGAGCTGACTCTGTCGGGCAGCGATACTCATGCGTGGTGCTCAGTATCATGTTTCGGTCCTATTTTTCACACAATATCCAGAGTTTAATCATCCGCAAGTCCCAATGTTGAACCGGAGGAATGGCGCAGGTTTACCCACGTTATCTGTGCATTTGAACAGACCTACGAACACTCGCGAGTCCGAGGTGTGCACACGAAGGACCTTGTCCACCAGGCTCTCAAGGTACTCCCGCGCTTCGTCTCTCTCCATTGCAACCTGCTGTGTCATATGCTCCTTGTCTAATTATTCCTCATCGCGTTGTCACTGGTAATGTCGAATTTGGCATTTGGCTTCCTCTTGTTGTCGTGTTTTCTCTCCTATCGAGAACCTTGGCGCCCGGTCAAAAATAAGTCACGTGAAGTATTAATTAGTGCAAAGCTTGGCTTCACTTGTGCATAAAATTATGCGCATTGAGATATCTCAACTCCTACTGAGCAAACGGTGAGCCGAATCGAAGGACGAGGAGACAGGGACAAGGAGCGAAAAAGCGGAGAAGAAAGTTGATAGGCAGGTAATCTGGGGCACCCTGGGGATGGACTCAATATATAGACACTTTCATCCCTTTTAAGATTGATAGGATTGACCAGGGAGAGATGCTTAATCACTGCATGTTTGCTGGGCATCATCATGGTGACCACGGAGTACTATGTACAAACATCCCACATTTCCATCCCAACACCACAGAGAACAAGGTACTCCCTGTCTTGTCCGCTGGCTTGCACTGTGAATTGATCTATTGCGGACAGATCGGCCACGGCGGTGTACATATCGCCCTGCAGAGATACCTGAACATCCCCGTCTATACTATCAACCAATGCAGACCATAGTTTGATCCTTTGGTCATTCCCGCTTGATGCGACAAGGAATCCAACCATCCTTTTATCCGCTCCATGTTCAATACACCGCACCTGGCAGATGGCATTGATTGCCGAAGCATGCGCATTTGGATACGAAACCGTTGAGAAGCGGCTGATAAGGCTCGGACAAGGCCCGGAGGTTGAAGACTCCGAGAATCTGAGGGTCGAAAAGGCGAGGCAATTATCATCTCCACCAGTGATGAGCAGGACTTGTGCCCCTGGTAGCGGGAGCAGCTCCATTGCCTTTATGCTGCTCTGGTGTGCGGTTCTACGATCTCCCCATTTGATCGACACCGGCTCGGCAGGGAACGGTACGTCATCCCTGCGCTTGATGGATCTGCCGCCTAAACCAAAATATGGCTTGATCGATGGTGTCAAATCCCAAACTGCTATGTGTCCATCTGTCGACCCTGTGATAAGTTGCAGCTCAGAACCCGACATCACTAGCCGGATTTGTGTAAGGCAGTTGCTTGTGTATACCCCCTGCGCTAGGAGTGTAAACTCTCCACCCTCTGCAGACGACAAGTAGTGAAATACCTGTGGGGTACGTACTTCCCGTTAACGTCATGTTACATAGGCGTTCAGAAGTAAATTGAGGGTTTCATTTACCTTTGCAGTCGAATTAGAGTAGGCCATGGCGATCAGGAATGATTCACGCCCGCTATCATCTGCTGTGACGTTGATAACGTCGAAATGTGTTGTCCGTAGATCAGAATTCACTCGAGACTTGGGAGCTTCACTTTCATTCAAAACACCGATCCCAAATCCAGGTATCCATCTAATTCTCCAGACATAGAACTCCTCCCTTCCGGCACTGCTGAACAAAAATCTGCCGCTCGTTGACCATTGGAGGTGCTGCAATCCTGCGCTATGTTTCTTGATGGCTCGTATGGAACGAAAGCCATCCTTCCCTTCTGCCCCTTCGTTAAGCGTGAAGAAACGAATTTCGGTATCTTCAGCGCCGGTTGCAAGTACCGTCCATGGGGCCTTAGCGCTGTCAACCTGCATTTTGGATATTGACATAGCTTTTATTTCCCTGCCATGCCCCCCTTGCCTTACACGGTGATGACACTGAAATTGCTCTGACATAATATTAAAAGTTGATGCCTTAATCCACAAGAGCACATGGCCCATATTCCCGAAATGGTATGCCCATCTTCTATGAGCCCCTCCACATTCAACTGACAAGATTTCTGTCTGAGTTGTCTCATCCCATAAAACGAAATATGTGCTTCGGAACCCCCATAGTATCAGGTGTCCTGTCTTAGGATCTAGCCTGGAACCCTCAATATACGCGCCGAATGGGGCACTTATCCGGTGAAGTGTTTCCATTTTGAACTGAATGCCCGATCTGTCAAGTCGATGGATGCAGTAGGTTCCATCCCTTCCGGTTGTAATAAGATCCACAAAACTTGAGTTTCGGTCTTCCCGCAAGTAGGTGATGGACGTGACTGCATCCTTTTTGTGCGCTGGGAAGACACATAACGGATCTTCTGGCACTTCTCTCGGTAATTCAAAGCTAAAACGAAACACGACAATGTTTCCCCATCTAGCGCCAAGGATCAGCAATGACATGGAGGGAATTGAAAGAGCACTTGAGACCACAAATTCTGCTGGCAATGCAAGTTGTTGATTTGCAAAGACTTTAGGGGATGGCGAAGCCTCAATAATAAGGAGGTTGGCGTGTGAAAATGCCCTAGAGCTGGTGATAAATGTAACAGGGCAGGTATCATTGCCATCATAGCCCTTGGGGGGTTGGATGACGAAGATATCGGATATCCCTTGGCCTATATCTGCGAGCTCCTCCACACGTCTTTCTTTGTGACTGTACCATAATATTCGCCCAGTACTCGTGCCGATTAGACCAATCTCCCTCTCTGGAATGCCAGTTATCGCCCCGTAGGAACCTACTCCCCCAATAATAGGAACGGTGCTCCACTGTAGCACACTTCCGTCCTGTGATCGTATATCCTGCGGCTCGGGTGTGGAAACCTGACCAAGGAGGGCAACTCCTTCAGTAAATGGCGCGATAAAAGAATCTTCTGAAATAAATCCAAAGGAATTTATTCTACCATCACTCCTAGAATTCTTTGTGCGCCCATTACTCACAGCAGGGTGGTTGTTAATGCGAAGGAATTCATCATAAACTCCATCGTAGGTATAATTCTTTACCCTTCTTCCGGGAATATACGCTCCAGTTAGCCGTGGAACGATGAGTGACGATATATTGCTATCGGCTCCCCCCGTGAGCACGCCAAATGAACCCATATTCTCGATCACATCCATGGACCATATATTTTTCCCCACGTGGTAGGAATAGGATGATATTGGCTTTAAAGTAGTCCTGTTTTTCAGAAGTATATATTGATTATCGATGAGTTCATATTTCGTTGTGAGGTTCCAAAAGATAGAGGTGCAATCCTCGGACCTAGATATCAAGTTGAAAGCGATGTAGTCGTCAGAGACCTCGAAGTCAAGAAATCGAATCCCCCATATACGTGCTTCATGGCCATATTCTTTCGCAAGACAGAATTCTTGCGCCGATGACGTTTCATCGGCTGGGGTTATATAGAATCCAGTTCCACGGCTGATTGTGATGGTTTCGCAGGCTGATAAGTCACCGTTGCTGGTGAGTCCTTGGTGATATGAAGATATATCCCAGATACGGACGGTTCTATCGTCACTGCAGCTGGCAACAAATTTTTTTGTTACCTGTCCACCGTTTATCGGTATGTCTGGGGAAATATCCACTCCGAATATTGACCCTTCATGGCCAGTGAAAAAGTGGTTGATTGTTATAGTATCGTTGGCTTGCTGGCATGGATCTGCATCAAGCGCCAGTTGGCAGGACCATATTATTATCTCGCCAAATACTGTTCCAGCAGCAACAAGGACACGGTTGGAGCCCCAGGTGATATCAGCAGAGTAGAGAATAGGTCTCAAATTCGATCCTAGTTCATGCAATTGGATAATATTTTCATTGCCCAGTTCGGTTTTGTAGGGGAGGAATGTAAGGGCAAAAACTACATTATGTGCAGTAATTAATAACCCCTGGATAACCCCTTTTATTTCGGAGCTGGTACTGGGAACGGTCGTATCCAAAATCCAATCTGGCGCACGACATTCACCGCTTCCTGGATATAGAGATACATTTTCTGTTTCCCTTGATCCTTGCAAATGTAACCTGACAATTCGAAGAGAATATCCTCCCCACATTAAAAAAGTAGAGGTATAATCGTCGCCATCCCTCCAGCACTCTTCAATCGCCTGGATTCCATGAACAGTATTTCGTTCAAACACTCGGAATCGATCGAGCAGGATGCCCTTGGATTGATCAAGTAGTTGAACAAATGGTCCACTCCCATTAAGTAGTAATCTTCTGCCGGGTATATTTACATGTTTAAGGGCCGTTATGGGGAGGCATGTGTCATGGTTCTGTGAATACTTTTAGTGCAAAGCACAAAATTAAAGAGAGGAGGGGTAGCTCGGAGATTCACCTTGATTGAGCATGACATCGATGCTAATTATGTATACAACAAGAAATCCCTATGGAAAGACACCTTATTCATACCAATAATTTATCCTATAACCAACCCTCTGACCCTCCAGCAAATTATCAATTTTTATGTTCAATTTTGGAGGGGAACAAGTTTTGAGTGCAAAATAAAGATTAGAGCCTCAGTTATCCACGTGATCACGCGCCTCCAAGATGACTAAGCTGGTGCCTTGACTAACAGGCTGAAGCGGCTGAACCTTCGATCATCTCGACTCATGTTCATTTCACCCACGGCGACTCTATCCATCTAGAGACAGGTACGAGAACAAGCTGTGATGTTGGAAAGCACTGTGCTGTCCATGTCGATACCGCCGCTGGCTATACGTCATGGGTGTGACTGGGCTTTGGACGGTCGTCAAGCCTTGCGCGCGGCCTATCAAGCTCGAAACCCTTAACAAGAGGAGGCTCGCCATCGATGCATCTATATGGATATACCAATTCCTCAAAGCTGTACGTGATAAAGAGGGCAATGCTCTCCGGAATGCACATATCGTTGGATTTTTCAGGCGAATCTGCAAACTACTCTATTTTGGCATTAAACCAGTCTTCGTTTTTGACGGTGGCGCACCGATACTCAAGCGGCAGACTATTGCAAACCGGAAGAGACGCAGAGAAGGAAGAAGAGAAGATGCTGCAAGAACTGCTAGCAAATTGTTGGCCATCCAAATTCAAAGGCAGGCTGAGGAGGAAGCAGCAAGAAGAAAAGCAAAATCTCAACATGAACCGCAAGAGGAACAGCTGCCAGACGAATTAGTCTATGCTGAGGAAACCCTAATGACTAAAGCAGAGAGGCAAAGGAATAGACAGTTTAGGAAAACTGATGCATATCATCTTCCCGAGTTGGAGATGTCTCTAGCAGAAATGGGCGCACCAAATGACCCCAGGATCATGTCGCACGAAGAACTGGAAGCTTACGCACAGCAATTTAAGTCTGGCGAAAATATTAACCTCTATGATTTTTCAAAAATTGACTTTGACGGGCCATTTTTCCTCAGCCTGCCTGCTAGCGATCGGTATAATATACTGAATGCCGCCAGGCTTCGAAGCAGGCTACGAATGGGGTATTCTAAAGATCAGCTAGATACCATGTTTCCGGACCGTATGGCTTTTTCCAGATTTCAAATAGAGCGAGTGGCTGAGCGTAATAACCTTACTCAACGTCTCATGAATATCAGTGGGATGAATGGCGATAATCTCGCTTACGGGAGCGGGTCTTCCCGGGTTGCTGGAGAGAGAGACAGGGAGTACGTACTAGTGAAAGACAGTGGAGTTGAGGGTGGATGGGCTCTTGGTGTTTTGGGTAATAAAGAAGGGTCTAGTATAAACAAGCCCATTGAAATAGATAAACAGGAGGAATGCCACTTGCCGGACGACGATGATGAGGGCGAAGAATTTGAGGACGTGCCTATTGAAGGCCTCAATCGCCTTCCAAAACTGCCAATATTTAAACATGGTGTATTCGACGAATCTATCGCACAACAGCATCGCACGCAGTTAGCGACGGGCGAGATGGAAGTCACCGAAGATAGTGTGGACGATGCCTTGTTTGTGGATGATGGGACAGAAGCAGAGGCTTCTAGAGTTGATGAACTTTTCGAGCACATAGAAGCTGAAGAAGCTAAAGATCTTTCCAGAGCAATTGACCTATCCCTGGAATATATACCCGAAGCCGACCATCCTATGATTGAAGAGTGGGCAGGAAGAGCTACAACCAGCGAGGCAGCCAATGCGAAAGATATCCCAAACCAGTCAGATAGTGATGATGATATGGAGTTCTTCTCTGCCTTAGCCAAATCTAGGGTTACAAAGCAATCAGTCAGTAACACTCAGCCTTCTCGCCAATTCTCTGGTCCGCTGCCATTTGAACCGCTGAGGATAATCAGGGGTCCGCAGGAACCTCGTAATGCGAATAAGGATCCAGAAGATACCGACGCCGGGGGCTTTGAGAATTCTGAACCCAAAGGAAAAGAGAAAGAAACTCAACCGCTTCCTCCTTGGTTTACGGGGCCATCTGAACAAAAGGAGTTCATACCAAGAGAGGAGTCTCAGGTTAAGACCTACCAGCAGTCATTACAAACCAACAATATTCTTCCTTGCTCAAATGCTATAGGTATAACAGACAGCGATGACGATAAGGGCACTGAGAAGGAAGTCATTAACCTAGCATCTCCCACGCCGAGTGGCAGTGTCCAGCTACCGACCTCCCCAGTGAAATTGCAGGATGAAAAGATCATGACCACTGACTACTCACTAAGCCCTGCCACTCACAATTTCCCTCATGTACGGGAAGATACCACATCGAAGTCAACGCCTGAGAAAGTCGAAGGGGTTTACCAACCTCAAGAGTTGTCTAAATCTAGTGAAGACACACCCAACACTACTTCTATACCACTGAATCCTGAGGCTAGGGATGAAGTCACGGCGCCTCTGCCTTCTGGTCCCTCAACTCCCAATGTGGGAGCTGAAGGCTCCGAGAACCAATTGGGAGTGTATCCTGACGGGGATGACGAGTATTCCGATCCCGAAGATGACGAACTGATGTATCAACTAGCTATGGAAGCTGAGGAACATGCCCGCTTTGCTTCAACATTGAATTCTAAAAGTCAAGCTGAAAATGCTTTTGACTATGAGCAAGAATTGAAGCAACTTCGTTCCCAACAGAAGAAGGATAGACGGGACGCTGATGAAGTATCTCAAATCATGGTTACAGAATGTCAGCAATTATTACGATTATTTGGACTTCCATATATTACGGCTCCAATGGAAGCTGAGGCGCAGTGTGCCGAACTAGTGACTTTGGGGCTAGTTGACGGTATTGTCACAGACGATAGCGATACATTTTTATTTGGAGGCACTCGGATCTACAAAAACATGTTCAACCAGTCGAAATATGTGGAGTGCTATCTTTCAAGCGACCTAGAAAAGGAATATACATTGGATAGGAAAAAGCTTATTAGCTTTTCTCACTTGCTAGGAAGTGATTATACGGAGGGGATTCCAGGCATAGGTCCTGTGACGGCGCTTGAAATACTCACAGAATTTTCAGACTTGGAAGAGTTTAGGGATTGGTGGTCACAAGTCCAGTTGGGATATAAAATCCCCGATGATCCCCATGAAGGGTTCCGCAAGAAGTTTAAGAAAAATGTTACGAAACTGTTTTTACCTCCAGGTTTCCCAAACAAGGCGGTTGAGAAGGCTTATCTGGAACCCGAGGTAGATTCCGATCCCTCTGGGTTTATATGGGGAGTTCCTGATTTGGATGCTGTGAGACAATTCCTAATGGCAACAGTCGGATGGTCACCGGAACGGACTGATGAAGTCCTTGTCCCCGTAATACGGGATGTGAATCGAAGAGAGCAGGAGGGTACCCAATCAAACATCACTGGGTTCTTCCAAGGCCCTCAGGGCGCAGGAGCCTTTGCCCCTCGACAACGAACTGCAGGCAAAAGTCGTATTGAAAAGGCTTTTGGAAGGTTGAGGAACCAAGCAGAAGCAAAACAAACGACTTTGGGTTCGTCCATCGACGAGGACACTGATTCACCGGAAAAATTTACAGGAGGTGATGATAATGCCTCTGCAGCATCAAGACGACGGATGAGAGCCACCGACACCTCCATCGATGTAGATGATGAAACTGCCAGCAAGCAGCCCCCACGCAAGGCTAGGAAAAAAGAAAAAGATACGAAAACATAATGTACTTGGATATGAATAACAGCGCCAGCGGCAATTTGTACAGCCACCCTTACTTATCAATTGACTTTCTGAGCAGCCCACGGATAATTCTCCGATGATCTGCACGAATGAGAAGGCCGCATAGCTGTTCTAGATTGAACTACCAAATGTAAATCCCCGTCTCCGTTTCAGATCATTCACAATGTTGGCAGACCAGGTGGAGACATGACGTAGAAAAGCGATGTGACGTTTGAGGGCTGCAACTTGGGTCTGGCGGAGGGACGGTGGACGAAAGTAAAACGGAAGTAATTACAAGCCACTCTCCTGCAAGGGACCCCCTAATAGTAACTTCTCTCCTTTGTATCCCTACCAAAATTGTCAAATCGAACAAAGCCGCTTGTGTGACAGCTTTGGAAGCGGCTGAAAGGAGGGATATGCTGAGTCATCAACGACGTCATCATCCTTCCGATATTTAATAACAAAACAAACGCCCAACTCTTCCCACCCAAGTTCAAGCACCCAACTTCGCCTCCAGACGTCTGCCGGTCCCTTGCAACAATACCACACTCGATTAACCGACTATACTGCCAATTGTTACCGCTTCAACGCTGCAACTGAGTCTGCAAAGTCACTATCTGTCACTTTCTGCACCTCTTGACACCAAAGTCCGTTTGATTCCATCAATTTCCTTCCGTTCCTTCCTACAAAACAGGCAAGAAGAAGGATAATTGGAGGAATCTACGGCGCTATAAAGTTGTCTACTTTCGACTGATTGACATTTTAATTCCTATTTCTTTCGTTACTGTTTGGATTCACATACGTGCTGCCGTTCAATATGCACCGTACCTATTCCTTGCGCCAGACTCGTGCGCCGACTGCTTCCCAAATTGAGAGCCCCCCGCCACCAATATCGTCGACCAAGACCAATAGGCTTTTTGGGAACACAAGCCTTGGTACGTTTTACCTGATTTATAGTGAAAAGCTTCACTTCGCTACATCCTCATATTTGCCTGGGATATACCAAGGGACTCTCGAGTAGTAGCGGGAAAATATACCAATACCGACATGGCTTATATATCACCCGGCTAACAATATACTCTTTTTTAGGCCATGCTTTCCGCAAAACAGCCGCCGGCAGTTTTGGCCCTGATCTCGCCAAGAAGCTTTCACAACTTGTGAAGATGGAGAAAAACGTTATGCGCAGTATGGAATTGGTCGGCAGAGAGCGAATGGATGTTGCAGTACGTCTCTTACTGGTGAATATTCAAATACGGAACATAAATTCTAACCTAGTTGGTAGCAACAATTATCTCTGTGGGGAGAAGGCTGTGACGACGATGTTTCCGATATCACTGATAAGCTTGGGGTGCTAATATACGAAATTGGCGAGCTTGAAGACCAATTTATCGATCGATACGACCAATATCGGGTGACAATCAAGAGTATTCGTAACATTGAAGCTTCTGTCCAACCCAGCAGAGACCGTGAGTTCATGATTATGTTGCTTTCCGTTACATGGCACCTAACTAACCCCACGCTAGGCAAACAAAAAATCACTGATCAGATTGCGCAGCTTAAATACAAGGATCCTAACTCACCGCGCCTTGTCGTTTTAGAGCAAGAGCTTGTTCGAGCTGAAGCGGAATCTCTTGTTGCTGAAGCACAACTTTCAAATATTACCCGCGAAAAAGTCAAGGCTGCCTTCAACTACCAGTTTGACGCACTGAGGGAACACTGTGAGAAATTAGCAATTATTGCAGGTTATGGAAAGCACCTTGTCGAACTGATTGACGACACACCCGTTACCCCCGGCGAAACACGGGCAGCCTATGACGGATATGATGCTAGCAAAGCTATAATTCAGGATTGTGAGGACGCATTGACAAATTGGGTCTCGTCCAGCGCGGCAGTTCACTCAAAGCTTTCCACACGATCTCGAACTTTATCCCAACGAAGGCGGAACAACATTTCAAAAGCTCGTGCTGATGGAGGAGGCATGGGCAGCCATGAACAGTCAATGCGTGGAGATCGTGACTCTTGGGTGCCAGCAGAACAACACCCCAATTATACCCCGTCACAAGCAGACGATGACGATATCTATGAAGAAGAAGATGTTGTCCAGAATGGTGAGACAGTGAGAGAGGAGGAGAGAGCACAAGTTGCTGCGTAAAGCAGCTTGTGTGATCCGATCTTGTCCCGCTTAACCTCCTCTTGCGTATACCCTAAAGATGTCTGTATAGCCTTGCTTCGAATCAACCGCCCATCAGGAACCAACCCAGTTACATGACCCCACGCCAACTTAATACCCATTGTTGTCCCTGATGTATAAAGAACACATTGCTCACTTGTGTATTATTGTCTCTCGTCTTATGTCTTTGAGCTACTGCTTTTGGAGTTGGCAGTGGGTAAAGTGAGTACCGAGTGGCTACATGGGTGGTGTAATTCCAATGGGGATCTACTACTTTTCTCCGCAGTTGCTAACTAGCCCAAGTACTCGATCCTCAAAAGATGTGCACTGTTGGCTGTTTTTATGTATGATTTTGCACCATTAGTACCCTTTAATGTTAACAATGTTATAATGTCATGTCTAAAGTAACTGCAAATGAGCCAGCGGTTTGGAAACTAAAAGTATTGTCATATGGAATATCCAGCCTCTTTGCTGTCAATTTGTATGCACGCCTTTTAGGTTGACCTGATTTCTCTATCTAAATGTCATTGAGTCACAACAACTGGCACCTAGTGTACTGGTATGAATTGTATATAAACTAACTTTCCATGTTCTTCAACGAAGTATTCGAATCAACAAGCCAATAATACAATAATATATCCTCTCACGCGCGTGTACTCTTCTTTCCCTCACTACAACTCGTCGTCTATTGAAGTCTCGCCCCGCGTGCCACGAAGATACAATTCCTTTCGTATCTTCTCTTTCCAGTTCTTAGGGCCGGTATGAAGCGACTTTGCGGTCTGCCCAAGCTTCCCCGTTAATTAACCCAAACGCCACATTAGGCGATGCATCATATATATACCCGTGGCATGCTCCGTGTAGAAGTCGAGCACTTTGTATCTTGATTGCGGTCGTGCAGTGTAAGATAAGCAGTAAAATGCGTTATGCCGGTAGTCCTTTGATTAAATAATATAACTTAGTAGTAAATGGGAAGATACAAATAACCTATATAGATCCCTATGCTCATTCCAAAATCCAACAGACCTACACCATTTACAGATCAAGTCATTAATCATTTGGACGGAGGTTCCTCTCGCCATATAACCATCAGATCTGACTCTGAGTACATGGTCAACTCTTCTCAACGGCTTTCACTGTGGCTCTTAACAGACCACTGCCAAAAGTCTGGTTGGGCTTTTCCATCAATTTAGTCAAGAGATCATTCATACGCAAATCGCGCGTTTCGGAATCATTGGAGGTTTCAAATCCGTATACCGTGCTTGCAGTGGCATCAAAATCTATCCCAACACCAATATTTGGACCGTCAGCATATTTTTCAAGAGCCTTTGGCTTTGCAGTGAAGTCAATATCAACTCTTGCTCGTTCTCCTTGTTTCTTCTTGGGTTTATTGACTTCCTCCGGTGAAATTTTGTCTTTTATGTTGCCTAAAAGAGTGCAGCGAATTTTCAACAGCGTGGGTTCAGATCGCTTGGCCCCTATTGATTTGATGTTAACAATTCCGCAATATCCTAGCATTCTAATTTCTTCTTGCAAGGACTTTGCAGTCTCCCAACATCTCGCAATGCCACTCAGCAATTGTTTCAACGAAACGGGGGATAGCAAAGCATAGGAAACCTGCATGCGTATAGCATTGAGGATTAAAGAAGCTCCTGGACTAGGATTTACAGCGGCAGATTGCAGCCCATTTCCCCTGGGAGCATATGTTAAGGTCAAGGGCAAGGTATCGTGCTGAGAGGCCTGTCGCTCGTCCTTGGTTAAATTTTGCGAAAGGGTGTGAATGTGGCTTGGATTGCAGTCGAGTTGAAGCTCCCCTCTATACCGCATCGAGAGAGTAATGCCCTTCACAGCATCCATGCTTGGTTTTGCAGAAATGATAGCCCAACCAGTCTGTTTCTCTAGAGAGTTAACAGAATCTGTGCAGGTCTAGTCAGCCTATCAATTCTAGAGGGCAAATATTGGGCCAAAGGTATGGAAATCAGCTTACCCTGTAGCACTCGGACCTCTTTCTCATCCCAACCACGGCATTCCTCTTTGATACTCTCAGCTTCGCGAATCTCTTGCAACAGTTCTTCTCTTCGCGCTTGGGCTTTCTCCAGTGAGACACTCTTCGCCTCAAGCCTACCCCGTGCCTGAGTGTATTTATCTTTGTAGCCCGAGAGTTCGGTTTCAACCGCTAGAAGTTTCTCTCTGGCATCCCGCAGTTCTTCTTGATCGCAGTTTTCGATTTCATCTATTACTTTCTGGAGATTTTGGGAATCAATCTCTAGCTTGCCATGCCTCTCAATTAAGCCGGGAACCACATTCGCCAGGATATTTTCCTTCTTCGAGAGAATCTCATCGTCCTGTTTCATTTCGTCGACATGCCGATCTAGACCTTGCTTTAAGCCTTCCAGTAGTTTCATTCGCCATTCATACCACATTTCTTTACTTAATAGCCGCGCGTGGGTTTTGACATTCCGGAATTGATTATCCATCAATAGCCGAATATCCGGCGTGGCTGTGATATACTCCTGGAACAATGGGGGATTTTCAGAGTATGTCTCTGCTTCTATAGATCGGATGATGCGCCGGCCTTCAGAAATATATGATTTCAACTCTCGACATGACTGCGAATTTCGTTAGTGGTTAGACATAATTTCTTCTTCTAAACTCGAAGACCCCAAATGGTGAGCTTACATGTTGGTATAATTCAAGCATTGGTAAAGTGCAGAATCCAGCAGCGACCCGGTCCTCGAGGCCAAACTCCTTTGCTCCCTGCAGGCTCTCTGTGCCGCATTTTTCAGGGCTTCCAGGAGCAATGGTATGTCTTCGTTTCGTTGTTGTCAACTCCATGAAGTGTATATTGGTCATTTCAAGAAAGTCGGAAAGCTTTATTGGTTCAACGGGGGTGCTAATACCTCCAGGCAAAATGTTATTCCCTTCTTTAGCCTCCTGTAGGGAAGCTTGGCCGGTTGGAGTATGCACCACAAGGTCTTTGGGGGAAGCCCTATGTTTCCCAGAAAAAATATTTTTATCGATAGATGGCGACACACTCCTGTCATAATGAAGAGTTAATTGGCTAGGTCGACCAGCTGTATTGGCCTTTGAAGCCGGGGCGGGTAGCTTAATATTTTTGACCGGACTGGCTTCTCTTCCTCGAAGGCGTTTTTGTGGTGTCAGATCTTCATCTGCATCATCCATATCAAGCTCAGGGGGTCGTTTCCCAAGGAGACCTCGAGCTGCACCCACATGAAGGCTCTTGCGCCCTTTGAGCTTGTTTTTCTTCGGGGTAAGGCTTGAAATCAGTTCACTTAAATTAAGAGTAGCCTCCTTTCCAGATTCTTGACTAGTCCTGGGAAAATTATCCTCTTCATTTACCTTTTCGTACTCTTGCCCAGTTTTTAACGTATCATCAAACTTGACGCCTCGGTTGGGGGTTGGCTTCAAAACAAACTCTTGGGCATCTTCCCCAATAGAGCGTCGTCTGTCTAATATTTCAGCAATTCGTGGTGAACCCCGTGCCTCACTTCTATCGTGGGAAGCATGGTTTAATGCTTTCAACACAAAAGTTGGTGTTGACTGCCCTGTCAGCGAATTTCTCTGGAATAAAGCAGGTATAGCTTTGACAGGGGGCTGATTTGTTTGAGAAATATGTCGCTTTTGAGGCGATACACTTCTTGACTTGGGTTTAATAGGGCTTCCTTCAGGGGTGGCAGGCGTTAGTTGCCTGACTGTGTGGGGTGACTGTTGTTTCGAGAGAGTTGAAAGGCCTTTGCCTGGAGATGACTGCGGAGGCACTGATCTTCTGGGAGAGCTAGATGGTTGTCGAGATGTACTGTTCAGCCTGGGTATCGCACGCAATGGACTCCCACCTTCTGATGTGACCAGATCTGCGTGTGGCGGCAACGGGGCTCTGGCAGGAGATGCAGGTATATTTTCTTGAAACGGGGAGCTTGGGGGGGGCTCTTCATGCTCGTCAAATATTCTGTTCTTGTCCTTTGGGTTGCTGGCCTGAAAGGGTGCAAGAATTTTGCCCACAGCGTTTGTCATATCCATCCCCATAGTCCCGTCATCGGATGGTTCCGTTCGCTCTTCAATTGGGGGCAATATTCCACCAACCGCACCGGTCATCTCCATAGCGTCCTCTCCTAGATCAGGGTACGCTATATCCCCTTCATCACCGTACTTTGAGTCTTCTTGGGATTCGTAATCAGTTTTCCTGTCGAAATTTTGTTTGTTAAGGACTCCGCCCAGGACGTTGGTAAACTCCATGGTCATTTCCTCATCCGTATCGATGTTGCTCTCTGTATCAGGTCTCTTAGGGGAGGCACTTTTGATACCGCCGATGACGTTTGTAAACTCCATTGTCTGGTCTCCAAGATTTGTTACGGCGGACGTTCGACGAGAGGCTTGTTGATAGCCATAGTTTTGGTAATTCAGATATGGACGGGACTCTTCACTGCTGCCGCTCGTTATATTGCTTTTCCTCCGAAGTATACCACCAACCGGTTTCGTAATGTCCATGCTCATATCCCCATCATCCTCATTAACTTGAGCTGCCCTCATAGAATTTGAGGCAGTCATTTTTGTAGAACCAACGTTCTCCTGGTCGAAGCGAGAGGTAAGATCTTCAGCATCGAATTTTGCGCTCGATCCTTTCTTTACCCAGGGTTGAAAGGCACCGACAATTTCATGACTGGTGAACTCCATGGATAAATCTCCATTTTCGTCAAACTCAATACCTCTGGTCCCAGCCGCCAAAGCGGCTTTCTTCAACGATCGATCCAAACTACTAGAACTGGGGGATGAGTCATTGGACTCAGACGAAAGAGGCTGTTCCGTAACGTTTTCCATGCTCATACTTGTGCTCTCATCTTCAGGCCCTGAGCTTAGCGAGTCACTCCCCATCTCCATATTTCCTTGGGGAAAACCAGTATCATTCTCAGCAGCGGAACCACCGCTGAAGGGACTCGAGGAAAATGCTTCATCGGCTAGTTCTTCCAGATGAGCTGCTGATTGAGGCGGATTGACGTCCACAAATTCATATTTTCCAGGTGAGGATGGTGGTTCAGAATCATCTGACCCCTGATTTCTATGACCAACCATCAAAGAGGAATTCCTGCGAGTTGTATTAACACCAGTGGAAGCGGTCGAATCTTCCATTAGCTCGACAACATTCCAAGTATGTAGCGTTGCCTCAGGTGCAAAGGAAACTCGGCGATTCGCTAGAATAGAAAATTAGAACTATCATCAACAATGGATTCAAGGATAAGTTGTTACCCATAGATTTTCTTCGTGCAGCTCGCTGTTCTAAGATTGCCTTCTTCTTCTCCCGCTCCCGCTCAATTCGTTCTTTCTCCTCCCTATCTCTCTGTGCGGCCATGTCTTTGGCTCTAGACGGTGGTATCGGGTTGAAATTATCGAACGGGTTGATCAAATTGTCGGTGCCAACAACTGGCGCAGCGGGGGTCGAAAGGTCAATAAGATCATCATTCCCAGATGATTTATAATTATTCTCAAAACCGTTACGATGTGGTGTTTTCCTGCGTGTTTCGGCAAAGCTTGGAATGTGGCTTATTGGCGACACGGGAATCGTCGGCTTCAGTATCGACTTCAATTGAACAGCGGCGGTTGACTATTGAAGGAAAGTTAACCCTAGCCCAAAGCCGGACACATAAGCACACAAAACCGCGCACCTTTCTTCTATCATTGCCGCCATTTTTCAAAAGATCCAACCCTCCAGGACCCAGACTCTTGCTGCGAGACCGCTTATCATTCCCCGATGCCCTAGAAGGCATATTGCTCTGCTTCTGCGCAGCACTGAAGTCCGTAGTCACATTCTCTTTGTCAATATCGATGCCGCTGCCTCTATGGGGTATCTGCGCTAGTGAGCGTCGAGCTCTCACACGAGCAACGTTGCTCGGATCGCGGGTATAGGATGACATTGCAGCTCATATATCGGTAAGCAGGGCAAAATAAAAGACGACAAAACCAAAAACGGCGATTCCAAGGATAATAAGCCAGCTTCCAGCGCCGTGCAATGACTTCACAGTCCTTCTCCCCCAAACCGCATCCTGTGCCTCCAAGTCGAGATGTCTGTAGATGCTGTCGCCCTCTCGAAAACGAGCTTGAAGTCGCGTTAAAGATATCATATTACCGTATCTGGACTAGCGCTGTAAACAAAGCAAAAGCCCTAAGCCAAGACACACTATACTATATTAGGAATGGAGCCCTACTTTCTCTCCCACATTGGAAATTGGCGAGAAAAAACATCGAAAGTCAAAGCCCGAAGGAAGATTCGACACTTTCTCGCACCTTTCGACGAACTTCGCGGACTCACGACGACGACCCTTCCGACCTTTCCAACCATAGCCCATTTACCCGCGCGAGCAGGAGTTGGAATACCGCAACCATGGCGACCGAGTTGACCGTCCAGTCGGAGCGTGCCTTTATGAAGCAGCCGCACATCTTCACCAACTCCAAAGTAAAGTCCAAGAGCAAGTCTGTCGGAAAGGGTGGACGAAGATGGTACAAGGACGTTGGTCTGGGCTTCAGAACACCGAAGACCGCCATTGAGGGAAACTACATTGGTATGCACGCAGCAAAGGATTCAGATCTGGGACAATCGCGGTTTTTCTTGCAAGAGGTTTAGAGCTAGGCACAGGACGGAGGACCCAAGAAAAGAGAATGGGAAATGAGAATCTGAAGCACCTATGCTTGTTCATGAAAGTCCTTATTACTACAATGCGGACTGGCTGAGATTAGGAATACTCTGAAGCCCCCGTTCTGTGCCAATCTCGGGAACATGCCTACAAGGATTACAATGAAAAATGTCCTTCGACTAGAGGATTGGAAGTTGATTCTAACGAGTTAATCTTTATAGACAAGAAGTGCCCCTTCACTGGTCAGGTCTCCATCCGTGGCCGTATCTTGACCGGTACTGTTGTTTCGACCAAGATGCACCGTACCCTTGTCATCCGACGAGAATACCTCCACTATATTCCCAAGTACTCCCGTTACGAGAAGCGACACAAGAACCTCGCTGCCCATGTTTCTCCTGCCTTCCGTGTTGAAGAAGGTGATCAGGTCACCGTTGGCCAGTGCCGACCACTGAGCAAGACTGTACGTATTTCCCGATAGGACTGAGGATGTAATAGATCCCGAAAAGGTATTAATAACGATGATCCAGGTCCGATTCAACGTTCTCCGCGTTCTACCACGCACCGGCAAGGCCGTCAAGGCATTCCAGAAATTCTAAATCAGGGCATAATGGCGTGAATGGAAGGTTGTTTTGTCTCTACGTGCGCTGATGGACCCTTACTGCATGACATGATGGGATATATGGTGCCTTAGAAATCGTCAGGAGAAATCGAGATCAGTGGACTGGACAGGACAAGTGAGACAAAAAAAATATGATACTCCAATTAAAACTTCAAGCCCTTGTTCTCCGTTCGATTTCTCTTGTGTACACTTTGACTTTGAAAAAAGAACTCCTTATCTAGGGCAGCGTTTTAGCATGTCTTTCAAGGGGCTAGGTTTTAACTGGAGTTTGTCTAGCTTCCTGCGAAATGAAAATAGGTTTCATTTCCCTCGATAGTTATCATCACAGTATCCGAATGAAACCATTCAATGTTCACACAAGTCTTTGACATAAATCTTAGCACAGGTCCATCAAGTCTCCCTAACAACAGAAATCAACCACCGCTACCATTTCAACATTGTTGCAATACTTGCACGTTTCATGGCGAATGGATCAGCTGCTCCACTGGCCAAATCAACACCATCCCCTGCATCATATTGTGCTTCGTCTTCACAATCAACTTCATCTTCACGGTCAGATTCAAGTTCTTCGTAGTATTGACCAGTTGCATCCTCCTCTTGCTCACTTTCAGTATCTTCTGCATCAGGTTGTGGGAGTTTCAAGCTGTAAGCGCTTATAAAACCTCGTTGAACGCCTTGCAGGTACGCCGCTCGTTTGTCTCCCGGAGATCTCCATGACCACTTCGTAGCAAATAACATGGCTAAAGTAGATATATGGGACTGTGGAACATTGAGTAACTTTAAAAACTGACCCATGCACCTCCCAGAGTGCACATCTGACATGACATTTTTGGACCCAAGTTTTCTAGTAAGGGGAGCTCTGTTGAATTTCGCTTTTTTGATCAAATGAAGCTGCAATAACTTCCCAATGCTAGGGTATTCAGTGGAAATGGAAAACAAGGTATCCGTAGAGAAGGTCGTGATGATAGCCTCGGAAGGTATTATTCCCCAAACTAGCCATTCACCTTGCCCGAAATACCGGCTTTTCCCATCACTGCCATACATGATGGGTTCGTGCCTAAGAAAGGGGAAAACAGAGAACAAGTGAGATTGATTCATCTTAGATGTGTCTAAGATGGAAATATTTGCCTTTCCGGCTCTAAGAGCGCGATGGAATACCCCAAGGGGACTAGTAGACAAGGAGATAAAAGCTGACGAGACATTGATTCTGGTAAGATGCATCCGAACCAGCGTAGATACTATTCGGGGATGAATCGTAGAATGATCGGGTATCGGTGCAGTTGTATCTTGATCCCACATGCCTGCGATAAATTTGTTGGCCGAATTCATGCCACCACTGTTTTCGTCCCAAAACCGAAAGAGCAGCGGAGGGGGAGTTATATCTGGCCGGACACTTTGAAGAGGGCTTGGTAGTAATGGTGATGGTGATGATGACGATGTTGAATTGTAATTGATGGACTGATTAGGGCTCTGTGCTGGTGTCAACGCCTCGGTAGATAAATGCTCTCTAGCTAGTGGAGGTGGCACTGTTGAGTTAGATTCCGGCGTCGGCGGTAGCTGGGAACGGACTGGAGATATTATTTGAACTGGTGATTCTGGTGGAGTTTGCTGAATTCGTGTCCGAGTTGGTGTAGTGGATAAGGAGGATATGCGTTCTAAACGAGCTTCTTTCCCCATTGCAAGAAGATGCGGGATATCGACACCTCGTTGAGCAAAGAGGCGGACCTTTCTATGAGCTGTACACTCAATCATCTCCACGAATAAACTAAGACCGGCCCATTGGGTTAAAGGAGTGCTGTTGACACAGATCCAGATAGGGTCCTTCCAGTGTTTTAGATGATTCCACTGGCTTCGTAACGGCTGGGTTCGAGTACCATCATGAAACCCGCATGCTTTAAGATTGTTTTCAAACGCAATATAAAAGACTTCTGTAAACTTCTCCCAATCGAGTGTGTAGCAGCGGAGCATAACGCATAGAAACGTCTTCATCATGTTATTCCACTTGATCTTTGCTGACATCCTCGAATCAATCTGCGTGTGCTTGAACCTTCGGGAGCGCATGATGTACCGTTAACGCCGTAAGATTGAGTAACTGTATGGCTGCGATGGTGGAACGGGTTTCAGAACAAGAGGCGGGACGGTGCAGTGTGATAGGAACAGACGAGAGAAGAGATGAGCGTATTTCGTGTTAGTTGAACACACGAAACCGACGCGCTGAGAAGTGAGAAGACAGGACATGACGAGAGCAGGACAGGTCTGTTGTCGATGCATTCTGTCTTCGCTGCTATCTCTCACTTCTCACTATCCACTGTATCTGGGGATGTGGCTGTGGGTATTTGATATCGGATATTTGGCAAGGAGGATCAGAAGGTGAGTGTGAAGAAGAGAAGGAAGATAGAGAACGTAAGAAAAATATAAATCGGAAAGGAGAGGAAAGGAGAAGCGCTTGAGGGTATATGGCTTCCCTGTTCTAGGGAGGATATACAGTGTCGCAGCTGAAAAGATGCCCGTCGCTATGGAGATGAACGCCTTCTAATCTCGCCCAGTTAATAAGCTAAATCCTACCCTAACTATCAAACGCTAGGCCAGACGGTGCCTTGGTTCCCGACCCGAAGAACTTATAACAGAGAAAATGAGGTTCAAAAGGAGGGGGAGAATCCGAAAACTAACAATCTGGAGAAATAGCCAGAGGCTTAGACAGCCATCAACTCGGTTACTCCAGAAGACGCATGGGGGCATGTGCTTGAGATACTTAGGCCGACCAACCTTGTGATCCTTGATAGGCCATAACATCGTAGGGATATGCTGAATGGCTGTCTCGCGGTAGTTGGCTCTTTTCAGCTGAATATTGGACGCTCGCCGAATTCGAATAGTTACGGGTACAGCCTGGAGGTATCCGGGCCGAACCCTAACTTACTAGATATATAATATCACATCACGACGTCAAAGATAGTGGAAGTTGAACTCTCGAAAAAGTAAAAGGTAAAGAGAATGTACGACCCCTGCTACTGAATGACCAGCTAACGCTGTGTCTAGACTATTAGCTGTTACTCCGGGTATTTTTCACCCGGCTTTGCGAGTTGTTGTTTAAATTTGGTGTGAAACTCGGGCACAGTCTAGGAGGCCCGTAAGTTTACCCCGGTGTCCCGTGAGGACTAGGCAATGAAGCAGTAGCCGATGTGGGCTTTAATCCTGACTGACTCTTACATGGTGGGAACGTGGCTTAATTGCTTCTGGATCTACTACACATTCTAATGAAGTCGTATTTGGTGATGTGACTGGCGACGGACGAGCAAATTACCTATAGCCCGACCCCGAAACGTCAGCAGTGAAAGCGTGGGTTAATGCCTGCTGATTTTTGGGCCCTGGTTAACGTCCAGATCTCACTATCATACTGCTACTGCTGCCTCTTAACTGCATCCAACTAATTACCACACATGCTCATATAGTATATATATCCCTGATATATACTCCGTATATATATATATATCATCGCTTGTAATAGTATTATTGTAACATGCAAGGCACTTGGCTATTTCCCAAATTTCACAGAGCCACAGTTTTGACAAAGCAGCCATATTCTCATACTGAAGTTGGGGAGGAATCCGGATATTCGTTCGACTCTTAGAGGTATCTCGGCATCGCGAGTAAGGTATACCCTCCACACCGTCTAGATCTCGGCATCGCAAGCCATCGCCAGCGCAGCGCCAACGCAGGCGCAGTCGAAGGACGCGCTGGAGAGTTGCAGGAAGTTAGAAAAGAGTGCGAGCCGCTTTTCCTGTTTGGGGTAAAAACCTTGAATGGGGAAGGAGCAAAGCTGAGAAAAAGTGGAGCAGTTCCCGCTCAGCCATGGCACTAGTCCTGAAGAGGCTAGCGGCGCCACGAGGAGCCAGGAATAGAAACCAAGTCCAAAAGCGGACTAGCCTTGGCCTCGTGTATTTGTCATTCCTTTGGTATTAAATACGCAACATCCCTGCAATTACAGCGTGCAGCTGCTGACGCATCCCGTATTCCAAATACAGCCCGCGCTTTGACTTACCTAATCAGCCGGTCGTTGCCCTGCCACAGACCCACCAGCGACTGCTTTGCGCTCACTTTGGCTCAGCCATGCGGTGCGCGTCAGCTTGAGATATATTAAGGGCCTGCGATCCTGCGCTAACAAAAAACCGTCAACAACAAACAAACGGCGAAGTCATTTTTTTTCCTTTCAAATATATATTCGTACTTGACGTCTTTGCACTCAGTTTCTTCTCTATCATCGCCTCACTTCGCTGTTCGAGCTACTCTCTCCGTCACATAGCCGCATTTATCTTAAACCAACACTTTCAGGCAACTGCTCGGGTATCAACGAGGAAAAATGGGCAAGGGTGGTCGATTTGCGTGCATTTTTCTGCCGTACATTCTATCAATTGGCACACTTGTATGCCTTGCTCTAGTCGGCCTAGGATGTTACAACACCACCACTCTCACCGATGTTTACTTTGCAAAGGTAAGCTTGTTGTATCCTTGTTGCTGCTTTGTCTGTTTTCCTTCGGGCAGCTCTGACTCATTCCGTACAGGTTAACATGAAAGACATCAATACATCCCCGTCCGGGCTAAATAGTCAACTACAACCGCTCGCACATGGCCTCGAACAGGCCAAAGCCAAGGGCGATATCCACGACTTCTATATCGTTGGCATATGGAACTACTGCTACGGAGACAGCAAGGACGGAAGTGACAAGGTCACCTTTTGCTCCCCTCGCCGATCGAGATTCTGGTTTAACCCTGCCGAAGTCTGGGGTGTCGATGATACTATCGAACAGCTCTACCCATCATCCCTGCAAAAGGGCCTGAATACCTATCAGAAGGTTGCTGGATGGATATATGTTGCTTACGCTGTTGCCATCTCTGCCTCTGCCATTCAGCTTCTAGTTGGAATCTCTGCTATCTTCAGCAGATGGGGTAGCTTTTTCACTACTCTCGTTGCAGGCGTAAGTTTTACCACCTAAATAAACCCAGTATGACATAACCTAGGTCAAAAGAGCTAACCATTTTCCACCAGGTTGCCACTGTATTTACCATCGGTGGTGCAGCCACTGCCTCCGTCCTCTACGGTACCCTTGTCGGAGCCATTAAAGCAGGTCTCAAGCCGTTTGATATCAAGGCCGACGTTGGAACTCGCATGCTCGCCATCTACTGGCTTGGCGGCCTCTTAACCCTTGCCGGAGGGTTCTTCTGGCTCCTTAGTGTCTGCTGCTGCTCTGGCCGCTCTCCATACGGCCACCGTGATGATCGACGTGGTATTACTGCCGAAAAGACTCCTTACACCTACGAGCGTGTTGCTAGCCCATACGGTGTTCACCCAGGATCTGCCGTCCCAATGCATAACATGCCTCCTCACCATACCCAGGACACTGCCTACGAACCCTTCAGACACGATCACCGCGTATAGGTTCTTTTCATCTTTTCATATACCCAAGTTTTCGTTTTCCTTTCTTTAATACGGCTCAAGAGAAAGGCAGAGAAAGTAATGACCCATTCATGACCACTGGTGAACTTTGGCATCGCTATCTGAGTTTGATAGAGTCTCTACATCTGTGTTCCTCCTTTTTTTCAAAGTATCTGGTACTCATTTCCATGGTGCGGGGATGGCGTTGGCCTGGCCTGGCCTTGACCTTTTTATTTCCTTGTTTCTTCTTGTATCTACAATACCGACATATGGAGTACATATTCTATGACACTCTCTTTGTACAGAAATTACAGCCATTTCAATGATATGATAACGATTTTATTATAGACCCGATGATAGTAAAGCTGGACCAATAGAGCTGTGAGACTATGTTCTACCTAAGACAGCCCCATCTATACACACCCTATACTGACCACGTGTCTTAAATACGAAGATCTGACTCAGTTCGATGCTAACTCGGAACTCGTAGAATAAGATGCCTTACCCAAGTAAGATTGGTTTCTGTAATAAAACTCAAGTTTGGCTACAGGCCCCAGGATTCCAGTGGTTGATATACAGAGCCTGGTGAATTAGACTCTATCTGAAGACTTGTTTTAGTAGTAATATAAATGTGCATGAATTACAGTGAAGGGACCAATAAAGCTCGTGTGTGCTTGATTAATATAGCCATGAAATGTTTAATGGTACTATACAGGGTAAGCTGGTGATTACCCGGGGGGAAGTAGAAAGCGTGGAGGCGAAATCGAAGAGTAGAAAATCGTGCCTGCGTGGAGCAGGTATTTCCAGGCAGCAATCAAACATCCCACTCAGTGTTTCCCCGGATATGTGATGTGCCGGGCGTTCTTGTGATCGTCATGAAGGGTGAGGCTCCCCCATCGTTGAGGCTATTAATTCATAACATCTCCTCTAGGCCAAAAAGAGCATGACAGAGACGAGAGGCAGCGTTCATATTCCACACAAGAAAGATTGAGAAATATTATAGTGAAACAGTAGACCAAAGGAAAGCAATCAAGCCCGCACGCTAAAGAGGAAGGAGGGAAAGAGGCAATGTGACGGAGGAGAGACTGGGTGGACGGTGGAAAAGAGATGTTCTCGGCTGTTCACCTCTTGCGCTCGAAATATCCGCTCGATCCCAGCACCGCGATGCTCTGGTCCATCACCCATTCACCAACACCGAGATAGCCGTCGAGCCATCGTTTAACTTCTTTGCTCTCTGTGATTTTGTCAGAGTTCAGGCTGGGGCTAACGTCATATTTGGCCGTTCGTCCACGGCCCATGCGATGCTCGTCCGACTCAATTCACCACACCGCGTTTTCTCCCTTCATGAATCAATCCAGGTACGACGGGCAAGGTTGGAGGGAGTCGGACAGTGAGCACATGGGGCGGACGGGCGGGAGGACACAAGAGTTAGCTAGGGTCGCTTCAACTTGGGGAGGTCGTATGTAGATGTAGTGATAATTATATCGTGTGGCTGGGGATACTATAGCTGGGGCAGGGAGTAGTTACGTTAATCCTGTCGACCGTTTGATTCCTGCTAGAAAGGCAGAGACTGGGATGAAATTAGTACGTCATCCTTGGTACACAGAGGAGAGATCATGGCAAGTACGTACATAGTACAGCGTCGAAAGCATAGTGGGTGAGACGTCCGAACTATTGATCAACCGTGTTAGCTAGCTTCAGAGAGCGCCAGGAGAAGAGGAACATGCCACCATCTTGTACGGAGTAGAGCTGGAGAGATATGCACTGAGCAGAGGTGAAGAGTAGAAGAGCAGAGAAGAGTGTCAAGCTGTATAATATTCTTGCCCCGTTGAGCCGGCGTTGTCTATGGCGACCGAGAGCGAGAGACGCAAGGCCGTTTCCCTTCTTGGCCAGCTGATAATCGATAGGGTAGGTCACATGACCAATGACTAATATATTATGTCATCCTTATTATATAATCATTGATAATTGGGTTGCACCCCTTTTGGGACTAGCGCCATCTTGTTATCTCCGGGTCCACTTTTGCGGAAGTAAGATGATCCGGAAGCCTGATAAGAGATTGACCAATCAGAGAGCTCGGGCGGGTCGGCTCATTGTTTGAGCCCCGCCAAGTCCGAGCGTCTTTTTTGATATGGAGAGAAAGAAAAAAAAAGGACGACGAACTCAGGGCAAAGAGACGGCGATTGGAGAGTAAGAATGCATGGGCGGTTGATGTTGATGATGGCTGCGATGGTCGGGGTTAAGGTGGAAGAAGTGGCAGGGTGAGACGGGCGCTGCACAGATATAACTAAACCGGCAGAGGACCTGAGACGAGTGACGTAGCTGGGGAGCAGCCTGTGTGGTTTTTCTTGTACGCAAGTGGGCTCCAGTTACTCTAATGCAGGGAGCGCCCCTGTGCATTCTGAGGTGTCCAGGACCCTCCAGAGCAGCGATCTTAGCACCAGCAGCGCATCCTCCACGGTGAGCAGCAGCTGAAACCACGGGCGAGGATGACCAGAGCGACGTCTGCAGAGTAGCATCGAGCATCCAAAACCACACAAAACTAGATTAATTCTCACTAACAAGTAAGAGCAGCCAAAAAGAAAATAAGAGGCTTCGCTGCCGGCAAGTAGTTGTGTGCCTAAAGTAAGTCCCGCTAAAAAGTCACTCAACGCCCAACAAAAAAGCAACCAACTCGACTCACGCATTAAAACACGACTTCAAGCGTCGTCGTCTCTCCGAGCTGCGTCTGTCCTGTCGCATCTCCAGCTCCCTGCACTGCTGCTCTCTTGGACTGCGCCACTGCCAGCGATCTGTATAAAACCAGCCCAGCTAGCCCTCCCCTTCGCCATCGTGTTTTACCGCCTCACACCGACACCACCCGGCACACCTCGCAACTTCGTCTCTGCCGCCGCAACCACCAGCAACAACCAACCAGCCATGGCGAACGCGTTAGACCATCTCTCCAACAGGATGAAGCTGGAGTGGCATTCTCAGCTGGATACGGAGTACAAGCCGACCAATAACTACCGCCGCACCTCCATTATCTGCACTATTGGTGAGTGACACAACTGGGCAAGGGCACAGAGCTAGAGAGAGCTATGTATCAAGGGACTAACATCTCTATTCAATTGCAGGTCCAAAGACAAATTCAGTTGAGAAGATTAATATGCTTCGTGAAGGTCTGCATTCTCTTTCTCTAGGGCTGTAGATAGATATTGTTCTCCTAATAGCTCGCTGCCTATAGCTGGTCTCAATGTTGTCCGCATGAACTTCTCCCATGGAACTCACGAGGTAGGAACTTTGTTTCATTATCATCTTCAACTGGTTGTTCTTTCAGCTAACCTTCCTTTGACCTGTCTGTGTAGTACCACAAATCTGTCATTGATAACGCCAGAGAAGCTGAACGCTTCCAAGCCGGCCGTCCACTCGCAATTGCCCTTGATACCGTACGTTAGCTGAACCACACGCACACACTCACACCCAACACATGGAATTAGACCTGCTACTTGCAGCAAGCAACATGCCTTGGGAAACATGGATTTGGAGCTGACATCCCCGTAGAAAGGACCTGAGATTCGTACTGGCAACACTCCCGGTGACAAGGATATTCCAATCAAGGAGGGAACGGAATTGAACATTACAACCGACGATCAATATGCCACCTGCAGTGATGACAAGAACATGTTTGTTTCCCCGGCATCTAGTTGCTTTTATTTTGCTTCCCAAGGTTAACTGCGGATGCCCAGGTACGTCGACTACAAGAACATTACCAAAGTCATCTCCAAGGGTAGGCTGGTATACGTAGACGACGGTGTCCTCTCCTTCGAAGTTCTCGATATCGTCGACGACAAGACCCTGCGCGTCAAGTGTCTGAACAATGGCAACATCTCATCCAAAAAGGGTGTCAACCTTCCTGGAACAGACGTTGATCTCCCTGCCCTCTCTGAAAAAGACAAGCAGGATCTCAAGTTCGGTGTCGAAAACGGCGTAGACATGATCTTCGCCTCCTTCATCCGTCACGGAAGTGACATCAGGGACATCCGGGCTGTCCTGGGTGAGGCCGGAAAGGAGATCCAGATCATCGCCAAGATCGAAAACCAACAAGGAATGAACAACTTTGACGAGATTCTGCAAGAGACTGACGGCGTCATGGTTGCTCGTGGTGATCTCGGGATTGAAATACCCGCCGCAAAGGTCTTTATCGCCCAAAAGATGATGATTGCCAAGTGCAATATCAAGGGCAAGCCAGTCATTTGCGCCACTCAGATGCTTGAGTCCATGACCTATAACCCACGTCCAACCCGTGCGGAGGTATCTGATGTCGCCAATGCCGTGCTTGATGGCGCAGACTGCGTCATGTTGTCCGGTGAGACTGCCAAGGGCAACTATCCCAAGGAAGCCGTAGTGATGATGCACGAGACCTGTCTTCTCGCCGAAGTTGCGATCCCATACGTCAGCGTGTTCGACGAGCTGCGCAACCTTGCCCCTAGACCAGCGGATACTCTGGAATCTATCGCCATGGCTGCTGTTTCCGCCAGTTTGGAACTAAACGCCAGTGCCATCTTGGTCCTCACCACTTCGTAAGTAATTGGAACACCCCTTGTTCTGCTATAAAGGGTATAAGCTGACATAAAGCGTCCTGTCGTGTAGCGGAAACACTGCTCGTCTGCTATCCAAGTACCGTCCAGTCTGCCCAATCATCATGGTCACTCGCAACCCAAGAGCCGCACGAGTAAGTTACCTATTAGTTAGCATTAAACGTCAACGTGTACTCACTAACCATTCTGCACACACAGTACTCTCATCTATACCGTGGCGTCTACCCTTTTATCTTCAACGAGCCCAAGCCCGACTATAACGTCACCGAGTGGCAGAAAAACGTCGATCTCCGTCTCAAATGGGGTATTGCTCAAGCTATTGAGCTCAAGATCATTTCCAAGGGCACTTCAGTGGTCTGTGTTCAAGGCTGGCGCGGTGGCCAGGGACACACCAACACCATTCGTGTCGTCCCCGCTGAACCAGACCACCTCGGCCTCGTTTAAATGACGGACTCCTGACTCAGAAATAAAATAAAATAGAAAGAAAAACCCCAAAAAAAAAAGGCGAGAGAGAAAAGAGAGAGACAGTATATAGGGTAAATAGTTCTCTTTCTGGACGAGTATTTGGTTCTCATTTCTTGTTTTTCGTTGCATGGGAGATAATAAATGCTGGGATTGAATGTTTATGTCCACCCCTTTTTTTCATGAGCTATATGACCCGTCGTCGTCCGCTTTGAGCTTTGTTGAATAAATGTGCATCTTCACGATAGCAATTTAATCCAGACTCGGGAGTAAAACCCACGCTGAAATATTGTAAAAAAGGAAAATAAGTGAAGGCTAGGGAGAAAAGGGCGTTGAAGGCGCACCTGCCATCGGGTAGTTTCGGGCTAGGCGGCCGACGGGTTTGCGAGCCGAGGTCGGTTTTTTTACTCCACGCGCACCAACGTCAGTCAGTCCACCCTACGTCACCTTGCTCGACGTACTTCAACGCCTGAGGCAGCTTTGAATGGAATGAAGATGGTAGGGACCAGAACCAAAAAATATGTTTTTACTACATATAATATAGAGAAGAGTGAAGATAACTGGCTTGATGATTTACAGGAGCCACAAAACTTTCAGGAAATAATAATAAAAAAAAAAAAAACGGTGAGAAAGTGAGTAAAAAAGAGTATAGTATAACAACAAAACGGCCCCAAATCGGCCAAAAGGTAGGTGGGTGGGTAGGTAGGTATAAAGCGGGGTAGCCATCATAGGCAAGATGAATAAGTAATAGGGGTTGGGAGATGGGAGGATGAAGGAGGTGAAGAAGTAAGTGGTTGGTAAGGTGGTGTGATGGTATGGATGCCCATAGGCGGGGGGAGAGGGGGGGGGGAGAAAGATAGGTCGGTTAGGGAGGTAGGGAGGTAGGAGGAAAGAGAGATAGAGAGATAGAATGCAACGGCTAAACGGAAGTTTCACAAGAAAGCAATATATCCAACTATTAGCCCGAGAGATGAAATTCCAATTTGAGTAGTATATGGTTTTATGCGAGTGTGTAAAATAGTTCTAGGGGGTTTCGCGAGGTCTAAGGTTAGTGGTTAGAGAGGGAGGGTGTGATTGTCCATGTACCGGTGTAGTGTGCCGGCTACGCTTTGATTGCTGTAGGCTCAGCTGGCTGAGCATTGGCAGGCTCGACATTCTTTGTTGGAATTTGCTCCGGCTCGGATTCCACTGGCTTTGGTTCGTCTTTCTTTGATTCTTTAGACTTTGGTTCCTGTGGCTTGGTCTCTTCTGGCTTGGGTTGCTCTGGTTTAGCTTCCGCGGCCTCATTCTCCTTTGACTGTGGCTCTGTAGGAGTAGTACTCTCAGTCTTAACCTCCTCCTGAGCTTCAGGTTTAGGCTCTAGCTGAGGTTCCTTTGGCTTGGCTTCTTCCTGCTTGGCCTCTGTTTGAACCTCCACTGGCTTCTCCTCTGCCTCAGCTACTTTCACAGCTTCAGGTTCGGTCTCTTCCACTACAGGCAGAGATTGAACTTCAACCTCATCTTCAGCAGAAGCAGGGGCGGGAGAAGCTTCCTCTGCCTTCACTGGTTCCACGGGCTTTTCTTCTTTCACAGGTACCGGCTCAGCAGTAACAGGTTTCGGTGGCGCCACTTCAGGAGCAGCAGTAGGTCGTACAGACGATTTAGTCGACTTGGTTCTCGCAGGACTTCCGGTGTGAGCTGCTGCCGACGTCGTCGTCGTATTCGTCTTTTCTGCAGTTGGTTTCTTGGTAGTTTGTGCCTTGTTGGCAGCAAGTCTGGGGGGACTAGTAATATCGAGCTTCTCCTGCCTCTTACTCGCTGAACTCGCGGTTGGTCGTATTAGCCTTGCCAGAGAAGAGTCATCGACGGGTCTGGAGCTGGGGATGCTGGCGCGAGAAGTCGGCCTGTCATGGGCGGACGAAGAATGTGGTGGTGCAAGGGAGGCACGGGAACCTTGTTTGCGAACCGTGGTTGTGGTTGTGGTGGTAGTGGCGGACGGAGCAGAAGGTTTGGATGAACCTGTGGTTCGAGGGGCGGAAGAACGTAAGGTTGATGGTTTGCGGCTCAGGGCTTGAGCTTTAGTAGTGTTGGCGGGAACGCTGCTCCGGCTGGATGGACGTGACGGTGACGAGTTGGGTGCTTTTGCTGCAGATGCAGCTGTGGGAGCCAGCATGGAGCCGTGAGTGCGAGTTGGACGAGTAGGAGACTTGGGGCCGCCGTTTTTGTGAGCTGAAGCAGCCGTTTTGGGTTTGGCAATAGTGTTGCTAGTGGTAGCGGTGGTAGTGTGAGTCTTGCCTGCTGGTTCTTGTAGGACTTTGTTGAGCTTCTTGGTTGCGTTTATAGTCTGCGATTGAGCGGTTTCCATAGCCCTTGTACCTGGCACAGCAGGAGATTTGGCAGACTTGGGAGCAGAGGATGGCTTGGAACCTGCTACAAACTGCCGTGGTGTAGCTTTGGACTTGTTGTCTGCAGAACTAGAGCTGTTGGCCAGACGTGAGCCAGTCTTGGATGTAGCGCTAGAAGTGGTAGGAGTAGCTGTTTTCGTCTTTCCATTCGGCTTGTCGTCTGTCTTATTCGCCTGTTTGCCGGTCTGTCGACTCTGACTCTTTGCCGGGCTCGGAGGCGCACTGGTGTCTTCAAAGGGCGATCCCTTCAGGATAGCACCCAGGCCGGCCTTGGACTTGCCATCGACAGCAGCAGTCTTATCCAGCTCCACGTTTGACACAATCGGATCCGAGATCTTTCGAGGCGAGACAACCCCGTCAAGGCTGTTCTGCTGCTGCTGCTGCTGCTGAGGAGTGCCCCATTTCCTCGGCGAGGTACTGTCCACCGGGGTGCGGGTGGTGTTTCTATCAATTGGGCTGCCCATCTCGTCTGTCACGCTTCGTGGCGGCGCACCAAAGGACTCTCCAGCTTCGCCTACTCTCTTGAGGCCGAGTATAGGGGAACCCGAGGTGCCTGGTATATTGCGTTCAACGGCGACAAAGCTAGCGCGGACCTTGGACAGCGGCCTGCCAGCGGCGGAGTGGTCTGACCCGGCAGGAGAGCGGCCTCGAGACGGCGGAGAAGTCGATATGTTGCTGACGTTGTTGTTTTCGAACTTCGCCAGAAGGCCACGAACGCCTGTAGGAGCCGACATGGCGAAGAGCAGAGGAAAGAGAGGGAGGGAGAGGGAGGGAGAGGGAGGGAGCAGGAGAGAGAGAGAGAGAGAGACGAGAGAGGTTCAATGATATCAGATGTGACCTGAACCTCTACCCCCTTTTTTTCCTCCCTCCCTTGCTTTCCTTCTTTTCCTCTCTTCCTTTCGTTCCTGGGGGTCGAGAAAGCTGTCGGTTCTCGGTCCCGTATTTAAACCCTGTAAGTTCGATACCTGTTCACCCAGGGCGGACAGACAGTATTTATTGATGTTATCTGATTCTAAAATAATATCCAGAGCAGAAAAGCGTGTCGGGCGAGCGAGCGGGTGCTGTGTGGAGGAGGAGGATGATGATTTCACGCCGTTCTAAAAGGGACGCTGCAGGTGGCCACGGCAACCCGGGGGAAATTAGTATGAAACAAAGCACGAGAGGGCCAGCGACCGTTTCTCTTCTCAATGCGATCATGAAACTGGGCCGTTCAAGGGCCGCGCCGACAAGGGTGGTTAGGGAGACGAAGGAGACGGAGAGAGGCGGGCAAGCAGCAGCAAGAGTTGCTCCGTCGTTAGGGGCCCAAAGGGTGGTCTTTTCTGGGTGGAGGAAGCTAGACACGGCACTATTGAAAGTCTGTAATGACGATGAGATGCAGACAGAAACCACGGCAACGGACAGTCAGTGCGAGGGTCAGACAGACAGACAGACAGACAGACAGACAGACAGACAGACAGACAGAGGAAATGCTGACGGATCCAGCGAGAGATGCGAGTGAAACGGCCGTCGGACAGCTGTTGTTTCCTATCAGTTAGCTGTTGCTACGAGAGACGGGGATGAGACGAGACGCCCAGCAGCGAAGAAACCCCGTATATTAAACGGTCCAACCGTAACAGCTGAGGTGTCTCTGGTCTGGCCGTTGGTTAGGCTGCCGTCTCTGCTGTCTCTGGATGCTACCCTAAGCAATAACAGGCTGTGATATAGCCAGCTCAACAGCTAGCTATGGAGCACAGCTAGTCACTACTGGAGCTTCCTGGCTGGCCGGCCGGGTCTCTCTTGGTGTCTTGCTCTGCATCTCGCAAGCGACCCAGTATCATATTTACCTGTCGACTCTGCCCTTACACAGGGTCGCCAGCCACGAAACAGGAGAGAAATAAAGGCTTTGTTTGATCATAGAATACTGCTCCAGCATATCTCGTCGTCGCCCTTCGTATACCGGGGTCGAGCCTCGTTACAAACGGACAGTCATGGCTTGCTTCAGCCTTTCGTCTCGTCCCCCCACCGGTTCATCCTCTATCCCTTTATCGTGCAGCTTTATCGTCTTCTTTCCAGGTTCTCTATCTTCGTCGCCTTTTGCTTCTTCGCTTTTGATGCTTTTAGTTTTTCGTCTGATATTGAAGATGCTGACTCAGCAGGCTCTCCAGCCAAAAAAAAAAAAAAAAAAAAAAAAAAAAAAAAAAAAAAAAAAAAAAAAGGTAAAATAAAATAAATACCTCCAAGATGAGTCGAAGAAAGTCGAAGCCAAAACAGCGACAGCGCACGCAAGATGGCTGCCAGAACACTCAGGATAGGTTAATTGATTCCTAAATCTGCCTGTACTACCTGAAAAGATGCTAACGCTGCCGTAGGTCTCATTCCGGGCGACGGGATCGGTAGGGAGGTTATCCCGGTACGTTGAAGCAGCTCTCCTGCAGCTGGTGAAGAAGAGAAAGACAACCCCCCGCCAGAGCTCCATTGACCAAGGATCTATTCTGCAATAGGCCGGTCGACGCATTCTCGAAGCTCTTCCAGCGTCGTTGGGCTTAAAGTTCTCCTTTGTCGACCTCGAGGCGGGCTATGACACCTTTCTGCGCACCAAGACTGCCCTGCCAGACAAGACGGTCGAGACCCTGAAGAAGGAATGTGACGGTGCTCTGTTTGGAGCTGTTAGGTAGGCCCCAGCTCTGTCAACCTTCGGCCAGCGTTTGGGTTGAGATAAGTGGCTAAATGACCGCCCCCAGCTCTCCATCAACCAAGGTCGCAGGATACTCGTCCCCCATCGTCGCCCTTCGCAAGAAGCTAGACCTCTATGCAAACGTACGCCCAGTCAAGACCACGGCCGGCGCCAACGCCTCTGCCAGACCAATTGATCTCGTCATCGTCCGTGAGAACACCGAGGACCTCTACGTCAAGGAAGAGAAGACTTACGACACCCCCAACGGCAAGGTAGCAGAGGCCATCAAGCGCATCTCCGAAAATGCCTCGTTCCGCATCGGTACCATGGCGGGCGAGATTGCGCTCCGACGACAGAAGATCCGTCAGGCTCAGTCTGCCAATACCACTACTGCCAGTCCCATGGTCACCATCACTCACAAGAGTAACGTCCTCAGTCAAAGTGACGGCTTATTCCGCGAGACATGCCGCAAGGCCCTGGCCAACGAAAAATTCAGCGGCGTCAACGTCGAGGAACAAATCGTTGACTCGATGGTGTACAAGCTCTTCAGACAACCCTCATACTACGATGTCATCGTTGCTCCCAATTTGTATGGAGATATTCTGTCGGACGGTGCTGCCGCCCTCGTCGGAAGTCTAGGTCTGGTTCCTAGCGCCAATGTCGGCGATGGGTTTGCTATTGGTGAACCATGCCATGGCAGTGCTCCCGACATCGAGGGCAAGGGTATTGCCAACCCTATTGCTACCATTCGAAGCACAGCTTTGATGTTGGAGTTCTTGGGCGAAGGTGCGGCTGCTGCTAAGATTTATGCGGCTGTCGACGCCAATTTGGATGAGGGCAAGCTCCTTTCCCCTGACCTTGGTGGCAAGGCCACTACTGCCGAGGTTCTGGAAGATGTCCTCAAGAAACTCTAGGTCTTTCCTAGCATAGAGATTACCTACCACTACAAGCTCTGATCTTGTACACTTAGACGGATGGTTCATACCAAGTAAAAAAAAAAAATAAATAAATAAATAAATAAAATAAAATAAAATAAAATAAAAAATAAAAGGAAAAAATTCATACCAAATGACTCCTCTATATAAACCCCCTGCTAACCTCTATGCAAGCCATCACGTTACAAGTAGGTCTAGTCAACCTCTGCCTCTCCCTCATCTGACGCTCTTTCATCCTTTGGTGGCTCTACCTCTGCCCCATTTTGCATCAGAAGCGTAAAGAGCACGACGAAGTAGATGTCGCCAGTAGTCTTGTTCTTCAATATGTACCGCAACTCATGGTTCTTTTCGTCAATATACTTGGTAACCGGGACCGGGAAGCCAGGGATACGGATCGTGAAATCTGTCTCATGTTAGATTCGACATAGTACGTCCAGTGTGGTGAGGGGAGAAATGATATTATCATACCGCTGAATCCAATGTAAGGATTTCCAAAGTCCGCTTTATATATCCTTCCCGGCTCAAACTCAAAGTCCTTCCTCTTCTGCTCGTCCAGGAAAAACTTCTGTCTCAGGCCATTGTCTTCGGGTATCTGCAGTTCGTCACGAACTGCCTGCCCACTGCCTTCACCCCCTTCTTCAACAACAGCCTCATGTATCTCCGCCTCCGAGTTCTCTGTTTCCTCCTCCTTACCGCAAACCCGGAAATAGTTCCAGCTCGAAAGACACGGCCCATAGATATAAGGTTGATCCGCGTATATATCCCCTTCTAGTCCCGGATCAACCCACCACTTGATGAATTTAAACGCATAGCTTGATCCTGGCGGGAGCCTATCGCGTATAGGGCGGTCCAGATCATTCCCCAGCACCAGGTCGTTTCCGGTTATTCTCTTTTTCGGTACAAATGAGATAGCAAGAGAGTACTGGTCGTTTACGCGAGTTGGGTGTGAAAAGTGGGCATGTGTTTTTGGTGAGGAGTCCGGGAGACCTGACACAAAAAGAATATATCATTAGCGGTTATTCTGAGAAAATCCCGTGGATTCAAGAAAAACTAGACAAGGATAGTACCATTGTAGTCTTGTATACGAAGACAAAGGTTCACCTTTGCATGCTCTGTCTCGATGCATAGGTTGGTATCACTATTCACATGGACGAGAGAGTGTGTTGATGTATCGTATGTCGGTCCAGCAGTGATCTGAAGCTTGTATTGAGGACCTGAACCTCCAGATGTCATTTTCTAAAAGCTCAGCAGCTTCAAGGCGTTTGTAGTTGTCAAGTCGTCTGGGCTGTAGGTTAGCTCTAGATCTGTTGTGTTTGGGCACGCGACCCAACTGACTTCGGGGAAGGGTATAAATCGACGGGCTAACGGTGATGGCTGGAAAGAAGGCTGTTCAATGATAACTTGTAGCCCTTGAAAACTCTTATTTTTCAACAAGGAGAGCTCTGCCCGATGCTGGAAGTGCTTTTTTAATGGTTACTTCAACTACTTTTTTTTTTCTGCCAAAATGACGTACCTCGGGTTTTTGACGCTTGTTTGTTGAAGGCGGTCAGGTGGCTTGGCTGGCTGGATCTATAAAAAGATCAACCTTTTGACTATCAATCATATTTGGCGGCTTTTTCACGGTTTAGAGGTATTATTATTTGAGGCGACCGGCGGTGATTATAGGAAAATATTAAGTAAATTCTATTAGGAAACTTATAGTATAGGTACAGGGTTGTGATTTCTCTAAAAAGAAAGACCTGGTTCGATACGCTGGCTATGACAAATGAAATATTCAAAATGAGAGGTAGATGTGACAATGTGACGGTATAAATCTGCATCCCTCACGCTCGCGGAGAGATCGGTGATATAATAGAAAATGCCGTTGTAGGCTTGCATGCGCTCGAAGCGAGTGCTTCGGACTCAGACCACACGTCTTCTTCAACCACCATGTTGACCCCAGAATCCGGACACCGTCTGCGTTTCTTCCCCTTCCCAATATCTACATTTTTGAATCTGCTCACGGTCTCTGGTGTAATGGGCTCGCTTCCGAAACCGTTAAAGGAGTGTCGTAGGCCAGCCATGGCGTCGCTACAGGTGCTTGGTCGACCAGCATCCTTGGCCAGTAGCTGGATCCCGTTTTGCCATTCAACAATGGCCTTCATGGCTTCGCGCTGTTTCTGCTGGGTTTGCCGGATTGCGTTCCAGGATATACGCTCCATGTTCCTCTGCCGTTTCTCTAACTGTGCCTTTTCAGACTGCAAAGTTGCGTTTTCGGCCTTGGTTTCGTTAAGGGAGGTCGATATGGCGGACAGACGAAGGTTGAGGTTACCAACTTCCTTCTGATGCTCGATAGACTGTTCTTTTGCAGCCTTCTCCAGGGCAGTAATCACTTCTTCCTTCTTAGTTTCAAGGAGCTTTATCTTCTTGTTAAGCTCCAAGACCTTCAAATCGCTTTGGTGAAGGGATGCCTCGATGGATGCAGTCGTTTCCTTCTCTCTCTTGAGGCGGCCTTCGAGCTCAAATATTCTTGCTTTGGAGAGATTGCCTGCATCCCTCATTCGGTTATTCAATATTGTCAGTTTCTCTGCTTTCTTCTCTGAAGCAGCCACCTCGTCTTCTAGTTCTGAATTCAGCCTCTCAAGCATGAGTAAATCCTCCCTATACTTGCTTAACGCATCTTGCAGCCGGATCTTGTCTGTTTCTTGCTCTTTCATGTCTCTTTCCATACTCTGTAGCTTCATGCGCATATTAAGCGTATCCTCTGCGATCGATTCCGCATATTTCCCTAATTTGTTTTTCTCCTTTGTCTCTTGCTCTAATCGGAATAGGGTGGCATCGAATTGCTTTCTTAGTGCTCTCTCGCGATCCTCGCCACTTTTAATTTGATCTTTGGCCTGTTTTAATCCGCGTACCAAACGGTGGATTCGGTCAACTAAAGCATCAATGATAGCTTTCCAGTTGGATAGACTTGCGTTTGCTGTTTCTCCTGGAACAAGTCTTTCAAGCTCCACTCTTGCATGTCGGAAATGAGCTTCGATACTGGAAATAATTTCTGCCGCACTTTCTCCGTCAAAACCATGGCCGGAGAGCTCACTTTGAAGATCTTTCACTTTTTGAACTGCCTCAGCTGCCCTGACAGTGGCATCTTGCAGTGTTGCAATGACCTGCTTTGCCAGGTCAGGCGGGGGTAAAGCGCTGTGTTCTTCTCCATATTCATTATCTTGGGTAGTAGCATTGGGGGTAACAGCATTGGGCTGTCCTGAGATCCTTTGCCATTCCTCAAAAAGGTACAACTGATCTCTGTTTTTGTCGTTAAGTTCACCAGTCAGCTGCTCAATCTGGGCCAACGTATTTGGATCGGATAAAGTTGTTGACGAGATCGCACGGCCAAACGTTGAAATTGGAGTACTGCTAGCCATGGGCGTCCATAGAGGGCTGTTTGGTGCGCTAAAATCTTCATCCATCATGTCATCGTCCATTATTGCCGCAGAATCTCCGCTCGTATTCGGGCAGGGAGTCAATAAGGATTCTTCCATGGGATTCGAGCTTTGCCTTTCACTCCTTTCTGGGGTCTTGCAAACGCTCTCCTCTGTGGTTGGGTGTTGGCAGTCTATCTCCATCCTTTGGTTTCTTAACGACTCGACTTCCATCTGCAGTTGCCTCATCTGCTCGTCCTTCTGCCTCTGGAGCCTCTTCTCTTCTTTCCGCCTTCGATCAATCTCATTCATTGCTTCACTAAAGCCGAGGCGTTGTATCCGCCTCCTGGATCGCGGATCAAGAATATCATGAAAACGTAGATACCGGAATATGTTTGAGTCAGGGGTTGACATTGCCATCTCTGCCTGTGTCTGTCGAAGTTGGGAATAAATGGCAGGATCAGAGTGCCGCAGACGCGAGTCTCGCCGTTTTCCACCACTTCGTGACGTATGAACAGCGGTATCTCCGGTTTGACCTGCGAGAAGCGTAGTCCGCGATACCAGTGGCGTTAGTCCAGTGGATGGATCGCTTTGCTCCGGGGTATTTTCTTGGTCAACGTGGCAGCCAGGATCAGAGAACCGAACCCGCTTCCTCGAACGCCGAGGAGTTCGGGATTTGCGCGGCGTACACGGCGCATCATCAGGAGAGTAACATGCTGCTGGCTCTTGGACCACGGAGGCCGACCCCTCTCCGGTTTCAGCGGGAGCTTCGGCTTCAGAAACCCGGGTCTCAACTGGCGGATCGCCAGCTCTGCTTCGTAGTCCAGGGCGCATAGAGAACAACCACCGCCTATACTTCTGGAAAACCTGTAGTCTGCTCGCTAACCAATGCGATGGTCCTAGGGATTCTATTAGCGACTTCTTGTTCATAATTCACAATTCCTCGTGGCTCGTTAGACCAGGGAGGCCACGCAGTGGTGTTGATGTACAGCAAGCGTCTTCACCAAAACGCCACCATTCACGGACCCTTTTAAAAGATCGCGAACAATGAAGCGACTCTTTCATCCCATACAAAGAAAAGAAAACAATAATTGCCTTACCTGGGAGTTCAAGAGCCGGCAAAAGTATACTCGCGTCGATGTTCGAAGTATGTGCCTGGTACACTGTCCTCTGCCGAGTCCTGCACAAACGGTACCTAAATAAGCGCGTCTGGGAGGAACCGATGGAGTAACTAATACAAAATAAACTACTCCAAGCCCCAGGAGTGAGACACGCAGCTTATTTATACATGCAGCAAAGCTTCCAGGCTGCTGTATGTGATCTTGTTTATTATTATCATTGCCAAAACATAACACATCGCTCGCTCGCTAACTAAGCTTGTTGCCTAAAGCAGGGATTGGCTGGTCCGAATGCAAATCAAAACATCAACAAACACCAATTCTTGGCAACGGCGTCGCGTCTGGCGTTAAGTGGAAAATAATAACACAGATAGACGCGCTACACCGTTCAGGCGGTTTGTGTAACCGCAGGAGTAAATAAACAAACCCGGGATATGGAAGAGTAAGAGTGCGAGGGCGTCGTTCGGCATGACTTTTCTTTTAGTTATCTAGTTATTCGCGACTCGCGAGCATGATAGGCGCAATGCTCCGGCAGTTACGTCGTTTTGGGCGTGTTTACTCCATACGAGGAGAGAGGTTGCCCGCCATGCAACATATTCATCGTACGTCCATCAGTTAGCTACCTTACAAAGCTCTGAGTATCGAGATTTGACAGAGGGCGAAAGCTGCCGGCCTTACGACAAAGCTATTAGGAGGCAAGAGGCTATCGTGAGGATCCCTCGATCACCAAGCTTGCCATTCCCGTCGCCTGATATTTAGTCATCTGAACCTAGACGATCGTGATCGCTGCTATGGCCGCCGGCGTAAAATATATTAATACTACTAATATTTGCAAAAAAAAAAAAGGATGTTTCTTTGACAGTGGTAGGTTCCCACTGTGAGATCTTGTCTTTTATTATTATTATGCTATCTAAAATCCTAAACAACAAGCCACTCCTTTCTTCAATCCCCCCTAGAACAATGCACTCTTGTCATCGACCTTTCCATGGAACAAGGCACTATTGTGTTCAGTCTTCTCCTGACATTTATCGGCCGTTGACATCGAAGCGGAAGAAGAGACAATCGTCGAAATTCTGGTGACCTCCCTTAGCAGTCATCCAGGACCATTCGCACCAATCGATGAGGTCGAGAAAGATACCGCCACAGTTGTCACCCACGTAACGATCGTGGTTGCACTTGTTGGTAACCCAGTACTCGATCTTAACGGTAGGCAGCCACTTGACATGGTAGAGCGAGGTGTTGCGGAAGTTCTTGAACTTGTGCATGTTGCAGAATTCCTGGCTACCCCAGTAGCAATCTCCACGGTTGGAAATTGCGCCACCGCAGTAGCAGTATTTGTTCTCAAACCACTGGTCGCAGTTCAACTTGGAGCCGAATCCACGCTTTTCGAGGCCAGTGGTGGAATTTCCAGGGTTGTTCTTGAAAAGGGCCACTATACCAGAGTGATTAGCTTCAGGAAGGCGGAATTCGAGCCACTGGCTCGGTGGAATGGGTGATAGGTAACTTACAGTCCTTATCGGAAATATCAACGAAGTCAGCAGTGATAGTGTAGGGCTCGCCCTGCTCAGTGACACCTTTGCCAACAACGGTTCCGGTGATAGGCTCGAGAGCCTTTTCGGGAGTAGCAGGGATAGCGGAAGAGATACCGCTAAGGGCAAAGGTAATGGAGAGGAGGTTAAGAAGCTTCATGATGGCTGAAGGCGAGGAAAGATGGTGAGAATAGGTAAGCTGGACTGTTCTCTGAGGTTGTTCTGCTTGTGTATTTGTGACGGACAACTGGAAGAAATTCACTGTTCTTATAGTCGAGCAGACGATGAGATAACAACACTTCGTTCATCATAAGCGTATACTCCGTAGCATTCTCTTCGAAGGATTCTCTCTGAAGGATTTGCTATGAAGGATTTTCTTGGGAAGAATTTTCCGGGAGGGCGTTAGGTAGCATCGTGGCAAGTTGTAAAGATCAAGATAGCCCAATCAACAGACTCGCTGTCTACGGTCCCTCAACGGAAGTCTGCGCAGCTTCTCCATTGAAATCTTAGGCAGATAGCCGCCCAGGATCCGGCCTGGTACTGTGCATAAGCGCCTCGTCTAGCGCATCTATTTACAGGGGTCAATTTTGGGCCATACTCCGTACATACGGACCCTTTCTCTTGGAACCATTAGCAACACGCTGCTGGAAGCGCGGGTCTTGTGTGCTTGGTTCAGCTTAAATGCCTTATACACTATGTGTGATCTGTTGCTGGTTACTACCTTACTAAGTGTTCATCACTGTGTACAATATAGTGAGGCACTTTGATAGCAAGATGGCTTTCGCGCAGAACTTTAGCTATATATAGTGTTAAAACTCTCTAGTTAGCAAGACAATTGGCATCCTACAGACCCTCATCAAGGATCTAGCCAGCGAGTTATACTTATGCACTCACATTTGAGTGGGTATCTGTGAGTGCGCTGCCCAGAATTCCGTGGGATGCGAATTTCCTCAAGAGATTTAGTAGCATCTAAACCAGAGCCTGGGCAGAGGATTTAGATTGAGGGAGCGAATGGCTCGTGGTAAACGTGAGGTGGGGACTGAAGGGTTCAAGGCCCCTGCACGCTGCTTAAGCCACTAAGGCAGCCGAGCGGAGGGTTAATAGGGTATATCACAGACTGAGATGCCTTTAAGCAACTGATATCCTATTTAAAGGTTGAAGGATCTGGACGAAGGATTAAACGTGTGAACGACCGGGCGGGTCCTTCAGCATTAACCAAGTAGAGTTAGCGTGAGTTAGCTTCCACGTGGTAACCGAGAGTTTATCAGTCAATGTGGAGCCATTTTCCACCAGTAGCAGCGAAGGATAACCGGATAACTGGCCTTGGGGGTTGTCGATTTCTAACTCAGTATCTAACCAGGTCAAGATCCTCAGCAAGGTTGATGCTTGACTCGTGCTTTGCCCTTCTGGAACGCAAGAGTCGCATCGACGCTTAAGTGGCCGCCAAGGGAACATCCTTCGGTTGATTGTGGGCCCATATATATATATCCCTGCGACCTTATACCAGCACTCGTGACTATACCATGATTATCCGGGTCATAGTTGTCATCACTATCACCTACGGTCGAATCCTCACACATCAGCCGACACCATAGTTTCTCACAGCTATGAGCAAAGCCAATATCGCAGCCATTTTTGGATGAAAGGAAGAAGCCCTAGTGTATCTCCGAGGCCATTCAACATGACCCCGTCACTTTTGCAGGATCTCCCGGCAGTCTTGGGAGTACAGAATCCCGTAGTTTTATTATGGCCTGATGCTTCCAGGAATCATACTATGGAATTACCTGGGACAGTCCGCACATGAGCACGACATTTTCTGTTTTGAGGCAGAGACAAGTGGGCTAAACAGATGTCAGTAGTTGATTATACGGGGGCTGCAACCATGCAGATTTGCACAGAATCAAGCTTTGGCACGCCTACACCGTAGATACTGCTGCAGCATACGGAAAATTGAGTCCTCTCTTTCATAACAACTGTATCGAAGACGATGATACCTCTGGCCATAACCATATGCTGAGGTTGACCCTGTGCTTGACGCTTTGCTTCTAAAGCGACCCAAGGTTGATCGGAAGTCCCTCATTGTATTTACAATACATAGGTTTGATGACACTTGCTAACAGCTCATCCAGCAGCTCCACTCATCGAGAGTGGCAGGTAGATGCAAACAATCCACTTCTCTGGATCTTAGAGGATCCTGGAAGGTGGAGACTATGCAGGCGCTCTATATCGCGGAGATAATTAGAGCCAGTGGTTGAGGCTGCAAATAACGTCCTGCTGTACTAAATCTTGTTGTGAAGGGGTTTCCTAGCTCAGATTTAGCAGAGCACAGCTTCAGGGGTAGCCTGTGTTCTGGGTCGCACGGACTAGAAGGCGAAAAGGAGCTGCTCAGGCAGCTTCTTGACGCTGTCGTGAATTACTTGTTCCCAGTCAGGGGAAAAAGATAACGCCACGGCTTAAGTTTATTATCCTCTTCCGGCCTCAGCCGGCTCATTAAAGAGTAAACTCGACAAACTTGACCAGTATCAGCGGACCTAGCTAGATACCTTTAACACGAAAATCTCGCGTAATGTCGAGCGATATAGCTGCCAAATCGGTATTCGAGCAGAATCCTTCCCAGGGAACAGTCATCTAGGTGCAGCAGACCTTGCTGGCTGGCACTAATGGGGCCTCTATATGGGTCAGGCTCGTGTCAGGAAAGTGGAAATTGGAGCAAAATCAATGAATTTCCTGGCCATATTCCTAAAGGACCTGCCGGGCTCTATCAGCGGCTTCTCTGGTAGGTCGTCGACAAGGAAGGATTTTGTCTCCCTTTTTCAATAGTCATTCTCGATGCTGAACCATTACACTGGGGGAACTAGCAGTGACCGCAGGGATTACGGCAGCTGTTACCAGTTTAGCAAGACAAGTTAACTCATAGCCGGACCAAATCTTGTGGGCTGCTCGTGAAAGTTGAAGGAGTATTTATCAGCCTGGTTCACGAATCGGTAATGGAGTTCTTTCAGAGTGATCAAATTAACATAAGGGAATCAACATGTTCCACCTGAGCTAGTAAATCCACAGGATTCTCGTGGAAATCTCTTTAGCATACGTCAAACGTGCATGCGCAAATTCTCGGAATATTCTCGATCCCTTCTTATCTTATGCCAGCCGGTACTTGGCCGGTGCGTCTCCTCTACACCATATATGTTCCATTCTGGCGAATTCGAGAGAAATAGTGCAGGACCTACTTAATCACGGAGGGCACGGGGACAAACCGCCAGCTAGTTTAGGAGTTACATTGCTGGGAGAGCTTGCGGATCCGATAGACGGGCGGGTGAAAGCTACTTGGGCTTCCCCACGCGCTTCAAACGTTTTTCCTTGTTTGTTGACCTAGTCATGAAAGGGTAGGACTTTATCTCCGCTTCCCATTCGGGAGCTAATGCCCGACTATCTCGAGTACGTGGCGTTGAGCAGGTGAGACAGTCAGGTCGTACTGCAGGAGCTCATCTAGGAGAACAAAACGGATGAGCTGGAGGAATGGTCAAAGACATACCATATGTTCTTCTTGGAGCTCGTGGTCGCCAGTAACAGAAGAAGCTGAAGGCGATGGACGACTTGGCGACGCAGATCTTGCGGATGGCCTAAAGATTGCCAGGTGCTGCTGGCCACCACAGCTTTCACGGGCATGGGAAAGAAGTTGGCTGACGTCCAACATAGCTGACAACAGCAGTGGTTGTAGACTGTACCGTGATCGCCTGCGACAGGGGCGTGCTGAAATGCTTTCATTTGGCATCAAGGAGAGGTCATTAAAAACTTCGGCTGCAGCGTTCGTGCTAGGAATAGGAAAGTAAATGTATTTCGGACAATTTTGCTCGTGACGGGCCACATCATGATCACCAAATAGGCGCCAAGGCTAATCGGGCAATGCTACCAGGTCATCGCGTATCTTTTCAAAGGGTAAATCAGCACCAACTACGATGTTGAGCTGTTCAATATGCGAACCCGGCGTATGTCTACAAGCTATCGTTTATCAGAGAGAATGGAAACTCTGACAGACTTCCTCTTCTCCTGACCAGTAACTTCCAGTTTACGCGGCGGGCAATGGAGAACGGAGAAGAGCACTTTCTCGATACCCTCGCCAGAATGCTTGATTCTGTGCCAGAAGATGCCGCCGCTCACGGTTGGTCGGTTCACATAGCGAAGGAACCTTCGAGAATGCTGCAGCAGTGGGTGGAGTGTCTGATCTTCGGGAATCAGCATGGCTTGACGTTACCCGACGACGCACCGCGACGAAGAGTGGGAGCGGAACATTTCATGAGTCATATCAAGCAGTCCATAAATATCCTCATGCCTGAGAAGTGGCACATATAAGTTGCGAGGGATATTTGGACCAGTCATCCATAATTAGACGACTGCTTGTGGCGTTTGGGATTTGACGTTGAAAAATGCTTTCCCCTGAAAAGCGTCTGATCTCCACCATATAAAGTTTCTTTGATAGAGCCTCAGGCCTTGGCATTATAGCAAACCAACAGACCCTACACATTAGTCTAATGTTTTTACTAATCACGGAGTACAGTCCATTATAAGAAATATCTGGTAAACAAATCCTATGCCTACCTACAATATACGGGATGATATTTCTTATAACTAAAGATTTACCCTGACGTTGAAGATTCAGGGCGGAGCCGAGTTCATGTAACTACTTCCCCCTACAAGAACTGCCGGGGAAATAGCGCTTGACGTATACAGCATCGTCGATAACCCCGATAACGCGCCGCTTGCGATTTTCAGCTTCATACTAACACCATTGGGGCTGAGTAATCTGGATGAGACAAGCAAGGCAACCGCAATCATGCGCGGCTTGAGCGACGCGGACCAAACTGTGAACAAAGGTGACAGGGAAGAAAGCGACATAGAGTTGTCGCAGGGCATGAACGGAATCATTTTGTCTTATTTCCACTGAATAGCCGTGGCAGACAATAAATACGCGTTGACATGACCAACACCTGGAGAAGTAGTCATATAATCAGGCGTAGTAGCCGGCATCTTCGGTGGATGTATGTATAGCAAAAAGCGTTCTCTTTTCTCAGAGCAATTCATTTCAAATGGGTTAATGTTTCTGTGTGAAGCTTGGTGAAGAAACTCGCTAGTGGATATTTGGTAGATCCAGTGGATTCAACTAATAGGTAGATAGAGTGAAAATCTGGCTGCTAAGGAATCAGTAGATTCGAGAAATCAAGCTAGCTAAAAGATCCAGTGTATCCATGTAGAATACTCATTGACCGAAACAGCGAATCTGGCCTGGTTACATATACTACTCCAGCTGACTCGAGCACGCAGCCTTCCACGGCTCCTCACGTGGGCGTCCGCGCGAATTCATCCCAATACTATCACAGGCTGGATGCTATCTGGAGGGCCGGTGTGGCCTGCGAGGAGAGGACGTTCAAACGGAGGGAGATGGTGGTCCTTTCATGGATTTGGTGGTCTGATGGGTCTGCAAGAGGAAAGGCCAGTTCTCTCAAGCAACGAGAGCGAGAGAACAAGAAATGTCGTTCTACTAAAATGTGAGCCCCATACTATTCATTCTCCCTCCAACTTGCAGCGGCTTGCGAGGCTTTATTTGTACCACTCCAGCTTCGTCAACAGGGACATCGCCGGAATTTAAGCCAGCATCAAGAGTACCCAACTCGCCAGGGATTCTCACATAATCCCTCAAAAACACCTTTAACGATGTATTGGGATCCTTCCACGAAGTGGACCGCCCTGGTATCGCGGCCGATCTAGTTTTCTTGGTGCTGGATGTATGTCTGTGTGAGGGGAGTGATGGTGCGGGCGATCTCTTTGCGCGAGATAGCTTGGCCTTGGATGGCAAGTTTGGTTCATTTGGCTTAGGGTGCGAGGCAGTTGGGCCTTTCGCAAGAAGAGATGAAGGCCTTGAAGACATTTGATAGGTGTTGTTGGTAAAGACACCATCTTTGTCTAGTTTGTGGCTTAGACGAATGGGCTGGTGTAAACCACCGCGTGCAGAATGAAATACATCTTCGTCTTCACTCTCTTCTGCCTCATCTTCTTCAAAAGGAGTTGCTTTCCTTTTCCGCGATTTATTGACGGATATACGACAATAGGGCTCGTCCCCAAGCTCGACACTAGCCCTATCGTGCCACGAAGCCTCAAAATTAACCTTGGGTGTTTCTGAGTCACTGCCCTCGCTCTCCCAGTCTTGAATCACATGTTTGCATGGCGATTCTGGAATGGCCAATTGTAGGGTAGCACACTTTACCTCAGGGGTTGCTTCTTTCTGGGCCCCATCTCCTAGCTCACTAGCACAGTCGCTCTCGCCTTCAGCCTCTGTGACCACTGCTTGAAGATTCTTAACTGTCAGATTTCGCCTCTTGTACAATGGAAATTTGGCATGTTTTTCGAAGTAATCTTCGTATGTATTCGGTTTCTTGTGTCGCTGGTCGCACCTTTGCAAATAGTCTTGGTATTCCAACACTTCACGAGCAACAAAATCATCCCACATTATTGACTTTTTCAGTAAACTTTTTCGGAGGAATTGCAGTCTGCAGCATGCCCTCGTGAATACTTCCAGGCTACCGGTGTAGGTTTTGTATGCCTGTTGGAATTTGTAGTATATTTCTTCGGTTTGAGAAGAAAATTGGGCCTTGTCGAACGTTCTACTGCCCCGGTGGCTAGGGACAACCGCACTTACACTTCTATCTACTTCTGTTATCCTCGGAGCTTTTCTTGGAGATGATGGTAGTGAAGGCGATCCAGCTTTGCGCTTATGTTGTTGATTGGTATTATCAAGCAGTGGTATAGAGGCAGAGGTCTTGGTTGGCGGGAGGACGAGCACATTATGGTCGGCATTCTCCAGCGACGACCTGGGGACCTGCAATATAGTTGCAGAATCATTAAGGTTCCCTGAGCCGCCACTCCATTCCCCAGAGATCTGGGAAGTAACAACCATTTGATCATTGTTTGTGCGAGAATTTTGAGCAATAAAATCATGCTTTGTTGACTCGCAGCTAGGCGCAGGCTGTGCTTTTAGTTGCTGTGATAGCATGGTCTCGGACAATCCGGTAATGTCTTCGTTATCATCCATCCCTGCAAGAATGTCACAGTTTTGTGTCGAGGTATACAAATCCCGGGGAATGGAAAGTTCTATTTCAAAATCTGGACAACTTTCGCCATCGAACACTTCTTCATCTTTCGTAGCAAAACCTGGTACTTTTGTAGGCGGAGGGCGGTTAGGGGCATCAGTAGCATTGGTGGGATTGGCAGCTGATGTACGCTTATTGGAGGGGGTTGCGGATGAATTTACGTTTCTCCCTGGTGGGCTGCTGTCAAGAGGCACAAGGGGAACTGGAGACGTTGGGGGCCAATCTTCTGATCCTATTTCATCATCAGGGGCTGGGCTGCCGATGGAGGACGCTCCTTCTCCTAGACCTGGGCTTCTTTGTCGGCTGGTTCCTATAGAAGCCGTTGCTTTTGCTTTATGGCTCTCGCTCCACTCCTGCAGGAGTTCAAGAGGAAAGAAATTCTGGGGAGTTTTCTTCCCAGGGTCCGGGGGTATCCAAGAGTCGTCAGACTCAATCAAATTCAGTTGGGATTCAGGTATTACCACATCGCGTCGTCGTATTTTGTTCCAGCCGCTAAAAAAACCCCTATTACTAACTTGCTTGGTAATTTTTGAGTCGCTTGGTTGGGATAAATTGTCTGGGTGTCGAGATCTAGAGGAATGTCTGGGATAAGTCGCTGAAGTGGTCCTTTCTTCAAGGGATGATATAACTTCATGCTGGTCAGGTTGAGATGGAATTGGGTGTGCCTTCCATGTGGCTTTGCCAATACTGTTGGGGCATGATTGTCTGCGAGGGGAAGAAGATACAGAAGACGAGTCTGTGGTTGCAGATAATTGCGTAGTTTGACCAGCCTGCTTGTCATCATTTTTGGTGGAATGTTCCAATGTAGGTGAGCACCGCGGCTTGATCTTAGAGATCGTGCTCTTCGGTGGTGAGTTCTCCTGTAGCCCTTGGTTATTTAATAACGTAACCGCCATAGTACCCTTATTTTCCTGAGCTTTGGGTGTTTGCGCTACAATACATACGTGCGCTTGGGTATGCCATCCGCTTTCCCGTGCTGAATTGTCGTGATGATCTCTAGGCTCTGGGTTTCCTCCGTTATTAGGGGTAGTAGCATCGACCTGTGATATTAGGTGCCCGGATTCATCATTCCGTGGGCTCGGCACCGTCGGCCCCAGGATATGGATTTTGCGGAACCATTTATCCTTCAGCTCAAGAACAGCCTTACACTGAGCAATGTCTCCCGGATTTCCAAATACACCCTCTTTTTCACACCCTTCAAGTTTAATTTCACTAATATAAAGAGATATTTGTGGAGGGAACCTGTTTGATTTTGCAATAATGATTTCACACTGCTTGATTCGTAGAAGGCACGGTGTTACGTTTGATCGAATATCCGAGTTATTCCAGTTGAAATTCTGGCAGACGCGCTCAGAGAATCTCGCAGGAATGAACGTATGGCTATCAGAAAGGATAGCTTGCGGAGTGGGCGCTCCCAGTAGCCACTATTGGAATAATAACTGATTAGCAACTAAAATAGCTCATTAGCTAAAGGGGAAGTAAGTACTCCGTACCTCCAGAAGCTGCGCATATTTAGGGCGCATAACAGGTATACGAAAGTTGTTCCCATCGTCAACAGTCGTTTTAAGTTCCTTGGGCTTGAGATTCGGATCATCTTTGTCGACACTCTGGCTTATAGCAGTTGCTACAAGCGGTTCGATCCATTTCTTCAGCAGTTCCATCCTGGTTTAGTATATCCAAATTCAGAGAATCCGAATCAGAACTCATTTTGCCTGTGAGCTCAGCAGAAGGTAGAAAATCTCGTCTGTCGTTCACATTCTCCTTATCTCACTTTGGCCGTTTTGTTGTCGCGCTTCGCGGAGGTAACTAAATAAACGCTGGCGCGGCTAACACAGCCGCCAGTTGAGGGTCAAGTGATATTACATAATACTTGTACGAGTTTTTGATTGGTTTCTACTGGCGCCGGCATCCAGGCTGTGACGTTTAATGTCGATATCAAGGAGAAGCATCGGACATTCATTACCTTTTTTCAGTATACACAAGCGTCAGGTACCACACAACTATACTTCGGGCCACAGAGATTGCCACCCTTGTCCTTTTTTTGATACAGTGTCTATTAACTTTCGAAAGCACTGGCTATATGCCGCCTTGACCGACAAATACAACAACCAGGCAGCATGAGCAAGGTCACAACAACTCCCGGTGGTATCTGGTAACGACTACAGTCAATCCATATATTCGAATGAAGGGTTTGCGACAACGCAGCTAAAGGATATGGGCGCCCAAGACTTCCTCAAAAAGTCTCCCGACGTTTCTCAACTATGGCATCCAACACGCAAGAACCTTCGAGCCCCTCGGCTTCCTCTATATTCCTCCCACTCGGCAGGCGGTCTCGGCGTGGCTCCCACACTTCTATCACTAGTGAAGCTGAAAAGGAGAACCTAACCGAGGCCCTAGATCAGATACACAGTGCTGCTTCACAGATGGGAACCCTCACCGTGTTTAATGAATACACGAATCCGCCGGTTCGATCCGTAGCCATCGATAACAAGGGTCTGGTGGGAGACCTCCAAGGTGGATTAAGCGGTCTTTACAACATTTTCAAAGCATCTGTTGGGGGAGTTAGGGAAATGGTTGGCGGCCCCAGCAAAGCTGCAGATGCTGTATCCCAGGACCCAGGAAGCAATGATTCCTCAAAAGCTCCGGTTGTTGGCGCTCGCCCTGCAGACACTTTATCTACTCATATAGCCTCGACACAGGCTTCGGCTACAAACTCCCCCGTCATGGGAACATTCCCACCACTCTCAGAGGGAGCTGGAAGTATCCAGCCCAAAACCCCAAAGCTTTCCTCCAAAGCTGCGAGCGTCTCATCTAAGACATCGATACCCGCTGGAAACCCCTTAAAGTCTCCATTGCTACCATTATCTAAGGTACACCAACCGGCTACAGCAGACCCCACTGTGACTGAGATAAATGTGAATGCTGTTAAAGATGGCCACCATCATCACAGAAGTAATTCCGGGAGCTTATCGTCTAGTTTGCTGATGAACTCTGATACTATAACCGCTGAGCGAAAGGATCGACCGTCCCATCTATCTTCTAGTCAAGTATCCCAAGAGTCCACCGCAGCTATGAGGTCTCAATCACCAATTCTATTGGCAAAGGCAGGCAATGGTAGCTACAGAGACTTCCAGGAATCCGACTTCAACCAAACAACATTTCCTGAACCTACATCTCACGACGGGTCAATATCTCCGAAATTATACTCAAACAGCGCATCCAGAAGCGGCTTATCTGAATTGGATACTTCTATGTATTCTACTCAACAAAATTCCAACCAAGTTGAAAGTACTCATGATGACAAATTTCGGCGCAAAGATACCTATCCTGAGGATTCCAATATATCACTAGCCATGGATTCTGGCCCAACCTCCATCTCGAATAGTATGTCTAAGTTTGGTGGCTCAACTAACGATGGAAACGCCACGCTAGACACATCAGTGTCCATGATAGATCCTGGGATTCCTTCGGCACACTCATCGAAGGCATCAATTAATGTAACCAAAGAAAAACTACCGCCCCGTGTTACCCAGCCGCATGTTCCTAGATTTGTATTTCCTAGCATTTCATCCTCAGAATCTTCCCAAACAGTCTCCACCACTGGGCATACTTCAAAAATTGTCCAAAAGGAATCTGAGAAAGCTAGCCAAACGAATAACTATCCTTTTTATCCACGATGGGGCCAAAGCGAGGCGCAAACTGGTGTCAAGAATAAACTGCTTAGCAAGGAGTTTTGGATGAGAGATGAAAACGCAAAAGATTGCTTTTATTGTGGCGAGCCTTTCTCAACTTTTAGAAGAAAGCACCATTGCAGGGTTTGTGGACAAATCTTCGACGCTAAATGTACTACCCTTATATCTGGAGCTTCTTTTGGATATTCTGGTTCCATTCGAGTCTGCAAACCATGCGACGCAGTTATCAATGCCCCAAGGGACGATTCTTCCGATTATTCTGGCGATGAAGTGCGCAACCCGGTCGTTATCAATACTAGGGGGTTGGAGTCCCCGGGGGATCACCTGAGTCTCAGCAATTTAGGAGAAGACGACGCTAGCTCTACCGTATCACAGTCTCTAGATCATGTACTAAAAACCCCGACCATGGCAATACCCGCCACACGGCGTACTGGTGATGGAAATCATAGACGATCAGCTATCCTGGAAATAGACTCGGATCGTCAACTTGCTCGGCCAACCTCATCAAGATCTTTGAAGTCAGGAATAAGCAGGTCGCATTCGGTTCCACATAAAAGACACCATTCAAGGACACAGTACATACGTAACTTCAAACCCTACCATGACGAAAGAGCGCCATTCCAACGGCGCTTTGGAGATGATAGTCTTGGTGACAAATTGCCTGCATTCCATAGAGATAATATCATCGATCCCGACTTAGCCCAATATCTTTCCGATGATGCTTCAAGTGAGGAAGACCAGCCAAGCTTGTTCTCAGTTGTTGGTGAAGGCTCACTCTCTCGAAGCGGCGGAGATTCTGAAAAGGCTACATTTGGAGGTCTGCTTGCTGCTGTTAAAAAAGGTCGCTCTCGTTTTGGCGATAAGAGTGGGTTATATCCTTCGCGTGACATAGACGACGGGAGCGTCAGTAGTTTTCGTGCTATTAATTTGCCACGTTCAGCTAGGAGGCGAAATTTGAGCGTTGCAAGCAGCGTTCACCAACGGATCTCTCCCCGGAATTCGAAGGAAAACCCATCGCCCCATCATATACACGATATAAGTGCCCCGGCATTCACCACTCCAGCAAACCCTGCAACTACTGGGTTCAAAATGACCAGGAGTGCCTCTATGAGAGGTGCCGGGGCGCCGGCCATTGAGTTAAACAAAGCCAGTTTAGACCATGTGCGCAAACTGCTGCACCAGCAGCTTCGTGATTCATCAGTGCCGAATTGTCAAAGCTGGGAAACCGCACTCCTGCCTATTCTATTGAAGGCAACAGATGACGTCGAACCTGATGTCCAGCATGGTGATGATATGGATATTCGCCATTATGTTAAGCTTAAAAAGATCCCAGGTGGCCGACCAAGTGATACAGCATATGTTTCTGGTCTGGTTTTTACAAAAAATTTAGCCCTAAAGAGTATGCCGAGAAATATCTCACACCCTAGGATCCTCATCGTTACCTTTGCCTTGGAATATGCGCGCCAACAGCAGCACTTTATGAGCTTGGAGCCAGTTATTCGTCAAGAACGGGAGTTTCTAGAGAACCTTGTCAACCGAATAGCAGCTCTTAGCCCTAACTTACTGCTGGTCACAAAACATGTGTCTGGGTTGGCCCTGCAATTGCTGGAAAAAGCGAACATTGCCACAGTTTGTAACGTTAAGGAGTCCGTTGTGGAAGCTGTCTCACGTTGCACACAGACTAGGATTATCACTTCTATGGATCGTCTGGCTGCGTCTCTATCTTACACCGGCCACTGCGGGAGTTTTGATTTGAAGACTTACGTTTATGGCAAACGAAAAAAGACATACATGTACATTTCCGGTTGTCCAAAGGAACTGGGATGCACAATTGTACTTCGTGGTGCTAATAATGATGTTCTTGTCGAGATTAAAAGGATCACGGAATTCATGGTGTACGTGGTGTACAATTTAAAACTTGAGACTTGCTTAATGAGGGATGAGTTTGCAAAAATTCCGTCCTCTCCCTCTAAGCTTGCTCAATCAGGGCAAAAAATTCCAAATCCTCCAGGCACACAATCAGTAGATGACTCAACTTCTTGCACTGTCAAAAGTGAAACAACTGATACCCCCGTCGCAACAGATGGAGATTCTGGTAATGAAGTGTCTGCGTCTGAGAAAAACCTACCCACCATATTAACACAGGCCCAACCGGATGAAAGCGATGTTCCTGCTCCGGCTTTCTACGAAGACATGGTAGAGAAACATCAGGTTAAGCTGTTGTCAGCCTCTCCATTTGTAAAATTCCATCAACCGTACCTTCTTATGCGCGCACGAGCCTTAGAACGCCAACTTGCCTATCTTAAACGCCTTCGTGACCAAGACTTCTCCCAAGAGTCCTCTCCGGAAGAGAAAACAAAATCTGAGAAATTCTTCCTGATCACGCCGGAGATGATACACGAATCCTTATCTGGTGCATCCAGTAAAGTGAAAGAAGTAATCCATGCAGTTCATGATGCCGAATATGACAGGGCGTTGCATCACTACGAAACTCAAAAAAGGCAATGGGAAGCATATATATCGGGGAACAGGAATCTTTTTGACCCGCATGCTCATCAAAATATAGTCGTCTTGTATAGTTTGGTCTGTACAAAAACGTCTATTCCATGCTCCGGCCCCGATACTTTTGCCTTAGCATTTTACAATCAACACGAGATTGATAATAAATTGTTTGAAGAGGATTGCACCCTTGGGCAATATGTTGAAGATTTATGCCATAGTGCAAATGCTGTTTGTGCAGCAAACGGTTGTGAAGAAAGAATGTTTGAACACCATCGTCAATATGTTCATGGCGAAGCTCAAGTCAGCGTATTCGTTCAACCGTACCCGTCAAAACTACGGGGACTTCAAGACACAATTCTAATGTGGAGTTGCTGCAAGAAATGTGGCAATGAGACACCCGCGATGCCTATGTCGGATAGTACCTGGCGGTATTCATTTGGAAAATACCTAGAGCTTTCGTTCTCCAGCGCTGACTTGCATGCTCGAGCTGGGGTTTGCCCCCATGATCTGCATCGAGATCATCTAAGGTACTTTGGGCTTAAAGATATGGCTC